ATTATTATTTTTTTTATTAACATGTACCTTTATTTTTTATTTTACACTAGCAGGGAGACTGCCTGTCAGCACAGGCAGTCGCCCTGCAGGCAGACACATGGACACCTATTGTGACCATGTTATCGCTCTTTTAAACGATCACATGGCCACAGGGGTCCTAACCCGCCGCGGGGAGACTGTCTGGGCTGCAGGCAGTCTCCCCACACTGGGAGCACTGCTGATCGCCCTCGGGGGAACGACAGCGATCGGGTAAGTACATCTGACCGTTAGGACGGTTCAGGACCGTCACCGGTCAGCAACCCTAAAATGCAGATGACGGTCCTGAACCGTCCTCGGTCCTTAAGGGGTTAATATAAATTCATTCATTTTCTATTTTGAATGAGAACCATAATGAGGTTTACCTTTAAGATTTAAAAACGCTAAACTAATATATGCTTGGATTCAGTAATGGAAGGATGGAAGGTCATAAAAAAGAAATGTGATATAGAAAATAAAATACCTAAAATCTTAAAGTAGAACTGATTTCATATCATGTAAAAGACTGAAAATTAAAGAGGTGGATTACTCAAATAGATCAATTAATGGATAATGAAACAATTAAACCCTTCCCACAACTGATTTAAGAATTCCAGTTGTCAAACAACAAACTCTTTACTTATCTGAGAGTAAAAAATTATTTAAATCAAAATATTTTACGTCATCCCCATGAAGGCACTAAGTTGATAAGTGCATTGCTTAATAATGAATGGCATTATGGCATGTCAAAAGTGGGAAGGGAAAAAGATTTAAAAATAAAAATGAACAAGGTGGAGTGGTGTACAGTATTACCTAGAGCATGCAAATTCATTCACTGCTTGAACTTACGCAAAACTTTATTCAAAGCAATGAACAGATGGTATCTTGTACCAACCAGATTGGCTAGAATGTTTAATTCAAGTTTGCCAATATGTTGGAGATGTAATAAGAGACTTGGCTCGTTTGCTCATATCTGGTGGGAATGTGATATAGTGATGGAATTGTGGACTAAGACCTTTGATATAATAGAGAATTTAATAAATAAGCCTATCCCCAAGTCCCTGGAGAATGCTATTTTGCACTTGAATATTGAATCATTACAACATAAAGAGGCATATATATACATTCATTTTATGGTAGCAGTCAATATAAATATTGCACGAAACTGGAAAAATGCCACACCCTTCTCTTTAGATAAGGTGTTATCCCAAGTTAATTTCCAATTACAGATAGAAGCACAATTATATAAGTCACAAGGAACGGATTTAAGGAAAAAAGATTTTAGTGGGTTTCGGTTAGATGAAATTAAGTTAGGATAGGTAGGCACACCCTGAGTTTAAAAGTATATAGTGTGTGTTCGAATAGATAGTTCAACATTTTTTGAGTTCCGCGAAATACAATGGCATACATGTATACTTACTTTATTCACTTGATAGTGAGCATTAAAATTAAGATACAGGGACCCCCAAACTACTCCTTGCCGGCGTGTAATTATGTTTTTATTGTAATTAGTAAATATGATAGCTGAGCATTATTAGCTTTAATTATGATTCTAAGAAATTTTTTGTAAATGAGACAATATAAATATTACGATTATCATATGCTCTTATGTATGTTAGTATGTATGTGAAAGTATATGTGTTTTTTTTTTTGATTTAATATACTAGAATATAAGAAAATATTTTTAACAAAAAAAAAAAAGATTTAAAAACGTTGGTGCATGATCTGACCATATGATACTTCCCATCCTGGAGCTGATGGTCATCTACAGGGTGGTACCCAACATCAAAAAGAAGTTAATTCGTGAATACGAATCATGTGGAGATGAATAAAAAGAGTAATCACATTCCTCAGGATGATGCACCCTCCATGCATCGTATAGATTATTTTTAAGGAGAAATTTGAAAAAGATTTTGCCTTAGTTCTATTATTTTCATATTTATGATCTTTGATTAACTTAGTTGTCCTTCTATCTTTGTCAGGATCACAAATGCTGCCTAGATCTCCTCTGTGATCCTTGTTTGCAGTTAGCACGGTCCTCTAGGGTAAACAACACGTGCAGTCTTTTGGTTTTAACATAATCCAGGCACTTTATTGGTAAATCCGCTCAGGAGACAGCAATACAACTAAACAATAATGTAAAAGGTTTCCCTTTAAACAAAATCCTAGCTCGTCTGAGCACTGACTGACTTTTTATACCCTATCTTTCAAGGGTTTAAGCTAACCAAACACATAGCTTTTACCAACCTTATCTTCTGTCTCCTTTTTCCTGCGCTCCAATGCTTAGTGGCAAAAAACTGTTGTTTCCAACCTCTCCAAGAAAAACAAGAATCTCTATTTACCTGCCTAGGGAGTTTTTTTTTTCCCACTGCTGCAGCCGATTACCTGCAGCTGAGCAGTGGGTTGGAGCAGTCCAAAACCCTGGCCTGGACTTTATTTCTCTCAGTTGTGTAAAAACTGAGGAGTGGAGCTCTGGCCTGCCCTACTTTCTGAATGCTCCACCCAAGGGGCCCATAACTAAACATTAAAGGGACACTATAGTCACCAGAACAACTACAGCTTATTGAATTTGTTCTGGTGAGTAGAATCATTACCTTTAGACTTTTTGCTGTAAACACTGTCTTTTCAGAGAAAATGCATACATTATAGCCTAGTGATAACTTCACTGGCCACCCCTCAGATAGCTGTTATAGATCCTTCCTGGGTCATGGCTGCCTAAAATGTATCCAAACATTCAGTATCTCCTCCCTCCGCATGCAGACACTAAACTTTCCTCAGAGATTCATTGATTCAGTTCATTTCTATGAGGAGATGCTGATTGGCCAGGGCTGTGTTTGAATTGTGCTGACTCTTTCCCTGATCTGCCTCTTTGTCAGTCTCAGCCAATCCTATGGGGAAGCATTGTGATTGGATCAGGCTACTACTTCTGCTGATGTCAGCAGGCAGTGGGCAGGTCTAAAGGAAACAGAGCCAGAGCTAGCAGCTCTACACTTGAAAACAAGTAAGATTTTGCTATTTTTAGGGAGGCATGAGGGGACCAGGGGGGCTAGATGGTAGTTTTAACCCTATTGAGTCAGGAATACAAGTTTGCTGTGTGTGAGGGTGATGTGTGTGTGTGAGTGTTTGAGGTGTGCAGTGTGTGAGAGAAGGTGCTGTGTGAGGGGTACTGTGAGTGTGTGTGTGAGGGGTGCTGTATGTGAGGGTGCTGTGTGGGGGGGGGTTCTGTGTGTGTGTGTGTGTGTGTGAGGGTGCTGGGTGTAAATATGTTTAGAGGTATTGTGTGTGTGTGTGGGGGGGGGATAGGTTAATGTAACTTTATATATTTTTATTTTTATTTAAAAAGCACTGTATCCCCTCTCCCTTCTTACCTTTTGCCTGGGAGGGGGGGCCGTGCAGCCATCCCTGGTGGTCCTAGTGGTGAATGTGTACTCTAGCCTGCGGTGCTAAAGTTCACTCGCGCAAGATCGGAGCGTTGCCATGGTAACCGCGGCAACGCTCCAACCTCGCGTGAGGAACCCGGCGGAGCTTTAAGCCAGAGCTCCCCGGGTACTCTCCAGTTTCCCTCCCTCCCCTGCCTGTGAGCCGGTGTAGAGATCAAAGATTTTATAAAATGCACGCTCAGTACTTAAGAAAAACAACATATATTTCCACATTGTACGTGCAACACAAGTAGCAAATAAGCATAGAGAAGATCACAGTACAGATCCCTTAATTGGAGTGTCATAAAAGTAAGGTCGACTATAAGTTGCACAATTTCTGGTAGTTTAGCTGATATGATGCATCAATATAAATGCTTGCTTATGTATTGGGGTGTATAATCTCTTTGGGAGCCTTGTAAACATTGCATAGCCATTGTCTAATAAGGACTGCTCATTCAGCAAGTCCAAGTTACATCAGAGTCACGGTGATAGAAATAAAGAGAGAAATAAAAGAAAATAAACAACATGTAAACTCAACGCAAAATTAATATTAATAGCTTATAGCCTTCATGCCAGATAAAACAAAAAAGACAACACAAGAGAACACAGGAAAATAAAAGAGAAATTAAACTAGAAAAACGAAGCAAGACGCTTGAAATTCATGTTGAGTATCACATAAAATGTGTTGCCTTTGGAAACACATGTCAAATCAGAGGTTAAGCAGGGCAGCACTTTTCATGTGAAGAACAAAAGTGTGTATACCACCCCTGCATAATATAGACTGGGGGTTCAGAAAAAATGCCAGTGGTGAAATTTCAAGCAGAAGGCGCAACTGGAAAGGTATGCCTGCGTGAGGTGGGAGAACGCTACCACCTGGCATACAAGATGGCTCGTATTGGGAATCACCCGGTCAGCACAATGCTATCTGCTCATGGGTTTCAGAAAGTGGAAGACAGCAGTAGCAATTTTAATTTGATGTGGACAGGACCATACATAAATATTTCTGTCTTTGCAAATCTTTCCAAATATCAGAAAATCAACCACTTCCCCAATTCTATGGAGTTGGGACGCACGGATCTACTCTGCAAAAACATTCAAACTCTGCAGAAGAAACATGGGGCCCAGACATACAACTTCCTACCCAAGAGTTATTTACTTCCCAACGATAACCAGGAATTCTGCAAAGTTATTTCCAAGGATCAAGGTCCTTGGATCTCAAAGCCTGTCTCTGCCTGTCAAGGCTGGGGAATTCAGATTATCAATTCCTTCTCTCAAGTAAACAGAAGAGAAAAGCTTCTAGTGTCTCGTTATATAAAAAATCCACTTCTTGTTGACGGCTATAAATTTGACCTACGTTTGTATGTACTGGTCACATCATATGATCCACTAATCATTTACCTGTATGAAGAGGGTCTGACAAGGTTTGCAACAGATAAATAGAATCCAACGGAGCAGAACATGAAAAACCAATTCATGCATCTGACAAACACCAGCATAAACAAAGGAAATGCAAACTATCTGAGCTCCACAAATCCGGAAGTGGAAAATCAAGGCAGTTTATGGAGCATGGGTGCATTGCTGCGTCACCTAAAGGGATTGGGAAAAGACACAGCCACGCTCATGTCTAAAATAGAAGAGCTTGTTATTAAGACCATATTATCGGCGGAAGGCTCTATTGCCTCAGTGTTTCAAGGAACTCTCGCTCACAGAAGAAAGTGTTTTGAGTTGTATGGCTTCGATGTCCTAGTTGATGAAACCTTAAAGCCCTGGCTGTTGGAAGTTAATCTGATGCCGTCTCTGGTTTCTGATGGACCCCTTGCGTTAAAAATCAAGGCAAATCTGCTTGCAGACACGCTGACATTAATTGGTGTGCAGTGTCAAAATACCCAGCAGAATATGGACAAAGAAGGGCCCACAATAGCTGCAAAAGTGAAAGCAGGATATCAAAAGACAGCTGCTGGACAGACTGAATCCTCCCTCTTCCAAGAGAGGATGAAGATAATTCATGAGGTCAAGGAAGAGGAAGAGAGAAGAGGCGGTTTTATTCGAATCTTCCACCACAAGGAGACATGGAAGCGATATAGCAATTTATTGACATACAAATCATTTAATAACATGCCGGCTTGTCATCTTTTTACAAAGAAGCCATCAGAGCCAGGATTCAGCAGTAGTGGACTTGGGCGAAAGCTTCCGCCACTGCGGACAAACAACCATGAGATAGCACTCAAGCAAGGCAGTCCATCTCATAGTGGAAGAACTCGCAAGGATGTGAGGAGACAGGGAGTTACATCTTTAGTGACATGCAAACCCCTTAATAATATTCAACCTTGCCCTCTGCATGCAGCGAAGACATCAGATCCAAAAGCCAGCAGTGTTGGGCAACACTCTGTGCTGCGTGGGCAAAAGCAGCCATTACTGCAGACAAAGAAGTCACTTAGTCCATCAAGATCTTCTCACATGAGCAGTGAAAGAACTTCCAAGGAGGTAGAGAGACAAAGCATGCCCACTTTAGTGAAATGCAAACACTTAGATAACATTCGGCCTCACCATCATCTAGCAACAAAGCTGTCAGATCAAAAATCCAGCAGTAGTGGACCCTTGGCGCTGTATCAGCGAAAGCTGCCGCCATTGCAGACGAGTAGGCCTGTGGATCATGTTTTGACGCTCAAGCAAGTTACTCAAATTAATAGTAAAAAACACTGCACACAAAAATCTGGGTATAATTCAGTCAGTCCATCTAAAACATTTCACCAGAGCAGCAAAAGATTTCCCAAGGACATCATGAGACTGGGACTATATGGCATCAGGGACTCTAGCACGGACTTAGGAAGCATAAGACCAGTTGATCCACAGCCTCCTGTTCTGGAGTCCAGCCTAAAGTCAACTGCCAGAGCAAACATCAAATCTCTTCACCACCAGAGCAAGATGTTAGCAAGAAGAGGTCCCAGTGAGCTATTAAACATCATCACTGGCTTCTCGTCTAGCTATCAAAATCTTTGTGCAGAACTCGATCGCCTATAGTGGGACCAGGATGCACCTGAATCTGACACAAAACCCAAAACAGGTACAATATTACAATGATATGTCTGCTTTCTGTCTTACAGACAACCCCAAAAACATGAATTACGACAAAATGTTAATATCTGTTAGACATTTCTTTCAGCTATTGTAAAAGCTAATCTTATATTTATCCATAATATGTTTCTATCCCATATTAAGTATGCAGAATTATCCATGGATAGCTAGCATCTTGATTGTAAAATGTATTTTATGTGGCATGGGTTTACCATTTTCTCTTTCTTTGAATTAAGAAAAGAATCTTCTGGATCTTTGTGGTTCAAATGTGCCTGGGACATCTTTACTATCAAAGCTAGGTAAGACAGGTAGTGGTATTTCTACTGCTCAGTTAGCCAGAGACAGACAGACAGACAGCATCGGTGCTGCGTCAGGCTCTGCCTCCTCTCCTCCTCCCCCAACATTGGGTTCCTAAAGTGCATGCGTGGCGATCACATTATAATTACAATTGCAGGGTTAAACTGACAATGAGCTGAAGTGGTCTGGGTGCACCTTTAAAGTTTAACCCTCGCTTCACAGGCATTTTACTATTATGTTTATTTATTTCCTATATTTAATAAAGCGTATACACACTGTTGCTCTACACATGAAAAGCGTGGCCCTGCTTCACCTCTGGTTTGACAAGTCTTTCCAAGGGCAGCACATTCCATGTCATGCTCAAGGTGAATTTCAAGCATTGTTTTTTTTTAGTTTAATTTATCTTTTATTTTCGTGTGTTCTCTTGTTATGTTGTCTTTTTGTTTTAATATCTTTACCCTGCACTAATGCCTTTCTTGTTTCCCTTCAAGGAGCACAAGGAAAGTGCTGACCTGCTTGCTGTGTTTCACCACATTGCGGACACATACTTACAAACAGGTACAATGTTACAGTGATATGTCTGACTAGAGTTGTTTGTAAGACAAAAAGCAAACAAACCCAAAAGCATAAATTAATATCTGTTAGACATACAGCTATTGTGAAAGCCAATCTTATATTTATCCATAATATATTTCTATTCCATATTGAATATGTAGAATTCTCCATGGATAGCTAGCATCATGTTTGAGGTATGGGTTTTTAATGTTTTCTTTTTTTTGTGTTCTTTTTTATAACCTTAGGATGAGCTGATTGTAGGGATAATAAGAATATAATCTTCTGGAGCTTTGTGGTTCAAACTGTGTCTCTATCGAATGTGTCTGGGCATCGTTACCAGCAAAGCCGGGTAAGGCTCTAGTAGTAGCATTTCTATCGTTCAATTACGCAGAGACAGAGAGATCTCAATCTGTGCTGACACTGACCTGAACACTTCAAATAGAACCGTCACCTCCCAGGCATTTTACGATTATGTTTACTTATTTACTATATTTAATAAAGCATATACACGCTGTTGCTCTTCACATGAAACGTGCTGCCCTGCTTAACCTCTGGTTTGACAAGTCTTTCCAATGGCAGAACATTTTATGTGATGCTCAACGTGAATTTCAAGCATCTTACTTTGTTATTGTTTATCTTTTGTTTTCTTGTTATGTTGTCCTTTTTGGGTTTTTTTTTTATTCTGCGCTAATACCTTTCTTCTTTCCCTTCAAGGAGCACAAGGAAAGTGCTAACCTGCTTCGAATGCTTCTTTACCAGCAAAGCCAAGTAAGGCTCTAGTAGTAGCATCAGTTACCCAGAGACAGAGAGATCTCAATCTGTGCTGACCCTGACCTGAGCGTTTAAAACAGAACCGTCAACTCCCAGGCGTTTTACTATTATGTTTACTTATTTCTGATATTTAACAAATATGTTCTTGTGAGGTCTGACAAACAAAATTAATACAGAAATTAACAGTACTGTATTTAACAGGGACAGTGCTGTGGATAGTATGAGATTATAAATAAACACTTCAAATTCCTTTTTATCTGAGATTGTGACTATTACGGTGGTCCATATTGTAATGCAGGGCTTGACAAATTTGCTTTGAATCTAGGAACCAGCTAAAAAAGTTAGGAGCAAGATTTTTTAAAGTCTTACAAAGCTTTATATTCAACAACAAAAAAATTAAATTCTTAAAGGGACACTATAGTCACCAGGACCACCACAGCTTAATGTAGTGGTTCTGGTGTCTATAGCCTGTCCCTGCAGACTCTTCAATGTAAACACTGGTGAATAAAAATACCATTCCCTTGCGAATGGAAGGGTCTGGCCACCTAAACACACACACACATCATGACAGACAGACACACATATAACCATGACAAACAGACATGCACACACACCATGACAGACAGAAACACACACACGCATACCATGACAGACAGAAACACACATGCATCCCATGATAGACACACACACAACATGACAGACACACACACACACATACACCATGACAGACACACACACACACACACACACGACATACACTCACACTGACAGACATACACATTCACACATTATTGCTTGTTTTAATACCCGTGGGACCCAGTGGGCGGCATGCTGGGGGATCGTGCAGGCGAGGGGCAAGTTGGGGGATTTTGTAGGAAGGCCGCTTCCTGGGTGGTCGTGGAGGTGGGCGGCTAGCTGCAACCATCCAGGAAGCCGCCCGCCTCCACCACCACCCAGCAAGCCACCTTTCTACAAAATCCCCCAGCTTGCCGTTGGCCGCCCGCCTGCCTTGGAGTTAAGGGGCTCGCAAATTCCAGGCGCCAAGGTAAAATTCCTAGGCGCCATAATTTGTTGAGCCCTGTGGTAATGCAAAAGGTATGTATAGGAATCTAAGTTTCAATCTAGGAAGACGAATAGTGTTTGTCACTAACTATTTTCTGTCTTTTTCTTTAGTCAGGAACAAGCAAAAGGAGGATGACGATGACATGATAAATAAAAAGCTGCAATATCCAATTGCAAATGCCCTGGGAGGTCACCTGGATGATAAGACTGTTTGCCAGCTGGATCATGTCTACTGGATGAACATCTCCCATCAAATACCACACTTTTAAACTAAACTGCTACCGAAGTAAACTTTGTCCCAGGTAGAATTGGTCTGGGCAAGTTTAGAATCTCTGATTTGGATGATGAGTAATTCATCCCCATGTACGTGTAATGTGTAATTTTATTTCATGTGAGCATTATCATATAATAAAATGCCTTTATTGACAGACTGCAATCTGTATCATTGCATTTATATATAAAATATGCATTTGAATGCGAGTGTTAAACAGAAGCTATTAGAAATGCCCACATTTATTTCTATCTACCTGTCAACCCTTGTGTAAACATATGAATCAGCATGTGTATGTTTGATTGCATGGCCAAATTAATTTTAGAAATCTTGTTTACTTGAACTCATACTCAGCAGAAAAATATAAAACAGTCTACAGACTGTGCTATTAAAAGGCGAGAGTCTGTAGTTGTGGGAGTGGCTAGTTGCAGCTACTTAAGCTGCTCACATCCTCTGAACCCCAACCGTATCAGGATCAGCAGCACGTGTCAGAGTTTTGCAGAAGTACCCCATGACTTCCGGTTCTGTTTCAGAGGGTTACTCCAAACAAAACAATTCAATCACAAGTCCCAGCAAATATTTTTACTTTCAACTCCATTCCAGTGCTTCTGGTGTCAGGGCATTGGAGGTCACCTAGCAGGGAACAAAATCTCAGTGGAGGAAAATGCATGTTTCGCGGGTCACGCTGTAATTTTCCTGCATTTGCTGGGGAAAATTGTGGATCAAACTCACGCCCTCATTCGGCCCCCCCCAAAAAAATCGTATTTCAATCGGCTCCGCTAGTCAAATTCAACAATAGGTACTTGGGCATAACTGTTACATGTAGTGTGTGGGCTTCCTTTATATATTGTTAGATTTTATGTCTATACTACTAGGCAGGAATAATGGGGAGCAGATCGTGAATTAACCAACTAATTCCTTAAGCTTACCATGTATACTAGGAGTTGGGCTTACAGTCGGACACTTCACATGCATTCAGCAGCAAATTCATTCACAAGTCCTATTCACACACTCACTGTCTCATCTGATCACTAATTACATTTGTTCAATAAGATTCAAACACAGACTCACTCAAATACTTACTTGCACTGCAGTTAAACTAGTTCTTAATCATTTCATATTATAAGTTGTGTCTGATGGGTTTTCAGTGTCAGACGCCATCTTGTGGTCGAAAACAATGTTACACAAGAATGGTATGCTATTATAGTGATAAAGGAATTGGTATATTGCTTTATGGATCTCTCTGTTCCGTAATAATATCCAAATTTTGATTTTGTCATTTATATGTAAATAACTAGTTTTTGGGGGGGCAAGGGGTTGGGGAGGCGGTGTTTGAAGTGTATTGTTTTGTTTTTGTAAAGTACAAAAATCCCACTGATAGCCAAGTAAAGTAGGAAACTATTTATTATATACGGGAGAGACATATTAAAGTATCATGCTCTAATGTTTGTGTATTGTAATTATGGGTAATGTAGAGTCAAGGTAAAGAGACTAAGTGGGCTTTGAAACAAACAACTTGGAAGTCAGAGAAACAATGTTGACAATGCTTGAGAAAAGAAAAAACTGTGGGAAAGAGGTATCTACCAGAGCACTGCACAAGAAGGTCTATGGAGAATCCTGCAGTCTCACTTGATCTTAACTGAAACCTCTGAGTTGTAACTTGCATATATGTGCGAGAGTACAAAAATGGCAGAACTCCAGAGGATGAAAGCTTGGAGCAGAAGATGAATCTCACCAGAAATATGGCAATGCCTGCAAAGGAAAGCTTCAGATAAAAGTATCTTCCTAAAGCATCTCTCCCAGGTCACCACACACTAAGTGGGCATGTTACCTATGGGTGGGCCTTTGCAAAGTATACAAACCCCTAAAAGAATATGCTTTTATGATCTTATATTTAGGATACAATATATAGTGCTGGCACTTTTCATATCATCTATATAAAAAAATAGGAGGCATGTTTGGCTTCTGATGCTCTTTCAATGCCACTTTAACACCAGTAAAATAGAACAAGCCTTTGAGGAAGTATTGAGGGCAAGTGCTTGACAAATTTACAATGTGCAATTGTAAAAGCCCTGTTAGTTTTTTTGTTTGTTTTTTAATTTAAAAAAAACAACAGAATGTTTTAATGAAACAAACTAAATAGAAACCCGTCCGAGGGTGCACGGACCCAGGCTTTGCCCACAGTGAATGAGAATTTCAATCACCATTCAGTCTGGAACCTTACTTTTAATGGGTCATTATACTAAATGTTTGTGCTGGACAGTGTGTTTTTAATAGAATGCTTTAATATACTACATTTATTGACTCCTTACCATAGGCATCATTCATTTACTAAACCTAACCTTAATTTAAGTGTCATTAAGGCACCCTCTGCATAAGATATACATCACTAATTCACTTCAACTACTGTATAACTTATGCTCTCTTGTTAGACAATTTGAAACCGATAGCCATTTTGCATGCCATTAAGCCATATTTAAAATTATACCACTCTAAGAACATTAACAATAAGGAATACATTTTCAAGTTAAAATAGTAATTACATTAACTCATGCTGAGTCCCATCTAGTCGAAGGATGTACCCTTATATAACCTCAGATAAACTTGTTTTCCTCCTTTTATCTTGTTTCCATGTACCACAAGATTTGACTACAGTGCCTCATGATATCAATTCTTTAAAAGTTTAGTTGTAAACAAACTATAAGAATAAACTGTAAATTAAGTGCTATTTCACAGATACCATTTACACAATTAGAATACCATTGACTCAATGCTTTCCTATGGGGATTTCACTGATGCTGGATGTTCTCATGCACAGCATGAAGACGTCCAGTGTCATTTAGGCGACCTTCAGTCCGGCAAATTCCCAGAAGAGTCTATAATAGCTGTCTAGTAGACAGCCAACATAGGCTGTCTTAGTCCTGTAATGTAAATATTGTAGTGTCTCTAAAATTGCATGTTTTACATTGCAGGACTAAGGGGGTCAGGAACACTGCTCCCAGACCACTTCAATAAGGTGAAGTGGTCTGGGTGCAAATAGTGCCCCTTTAAGACAGGTAACCTCAAAATAGTTAGAGGAACACTAGGTTTAGGAACACAAATATGTATTCCTGACCCTATAGTGTTAAAACCACCATCTAGCCCCTTTCCCTCCCTAAATATAGTAAAATCTTATTTGTATTCAAGTCTGCAGCTGCTGGCTCTGCCCCTGTCTGCCTCAAACCTGTCTGCTGTCATCATCAGAAGTGGTGGTCTGAGCCAATCACAATGCTTCCCCATAGGATTGGCTGAGACTGTTAAGGAGGCAAATCAGAGCAGAACCAGCAAAAGTCAAACAAAGCTCTGGAGAATCAGTATCTCCTCATAGAGATCCACTGAATCAATTAATCTCTATGAGGAAAGTTCAGTGTCTACATGCAGAGGGTGGACACACTGAATGGCAGTGCTGTTCACTGTGAAGCACTGCCCCAGGAAGCACCTCTACCAGCCATTTGAGGAGTGGCCAGTGGAGTTATCACTAGGCTGTAATGTAAACGCTGCATTTTTTCTGAAAATACAGTGTTTACAGTAAAAAGCTGTATTTGTTCTGGTGACTATAGTGTCCCTTTAATAATGACTTGCCTATTGTCCATACTTGGAGAGGTACTTTGTCCGTCTAAGCCTACATCCTGTCTTGTGTCATCCTGACAAAAGTAAAAAGTTTAACATTTTTGTAAATGTTGCCTGAAAATTGCTATAAACATACATGATTTAATTGTAGTCCTTTTCTTTTTGCTTTATAATATTTTTGCCATTAGGGAATCACATTCTACCAACCTTATAGAACAGGGATACGGGTTTGCATGGAAATTCAGGTAGATAAATTATTTATTGTCATCAATAATCCCTTTTTTAAGAACGGATCTTGGCACTCTTCAAAGAGAAACGAATGCATTAAGTACAGAGATACCCCGTTTAGCGCTGTTACCGTACTGGTACTTGCAGAGCGCTAAACCCCGCTATAGCACTGTTTTTTTCCGTGCACAACCCGCTTAACACTAAAAGAGCGTGACTGCGTCGCTACAGCGTTTACAGGGGCAGCATGGGAGAAAGAACCAGTGAGAGCCAGAAAGAGAAACAGCAAAATCCAACCTGGAAAATCCATTGGCAAGGTACAGAACACTTTCTTTGTTTCCTTGTTTGTAATAATGTGATTATTATTAGCTGTCTAATACAATTTTCCCCCCTTGTTTCTTTGTTCCCTTTGTTTCCTGTAACTTTCTTTGTTCCCTTGTTTTTAATAATGTGATTATTAGTTATACAATTTTTTTTTTTGGGGGGGTGGGGGATAATGCAAATAGAGTCACATCTAGTGATTGTTATCTGGGACCCCCAAATCCTGCAATGAACATCCGCTAGCAAGGTACAGAATAGAATACTGTATTGTTATTGTTCCATTGTGTTGCATAATGAAAATCTACATTCATTGTATTTTTATACTGTTTTACAGATGTCTGAGCGCAAAGAGGAGCAGGCTAAGGGCAAGTGCCAGAGTATTCCTCTGGATGTCAAGATCCAAGTACTGGACCGCCTGGATAAAGGAGAGCGCCAGGTGGATATCGGGGCAGATCTCCATTTGCCTACCTCCACTATCCGCACTATCCTTAAAAACAAGGATAAGATCCGCACTTCAGCGACGACCAGCAATGCTTCTTCACCCAAGAAGATCACCCACTCCAGGTCCTACGCTCTTGAGGAGATGGAGAAGAGGCTTTCCATATGGATAGATGATGAGCTGGAGCGTAACATGCCTCTCAACCAGGCCATCTTGATGGAGAAGGCGAAGAGCATTTACGCTCACATACAGAGTCAAGATCCAGATGTGATGGAGAGTTTTGCAGCAAGTAGAGCTTGGTTTGACCGCTTTAAGAAAAGGTACAACCTCTACAACCTTAAGATCACCGGTGAAGCGGCAAGTGCGGACACTGGAGCTGCTGCAGCTTTTCCAGCCTCTTTAAAGGACGTGGTGGATAGAGGGAGCTATCCACCGGAGGTTGTCTTCAATGTGGATGAGACCGGGCTCTTCTGGAAGCGGATGCCAACCGCACATTCATCTCCAGAGAGCAGAAGAGAGCACCGGGCTTTAAAGCGGCGAAAGACAGGCTGACCTTCTTTTGGGTGGGAATGCAAGCAGTGACTTCTGTATAAAGCCATTGCTGGTGTACCACTCCCAGACACTGAGGGCAATGAGGGACATTAGCAAGTCCAGCTTGCCAGTCATTTGGAAGGCAAACAGGAAGGCATGGATCACCAGGGATATTTTTACAGAGTGGTTCACTGACCATTTCTGCCCTTCTGTGCAGCGTTATTGTCAGCGCAAGGGACTGAAGGAGAAAGCGCTGCTCATCATGGACAATGCGCCGAGCCACCCGACTAACTTGGCTGAGTTGCCCACCTGCATTCCTGTGGAGGTCCTGTTCCTACCGCCCAACACGTCGCTTATCCAGCCTATGGACCAGGGGGTGATTGCCACCTTCAAGGCCTACTATCTCCGCCGTACATTCCATCAGCTGATTGAACACACGGACCACGTGGACAAGCAGTCAATGTTGGACTTCTGGAAGCAGTACCACATCATGAAAGCTGTCTCCAACATTGATTTTTTCTGGAAGGAGGTGACACAGCAGTGCCTCTGGGCTGTGTGGAAAAAGATCTGGCCAGAGCTGTGTGAGGATGTGCAACTATCAGAGCCTATCATAGCGGAGATAGTTGACCTTGTGACCACGGCTGGACTAGGAGACACAGATGCTCAGGACATTGAGCAGTTAGTCCAGGCTTCAGGTGAGAGCCTCAACAATGAGGACCTTGAAGAACTGGCTGAACAGGGCACACAGAAACCTCAGGACACCAGCGACTCAGACACTGAGCCTCTAAAAGAGCTTTCCTCTGAGCTCCTAAACAGGGCATTGCATCAGATCAATGACATAATGGATGAGCTGGTGGCAAACGATCCTGATGCAACTAGGAGCAGGAATGCAAGGTGCATTGTGCTGGGAGGGGTGTCTTGCTACCGCCAGCTGCTGGATAGCCACAAGAAGCATAGACAAATGACCCTTGACCAATTTGTGGCCAAAAAAAACGAGGCAGGAGAAGCATCCTGGAACCTCCACATCCACCATTTAAACCTTTTTTTTTTTTGGACTGTTACTTTAATTTGGTACTGTTTCTTTAATTTATTGGGTGCAAAACACTTAGTTTATTTAGCTTTTTATTTATGCTGCTGTGTGCAGTTCACAGCAAGTAAAAAAAGTTTTAAAATTCTATTGGTGTTGTGTCTTTTTTTCAAAGTTGATTCCCTATGCCTATCTTCTCCATGTTAAACTGCCCCGTTTAGAGCTGTTTTGCTTAGCACTCATAGCAGTTGGAACCTATCTACAGCGTTAAGCGAGGTTTTCCTGTATAGATAAGTTTTACTTTCGCTTTGGAGAAAAAAAATGCTGTTTTAACATTTACTCTCTACTTTCCTTACAGGCGTCCCCCGTTAACTAAGCAGTGCATATAATTTCAAAATACTGTATTTTTGTCATTATAATCTTAAAATAAAAATAATGTATGTGACTAGACTTTTTTTTGCATGTTGTGCTGTTATAATGGATTTTTCTATCTATACATTTTGTGCTGGAAACTTTATCTATACATTTTTTTGTACTGGAAAAGCACTTTTTTTACCCTCTCCTTCATAAATAAAGTTGTCAAATTGTTTTGATCAAGTCACCTAAATACCTACAGAACAATCAAATCTGAAACACCTTTGCCATTTGAATATTCAGTTGGCCTGTACTTAGATCTTTAAGGATGATCATAGCAAGGAAATTTAAAAAAAAAATCACTTTCCTCTTATTTCTATTTAGTTTATAAAAAAAAAATTAAACTGTTAATTTACTGAATTTAACCTTAATTTAAGTAAGTGACATTAAGTCACCCTCTGCATAAGTAATATGTCACTAATTCACGTCAACTACTGTATAACTTGTGCTCTCTTAATATCAGTGGTGAAAATATGCAAAATATGTAGTTACAAATAACTAGCCACAGGGTTAACACACGATTCTCAACCATTTATTTTTGGAAATCTCAAAATACTATGGTGCATGTCATCATCCTCAGCCATCAGACAGGGTATTATTCACAAGAGAAACCATCATTCTCAGTCATCAATAAGAGGAACATTCCCTGGCGTAATCCCCAACATACTTTGGAGACTATGCACAGCAGAACTCTGATAATTCTAAGCCACTAAAAAAAATACTATATAGAGGGATAGCTCGCATCTCTCCAAGGCATCGGCTGGTATACTACTTACAGGGTACTATCATTCTTAACCAGTTTGAATACTGTCCGATTAACCTGCACTAAATATAATCACCGTTATTCTCATTGCACAAGGGCAGCTGTCTGGCTGAGAATTGTGTGTCACTGAGCATTATAGTTTCTCTGCATTTTATTAAAGGGTTACTCCTACCACCATCTCCACTTCCTCTTTTAGAAGTGGTCATAGTGGTAGGAATTAATATGTACAGTGTTTCTGCTTGAACCACAGCACATATTTAAATATCTTAATTCTTGTATCAGGGACTAATTGTATCTTTGTTCTGTCTAATATATGTGTCAAAAATTACACAATGAGAAGCTTTTGATTGGCCCTCACGAGGGCAGTGGTCACATCAGTAGTGGCGTAACCAGAGTTATGGTCACCAGGGACAGAACAACATTTTGTGGGAGGTGGCTTCCCTGGGGTCCAGTGGCATCTGGCTGGGTCTGATGGGAGTCGTGTCCACACTCCAATCTCTGCCTCTTCTCTGGTCCTACTATCTCACATTCTCCTGCATGGCTCGTTGGTATGCTGGGAGTAAGTAACTTGTACTCACTTCCTTCCAGCAACACAGCTTTACACAGATCAGGGGGCCCAATCGCTCCTGATCAAAGATGGTGACCTGATGGGCTCCTTGAGCTTGCGGGAGGTCGTTCCGCCACTTTGCCTGCGTTGCGCAGTTTTTGCACCGGGTGATGCGCACTGCCTCACCTCCCAGTAGTTACATTACTGAACATCAGAGTGGGTGCGCATGGTTTATTTTACAAGATTTTAGAGAGAGGGGTGGGTAGCCTAATGGGGCATTCTACATTTAAAAAAAGAAATATATATATATATATATATATATATATATATATATATATATAAAGCGTTATACTAGTAATCCATGAAGTGTCTGACACCCTAGCCTTAGCTTTGACCAGATTTTCTAGCAATTCGAAAACTGTCTGCTGATGGCTTGACGCCTGTATTTCTCCATGACAGGTACACACCAACACTGCAAGCAATGGCATCCTCTGCACAATAACATCACTTTTAGGACGGTATTGGCACTACCATTGCAAGTAAAACATGACTTCTAGGAGCATGTACCCTTATTTGGATAGAGACAAAAAAATATAAATATATATATATATATATATATATATAAAAATATATTTCACAGCATGATTTCTACTTCCAGTCTTTCCCTCCCTGCATTAGAGGAGCTCAAACTCCTGCCCTGTGCACCCCACCTTGCTGCTGTCTACTACTCTCCTACACCCCCTCCCCTCCCCTCCCCTCCCTGTTTGATAACACACAGCCTGTACAGCATGGCAGCACACAGACACTGAGACCATCCACACACACTGTCTCAGGTCCATTGAACTTTCCACACTTCACTTCCGGTTCACGCTGCCAGAACCCGGAAGCGACGTTGGAGTTTGTCCTCCCAGAACCGAGAAGATTGACTATCTGGGGGGAAATGGTCCCCTGGGCGTGAGATCATCCTCAGGTACCGGGTGGATAACAGGGTATGTTGGATTAGTGAATCCTTTATAACACCTCACTCACTGCTGGCTCTTAATACTCTGGATCATATAGCTTCCATGACATCCCACAATATATTGAATTATTATTATTATAATTATTATTAATGTTTATATGGCACCAGCATGGTATCAGTCCTTTACAGGGAAGCAGTGGGACTATGTATCAAATCATTGAAAGACAATAATAATATTGAAGTGGTGAAGAATTAAAGTATTTCCAGAGCCTCCTTTATATGTTACAGAGGAGGTTCACTGTGGAAATAGATTGTATAAGATTATTGTTATAATATATATATATATATTATATTATTATTATTATTATTATTATGCCATTAGTTTGGATAGTGTCTGTCTGTCCTCGGGGTCAAGTAAATGTCTTACTTTATTGTAAATCTCATTGCCCTCACACATCTGGCTGAGTGTGATAGGTATTAGGATCCTATTACAGTTTGTTGACATTTTTAGAATATTGACCATGTACGCTTGATTCCCGGCTTTGATCAATATTTCTTGCATTCTAAATCTGGTATTTTGTTTGCAGCTAATCGATGGCTTAGCTCCATGACAGATGCACATCTGTGCAAACAAGTTTTTGCGAAAGCTTCCCCTGTGGAAATATTAAAGCTAATAAGGAAACTGGACAAGTGAGCCCCCGTGTAAACAACAATTTCGTATAAAATTATATTTTACAGGTAATTATACATATTTAAGTAGTTTTTACTGTACAGATAGACTGCAAAATGTTTTGGGGGAAAATGAATGATTAATAAGACAATACAGATTTGTTATGTAAGTTGCCCTTATGGAAATGACTATTGAAAAGGAGCATATGTTTTGATGTATACGATGTAAATTGCCCCTAAAGACAAAGGACTATTGTAAAGGAGCAGATGTTTAGAGGTATACTAGGTCACCTTATAAGAATGGGTTAGATGGTGGGGAAACTGGAAAATTTACATTTTGAAAAATGATGAATTACATTCTGTGATTAAATTTGCTAAATCTTGCTCACTTGGTTTAATGTCAGTTAGCTGATGTTTAGAAAGCACTCCCACATAGTGCCAAGACGTTTCTTTGCAAGGTTGCACTGTTGGTCAGGGAGTGTGCCACATATGTCCTAAATACCAATTATACACTAGAACACCCCTTATTTCCAACCATCAATGTAATCCTATATTTTCATAATGACCCTGCTGAGCAGTCTCTCAAAGTTAGCGCTTTCTGGATATATCAAACACAGAGAAAGGAGATTTTGAAAGGTAGGTAGTCTACAAAATGTTCTGTCCTCCAATATTTTCCATAATTGAAGGACCACTGAAATTTACCCAGGCCACTTCATCTCAATGATGTGGTCTGGGTGCGGTGGCTCTTTAGTTTTAACCCTGCAGTCCAAAACATTGCTATTTAGTATAAAAGCAATGTTTATAAAAAATAAAGTTATCATTGCAGGGTTAACACAGCTCTAGTGGCTTTCTTCTTGACAGACACTTCCCCTGTAAGAACAGAGTCAGTCTGGGTTCTCAATCAAGTGTTGCTCATGAGCACATTTGATTGGTGTAGCGTGACAATTTGCTATGCATGTGCACTAGACTACAGGTTTGGCTGAGATCATCAATCTTGACTTACAGTGATATTTCCAGAAAAATTTTATTAATTCATTTTTGGGACATTCTCAGAGCTATTTTGAATGTGTGTCATAAAAATTTTAGTGTCTCCCTTTCCCCTCCAAAATGAGTATCTCATAAAACATCTTTGTCTTTGTATTTTTCCTATTTGCAATATAGATATATATATATATATATATATATAATTTTACCAACGCTGACATGCCAATTAATCAGGCTATATTGCTCAGGTAGAGAGTTGCTTCTGGGTCTAAAATGGTTTGACTACTTACATCGGGATGGGAACCTATATCAAACATTACAATTGTTTAGTTCGTCAACATGTATATCAGGATATGTTTTAAAAGACAATCCTTTTTCAAGAACTCACAGGGCGTCAGACTTTGGGATGATGACCAAAAGCCAGAATCAGAAAAATAAACAGATCTTGAATCTCACCCTGAAGATTATCTACTTGCTAACTGGAGAGGTGAGGACCTTCTGAGAATTTCTTCATGACATTGTTTTTATTCCAATAAAACAGTATTTTGTCTGACATGTTTAAAGGGACACTATATTCCCCAGAAAAACTACAGCTTAATGTAGTTGTTCTGCTGTCTACTGCCTGTCCCTGCAGGCCTTTTAATGTAAACACTGCCTTTAAAAAGAAAATGCAGTGTTTACATTACTGCCTAGTAACACCTCTAGTGGCCGTCGCTCAGTAAACAGTAGTGTGTCGCGAGTCATAGCGTGTGTATAGAAGGTTGTGTAGGCTCATCCACTGACTGTGTGAGGAAAGTGTATCTAGCGTTACATAAGTGTGATTAATTCCGATTAGGCGAACATTTCACTATACTACCTGCCCTAGCGAAGATTATTAAGTAGCTTGAAACCACAGTAGGAGAGGGCTTCAGTCAGGCAAGAGTGAAAACATGAAAATAAAAGTGTTTGTGAAATAGGCATAACGTAACACAAAATAAGGCATATCTTCCTCTTCAATATTATATTTAGTCCTTTTCGGTTCTTCTTGGACCCAGGGTGCGGTTTAACGTGCCAGCCCCTTAATACGGAGAGTGAGCAATCATCTGATACCCCTGCGAGGATTATTGCTGTGGTTTGGGTTTAGTCCCGATGGGGGGCTAGTGCAGCATCATGGAAGTGAGGCACCACTTTGGCCCCGGAACTGTGTGTTAGCTGGTACCCTGTTGCCACGAGCCTGGGAGCCATTGAGGTCCAGGATCTTCCCTGTCGGTGTGGTGCGGTATGCTGGGTCTTGCAGTCTGTTGCTGTCGGTCATTTCTTTTGCCTTGTGGTCCTGCACCTGTGTGGCCAGGACCTGTGGGTTGCAGCCCTTGTTGCTCTCAGCCTGGGTGGGCGTCTTGTGTGGGTGGCTGCAGTGGGGGGTATTCGTGTGCCCTGAGGTGGTTTTCCCGTCCTCCTCTCTGTGCGCATGTGGACCTGTTCCATCAGAATAAGGGTAGTCAGCGTTGGTCCAGTATAGGTCAGCAGATTGGCCCAGAATCTGTCAAAAATAATGTCAATAGAGTCTCTTACTGTGTTGCTGGGGTCTGGCAAATCCTGCTGTAGCATGTGCGTGTCGATGGACTCTGGGTCTGATGTGACCGCCATTTTGGAGACCTCTGTGCCTGTGTTTTTCATGAGGCCTATCCTCTGCAAGGTATGTGGTGAGGGGTGCTCCTTCTGGCAGGGACCGGGATATCCCCCACTGGTCTATAGGAGGTGGGGGGGATGTGTCGCTTGTTTGCTTGTGGCTTGTAGCAGTAAGGAGAAAGCGTCCGTCCTTCCCCTCCGCTGTCTCCTTTAGGCCTCTACTTGCAGCTGCTGTTCCTGGTCGTTCCGGGCGTCGATTTTGGTATCTACGGGTACCTACAGGCTTCCCCCAGCACTGCAGCCCGAGTAATCGTCGACACATAGAATTAAAAGTTGAGTTGTGATACAGGGGTTACAGCGACATGAGTGCAGATAAGACAGGTTTAATAGAACATAGACACCATTCTTGCAGAGAGGGTCATAAATATCTTATGCGAAGATCACAGAGTGAGGGGGGGAGAGAGAGAAAAGAAAAGTGGATGGTGCTAGAAAGAGGAGTATTAATATAAAAAATGCATGAATTCCCATCCAAGAGTTACAGGATATGCATGAAGACCTATATCCAGCATACACAGACTCATGTACATATACACAAGTAGTGCATATGTACAAGAATACACAAGAACATACACACTATACACCAGTACATACAATATACTTATAAATACAACCAAATGCTCAAATATATGTACATACACACCTGTACATGTACCTAAACATATACCAATGTGCCTGCACATACATAGACCCATATATATGTAGGTGTACACATACACCTATTCACATATACATACATGTGTATATATACACTTTATACATACATACATACACACACACACACACACACACACAAATACATACATGTATACGCATACAGATAAATACATGAATACATATACATACACACAAACAAATATACTTGTATATTGATAGAATAAACATATTGGAATGCATTTAAAAATGTTGATACATATGACAGAACAGTAAGATAATGCTGGGGGAGTGTTCATCTAAAGTTTTGGTAGTGGGACAGGAAGCCCAAATCAATATTTAGGCCTCTATTCTTGCTGTTAAACAATTTGATCATTCTGGCTTCAAACGTTTTTTCTTTCTTGGGTATTTATAAAAAAAAAAAAAAAAAAGATTTTTAGGTCCTTCATTGAGTGGTCAGGCTGGTTAAAGTGCTGTCTCACAGGAGTTCAGTTGATTCTTCTTTGTGATGTTTAATGGAGTGTCTGTGCATATTCATTCTGCCATTTATTTGATGGGTGGTTTCCCCAATGTAGCATCCTAGGTGGCATTTGGTGCATTGAATCATATATACCACATTGCTGGATGTGCAGGAGTATGATCATTTAATGCTGTAGGTGTTATTGTTGTGTATGGCTGTAGATGGGGTAATCTGCCACTCTGATCCTCTCAACCGGACAGTTTGCTGTCTCCCGGGTGCTCGGGTCTGGCATGTTGCGGACAGAGTGGAGGGATTATTGGGAGGGGCACCCAGCTGTCATGGTCCATATTGGTATCAATGACCAAGTCAGAGGAAAATGGAAGGTCCTAAAGAATGAGTCCAGGGAACTAGGAAGTACGTTAAAGAAAAGGACATCCAAAGTAGTATTTTCAGAAATATTACCTTTGCCACGCACTACAGCAGAAAGGCTGCAGGAGATTAGAGAGGTCAATGTGTGGCTGAAGTCTTGGTGCAGGAAAGAGGGTTTGGGGATTTTAGAGCACTGGGGCGATTTTGCACTTGGGTACAACGTGTATAGTCGTGATGGTTTGCACCTAAACGGAAGAGGGTCTGCTGTGCTGGATTTTAAACTAGTAGTAGGGGAGAGGGTCATGGCAATCTAGAAAGGACACAGAAAGGAGATGGGCTTTAGCTCAGTATAAGAGGGGTGGATATGGGGGAGGGGCAAGCTCAGAACAGAGGAGGTGTGTAATATTGATAAAAATTCACAGAAAGTACAAATGACTCATGATTATATTAAATGTATACTTACTAATGCAAGGAGCCTAAATAACAAAATTGGGGAACTAGAGGCAATAGCATACACTAAACAATATGATATAATAGGCATAACAGAAACATGATGGGATGAGACACATGACTGGGCAGTTAACTTAAATGGGTACACGTTATTTAGGAAGGATAGAAAAACAAGAAGGGTGGGGGGGTATGTTTGTATGTCTACCGTGAGCTAAAGTGAAATCTTAGGCATGTGGAGTGTAGCGAGGAAAATGTGTAAGCTTTATGGGTAGATATCTGCTTGGGATATGTTCTAAACCACCTAATGTAAATATTGAGGAAGAACAGCAGTTAGAGCAAATTGGGAAACCTGCAAATCCGGGTAACACGTTAATTATTGGAGATTTTAATTTCCCAGACATTAATTGGCATAGAGGGACTAGTATTTCAGCAAGGGGAATCTGGTTTTTGAATGTGTTAAATGACATTTTCATGTCACAACTGGTACAAGCACCAACTAGAAAGGATGCTTGTTTGGATCTCGTTTTAACAATGTTGATCTTTTGACCAACATTTGAGTAGGGTTGCATTTGGGAAATAGTGATCACAATATGGTATTTTTTTAAATAAACTAAAAAAAGCAAAAGCACGTGGGATATACTAAAATGTATAATTTAAAAAAAGCTAATTTCAATAAGATTAGGGCAGCTCTGCAACATATTGACTGGCATAAACTCCTTAGTGAAAAAAAAACCTGAAGATAAATGAAAACTCTTCAGAGAAATATTAGAAAGGTACATTTCTGAGGGGGGCGTGGCCAGCAGTGATACTGAGCGGACGTCTTCTCACGGAACTCTGCTCAGACCCAGAGAAAAACACGGTAAAAACCACGATGTCGTGGTGATTTCACCCGAGAGACAGACACCCCCCAAGCAGAGAGAATGGGGAAGAAAAATAAGAGGAATCAAGGTCCAGCAAAGCCTCAACAGCCTGATATCAGACTAGCTTTCGAGAGGCCTGTGAACTTACAGAGACCTAAGATGGCGCCTTAGGTATCTGAAGCCTCCCTGGAAGATGAAGACTCATTACCCTCTCCTTGATCCTACACTCCGGAGTCTGAGGAGTACAAGGCTCCTGCCACAAAGGCGTCATAAAAAGGCTCTTGGTGTAGCTGAGGCAAGTCTGGAGGGACGACCTGCAGAAAGTGCAGACAGAGGTACGACAGAAGGTCCAAAGCCTGGAAATAAGAGAAACCTCCAGGGATGAAAAAATACAGACTACAGGCCGTGACATACAAGAACTTACCTCACAGGTAAAACAAATGAGATGCACAGTCACCACAATGGAGGTCAGACACAGGTGGAAAAACTTGCGCCTCAGAGGCGTCCCCGAAACGGTCGACAACACACAGCTCCTACCCTACGTTCACACCCTCATAACAGCCATGGGCATTACAGACAACCCCAACATACCTCGGATCCCTTCGGCATTCAGAGTGCGGAAGTCTGCAGCAGCGCCCAAAGCAGCACCCAGAGACGTCATTGTGCTAACCCGGGACATCTCCGTGAGATCTGCCATAATGACAAGATCCAGAGAACTGGGGACGGTATCGATCGAGGGCCACAGAATAGCTATCTACCCTGATACACCATTCTCCGTCCTCACGGAAAAGAGACAACTGGCACCTATAGCCAGGAAATTAAGAGAAGCCAATATTCAGTATCATTGCAGAATGGAAGGGTCCCTCCTCACAGAAATTGAGGGTGAGAGCTTACATCAGAGGATGACCTGGAGCTCTTCCTACAAAGGGCCATCCTAACAGACATGCCACAACAAGGGACCTCACCCCCCACCAAGAATCCAGGGGACTCAGAGAGCATCAACAAACGCTGGCACAGCGGGCTGTCCAGCAACACAGTTAAGAGGCTGACTCCACTGCCCAAAGTTGCGAAACCCAGATTCTACAAGTAAATGGGGACCACACAGAGACAGAAGACGTTAAAAACCCCTTTGGGACACACCATAACCCAACGGTCCACAGGACTCTGCAACTGGCCATCGATCCTTATAGTCACAAGCGACCACCAAGTTTCAACATAGAGACAAAAGAGACTGACTAGCGCCTTGTTCCTGATCCCTATTGTTATACCCATTACTATTGGTATACCCATTATGATGTCAATATGCTCACACATGATACTTATCTGAATATATTGGAAAAGTTGAATATGCTATTCTAAACTTAATAAAATACAAATTAAAAAAAAAAAAGAAAGGTACATTTCTCAGTATGTACCATTGGGTAATAAATATAAAAGAAGCAAATTTTAAACAAATGTAGCTTACAATAGAAGTAAAACAAGAGATTAAAAATAAAAAAAGGGCATTTAAATAGGACAAATCAGAGGCATCCTATATAAGATATAAGGAAGCCAATAATACTTGCAAAAAGGCAATTAAGGGGGCTAAACTAGAAAATGAGAAATTGATAGCAAAAGAATGCAAAACCAACCCCATAAAATTTACATCAATTCTAAAAACAAATAATTAAAAATGAAAGTGTAGGTACACTGGAAACAGGGATGGGTCTGTTAGTTAATGAAGACCAGGAAAAATCTGAAATTTTATATAGCAATTTTTCTTCAGTATATATTAATGAGGATCCTATGGCAAGAGATATGCAAATGATTGCTGCAAAAAACTTGCAGATAACTTGTGATTAGATAACTCGAGACAAGGTGCTACACCAGTTAAAGAAAATTAATGCAACTAAAGCTCCAGGGCTTGACGGTATTCACCCACGAGTACTTAAGGAGCAAATTGGGGAAAAAGGTGAACCTCTGTATTTAATCTTTTAAGATTCTTTTGTTTCAGGTATTGCACCAGAGGATTAGATGAAGGCAGATGTTGTTCCTATATAAAAAGGGTTCAAAATCATTGCCTGGAAATTATAGACCTGTGAGCTTAACTTCTGTGACTGGGAAAATATTTGAAGGCCTATTAAGTAAGGAATAATTGATGACAGGCCATTGAATAATTGACGACAGGCCAGGGCTGGAGAGCAGGCAGATCATGTCTGTCACAGGGCACTCGTGTGAAACAAGCCTGAGATGCTACTGGGCACCTTCCGCTACAGAAAGAAAGAAATGGAGCTTGATCCTCTCAGGAAACAAAAGTACGAACAAAAATCAAGCCAAGGATCACCAGGAAAAAAAAAGCCTCTGCTAACATGCAGCCCCATACGCTTGATCTGCCATTTTCGATGTCTAACTTCACAATCAATGGGAATGTGCAGTTTAATTGGAATAAATAAAGTATATAGTCCTATCTATATAATCAATAGAAAATTTAACTGAATATACACAAATAGATAGTCCTACTGCACAGGTTTTCATTACAGCCTACTGTCAATAATAGAAAAATAAAATTAACAAATGAATTAAAACGAATGAATTAATAAATAAATTAAATATTGACGCACATGCTTTTCTGTCTCATTATTGCAACCTCTCTCTGTCTTTCTAATAACTGCACTAATCTGCTATCAGTGGCTCAAATCTCCGTTACTAACTCTTAAATTACGTTTTGGAATTAGCAACAAAGGCATGGGAATTGCTACGTAAGAAATTAGTCCTACATACAAGAGCGTTTTAATGAAAAAAACTAGACAAACGTCTTGAAATACATCATCTGAACAATGTTTTGAGGTGTGGTAACTGTAGTATAAGTGGAATAATTGACTCCAGGCTGTTACAGTTACAGTTATTACAGTTGACTACGCGAAGTGATATGGAACTGTAATGCGGTCAAGACCTGTCTGGAACTACTTTAGCCGTGCATCCTGAAAATAATGCACACCTTAGAACGTTCGTCAACCAATCAGATTCAAGCATTCAACGGCCCTGTAGTATAAGGGATAATATTCAGGAATTTATTGGGAAGAACTTTATTATCACTAATCAGCATGGTTTTATGAAACATAGGTCATGTCAAACTAACCTACTTGCATTTTACCAAGAAGTAAGTAGAAGTATAGATCTGGGTATTGCAGTGGGTGTGATCTACTTGGATTTTGCCAAGGCATTTAATACGGTTCCTCACAATAGGTTAATCTTCAAACTCAAAGAAATTGGTCTGGATGAATATTCTTGTTTAATGTTAAATTTTCAAGCTGGACAAAAGTGGTAAGTGGTGTCCCTCAGGGTTCTGTTTTGGGACCGCTTCTATTTAACATATTTATAAATTATCTTGAAATAGGCATTGAAAGCCATGTTTTAGTGTTTGCAGATGACACAAAACTTTGTAAATGTGAGCTTGATATTGCTTTGCTGTAGAGGGATTTAGATAGATTGGGGGACTGGGCACTAAAATGGCAGATGAAATTTAACATAGAGAAATGCAGAGTTATGCACTACGAGGTCAAGAATGCACAAGCAACTTACACCCTAAATGGTAGTTAGTAATTAGGGATAACAACACACGAGAAGGATTTAGGAATTGTTATAAACAACAAATTAGGCAGCAATATGCAATGTCAATCTGCAGTTGCTATGGCCAGTAAGGTTTTGTCATGTATAAATAGGGGCATAAATGCTCAAGTTGAAAATATAAATTTTGCCTCTTTATAAATCACTGCTAAAACCACACCCTGAATGTCCTGTACAATTTTGGGCACCTCTCTTAAAGAAGGACTTTATGGCACTAGAAAAAGTGCAGAGGCAGGCTACAAAATTAATAAAAGGAATGGAACATATCAGCTATGAAGAAAGGTTAACAAATTTAAATCTCTTAAGTTTAGAACAACAGTGCCTCTCGGATGATATAATTAATATGATAGAATTATACAAATCGATTCAGGGCTAATACAAACTGTCTGGAAATCTATTTTTATAAACAGGGCTATACATAGGACCCAAGGTCACGCGTTTAGGCTGAAAGAAAGGAGATTTAATCTAAGGCAAAGAAAAGTTATTTTTTACAGTAAGAGCAATAAGGATATGGGATTCTCTGCCTGAAGAGGTGGTTGTTATCAGAGTCCATACAGATGTTTAAACAGCAGTTAGATAAATACTTGCAAAAACATAACACAGGGAAATAATTTCGTATGGGATTTAGTGGGATAATAGCTGCTTGATCCAAGGAGATATTTGACTGCCATTTTGGGGTCAAGAAGGAATTTTTTCCTAGTTTGTTGCAAAATTGGAAGCGCTTCAGACTGGGGTTTTTTTTTTTTCCTTCTTTTGGATCAACAGCAAAAACATATGTGAGGAAGGCTGAACTTGATGGACGCAAGTCTCTTTTCAGCTATGTAACTATGTAACTTTTGTGCTGAGGTATCCGTTTCACTGCAAATATTTTTAGTAAATAAAAGTAACACAATGCTTTATTTTGCGCTCTAACTATTTCTACTTTCTCTCGCATTATATAGGACTATATCATTGTTAAGAAGTGTGCCAATCATGCAAGCTGTAGCAGCAGTACTAGTGGGTCAGAAGTATCCTCTACTATGCAAAGCTCTTTCATGGGTTCCACTTTTCTCCGTGGTACAAGAGAAGGACAACAATCTTAAAATTATTGAAATCACTAACACGATCATTCACCTGTTGACTGGAGAGGTGAGCGATGATTGAACAATATTGCATTACAAAATAAAGGGAAGTTGTAATGCACTAACAATGTTGACAGTAAGCCATGTTGTTTGAAAATCCAAAATGCCCCAATTTTTTAACACGTCACTTCAAGCACAACTGTACATCATTGCAGAGGTTATAACATACAGAGTGCGGCACCTACTTTATCTTCATAGTGGGGCTGTAAAAATCACGGCAGCTGTAGTCAGCCCGCTGGTCCTAAGAAAGGAGTTCCTATTCTATAATACTACAAATGATACCGCACTCAACGTAAAGAAAATATAAAGATTTATTTAGCAGAACATTGCCATATACCTATATATAGCTCTCATACCTATCTATTCTGAGAGTGAAGATAAAGTGACAAAAGCAGAACATTTTTTTTCTTAAGTGTTTAATATGTGCATAAAGTGATAATATTGGTATAGTACACTATCTACTTTCTTATGTATATATATAAGCAAGATCATACACAAAACCATGAATAAGTACTCAAATGGAAAGTGCATCCGATAAGAAATAATTCCTGCAGGAATCTCATTTGATGTAGGAAATAGTTCAATATTTGCATTGTGCATAGTTCATTTCATCAGAAAAACATTTAATTGGAAAATTGATTGCAACCATAATCATACTTGATGTAGCATATCTTTCGCTGGTTGCACTGTACAATGAGGTAGAAAAATTCATGAAGCAAATAATGGGGAAGAACAAATAATTCTCCTAATATAGAAAAAAATATATACATGCGTACAGAGCTATGTGCACAAAAAAAAAAAAAAAAAAAAAAAAAAAAAAGGAAAACTATAATAAAAAGTAAAAAAACATGATTTTTTTATTTTTAAAGTGTAAAACAGTCCGTATGTATATATAACATTATCCTGCCAGGAATATAGATTCGATCTCACCCATGTTTTACAGCCTCTTTAACTCCAGGGTATATACAAATTTGCAGATGAGTGTGAGATCCAATGTAAGGTTGCAAGTAACTGGGTTCCACTTGAATGAGACAGCTAAGATACAGGATTCAGATGAACGTGATAGGTAAGATCCAAGGTTCCTGGGCTGCGTGCTCGGGATACCACGTCCCTTCGATGGCCCCGGTTAAAAGAAAGTAGTAGACATCCTTAAATAGGCTGACTTTGCCGCCAAAATGTGCATCTGGACGTTCCTCTCACGTTCCTCTATACATTGCTATGTCAATTTCAACTTTTTAGTGTGCTTGTGACACACACAGGTAAGGAGAGTCGTGCTGCAGCCATATGCACGTTCCTTTCCAGGTCATATGAGCCCCGCTTGGTGATTTATTTTACGTTTATGGGAAAAGATTGTGGCCCTCCCTGCTAGCATATATTGGTCTTTGCATTGATGGCTAGATCACTATAGTCTTTCTTCTGGCCCCTCTTGAAACAGATGACCATTTCCTATGATGCACCTGGCAAGAGGGTGTTTCCAAACAAAGCTAATGGTCGCTAGTAGAATCTGGATTCGCCATCAACGTTTTGGCCTTTCTAGCAGATTGATGAGCCCTGTGACATTGTCCAAGCCTTCTTTGGCACAATAACGTGATGATTCATTTAGTTTGTAACCCTCAATCGTCAAGTTGTACAAGGAGTCAGAATCCTCAGGATATGGTTGCTTTAATCATCTCAGCCAAGTCATGTCAAGCAGCCTATATACATTTCAGATTTATTAAGCAGACACATGATATGGCCTAATTAATGGAATCTTTATTCAGATGTCTTTCTGAACTAAATAATAATTGAGATCATATTAGTGTCTTTAGAATTCGTCACAAAGTCAGATTTATTTTTCCTAAGACTGTTATGCCATAGCTCAGATTGGAACATAGTAGGCCTGCATTAATCAAGACATAAATATCATCAGGGCTTAACACTGAGCAAAAGCATCAATCAAACGTTAATCAGACAGACGTAATGTGATAGATCTAATGGACTTCAGTCAACATGTACATGTAAAAAAAAAGTTCATTTAATTGTTTTAATATTAACAAGTGCTCTTAATAATAACTTATCTGGCCATGCCAAACATAGTGTACTTACAAATATAGGTATTGGATTCTGTCCTATATGCAGATATTTGTTTTCCACCAAGCTACCATACATACCACCAACTTGGACGAGTGGACTTGACAACTCATGATAGGGACATACATGTAGAGAAATTTTAAATTATGCACTTCGACATAAAGAATACCAAGGCAAATTACATCCTAAATGGTAGTAGATTAGGGATAACACACTAGAATGATTTGGGAATTTTATAGGCAACAATAGGCAATTGTCATGTATAAAAAGGGCAATAATTCTTGGGATGAAAATATAATTTTATAAATCACTTTAAATATCCTGTGCGATTTTGGGCACCTCTTTAAAGAAGGATTTTCTGGTACTAGAAAAATTGCAGATGCAGGCTACCAAATTAATAAAAAAAAAAAAATGAAACAGTTTAGTTATGAAGAAAGGTTAACAAATTTAAATCTCTTAAGTTTAGAACAACAGTGCCTCTAGAAGATATGACAAATAGAATCAGGGCCTGTAACGGATCGACGGGCACCCCGACTGGGTACCTCCGTTGAAGGATGCTCCTAGCGCTTCCTGAGGTCTCCAAGCACTCCAGCCGACACCATAACCACCGTAGACTCTTTCAGAGAGCACGACAGGAACAAGCTCTTAAAAGAGCTTAGGAGTGATTATAGCAAGGGAATATGCAGAGCATAGCAATACCCTGTAGCAGATTCCCCCAATAAGAGACGGCACTCCAAATTGAGGGTGAAGTAGAACTGAACTTTTATTCAAACACTCTGCTTTTATGCCCATTCTACAAACATAGTACCTCCCACAGGGTTTTGAAGTACAACCAATCAATACATACAATACACTCAAACACTCCCACACAAAATCCTCCCCTCTGCCTGTTATATAATTACTGAACACAATGGGCTAACGTAATTATCACAGGCAGGAAAATACACAGTTTTCTCCAAAAGTATACATCACATTACATTTTCAGAATCGGCATACTCCAAATACAAACATACTCAAAAATCAGACAATTCCTTCCATTGGTTTAAAAGTTAGGTCGAAGTCCTTTGTGACCACTGACGCATGGCTTTCCAGCCAAAACCAGTTCCACAGAGTCCTCTATCCTGGAGATAATTGGCTTAATTGGGTGTGGTAAGCCAACTATCTCCAGGTACAGAAAATGTCTCTATTCACAACAACAGCAAAAATACATAATTCCTATCATACTGAACAGAACTCCCACATTCATGCCCAGATGGCTTGGATCTGAGTGCTCAATATATCCAAACAGCGCTCAGATCCCACAAACACAGTCAAATCGCCATGGGGTTTAAGTCTAGCATTGGCTGATGAGAGGGTCCATAGTCACAGGGTAGGAGGCTGGCAAACAGTCGTCTCCAATGCCCAGTGGCGAGGCTGGTTCTGCCACAGGGCCAATACAAACTATTGTCTGGAAATCTATTCATAAACAGGACTATACATAGGACACAAGGTCACACATTTAGACTGGAAAAAAAAAGAGATTTAGTTTAAGGCAAAGGAAAGGTTTTTTTTTTGTTTTTTGTTTTTTTTACAGTAAGAACAATAAGGATGTGGAATTCTCAGCCTCGGGTAGTTTTATCAGAGTCTATACAGATGTTTAAACAGAAAATAGATGAATACTTGCAAAAACATAACATTCAAGGATATAATTTTTAATTTGTGGGGTAAAATTTCCTTGATCCAATGAGAGATCTGATTGCTATTCTGTGGTCAAGAAGAAATGTTTTCCTAAAGTGGGTTTTTTGCAATTCTTTTGGCTCAGCAGCAACAACAGATGTTTGAAATGCTGAACTTCATGGATGCATGTTTCTATGTAACATCTTCAGCTTCATCCCTGGAAAATGCCACTTCTAAGTTAATACCAAATTTAAGTAAAGTTTGGGAAAATCAACCCTCTGTCTGCTTGAACATTGAACATTAAAAAACATAATTTGACAGCTTGCTTTTAAATTACAAGTGAAGCCATATGCAATGCAATATGTACAAATGTAATATCGAAGTGCATTCCTGCTTAAAGACATTGCATTAATCCATGTATTAAGCATGCATTTAACATTGATACCTTGACTTATAAACCTTTACCAGGTGGGGATTAAAATGTGTTCTTGGATCAGCATCCATTTAGATACTTATGTCATTCCAGACTGTTGTACCAGACACTATAACATCAGCAGAACATATGAGAAAGGTTCAGGCGCTCTTTGTGTGGGAGCCTGTGGTTTTCCACAAGATGCTCAAACAGTATCTTTTTCCTGTCCTTTCACTACCCTTAAGAGGTAATTTTATACAGAGTTTGAGAAAAAAAATATATATTTTGTTTGCATCTTAAAGGGACATATATTACTTGACAATTATTATTTTTTTTTTTAAATTAGCAAGGAAACACTTCTAAACAAATATACAAAGCAAGAAAACCGCTGAAACGTATGTAATAAACATTCATAAACTTGGTCAGCTTGCATTACTGGGAACGCCTCACAGCTAGTGCAGTTCCTTCAGCTGACCCTCCCGCTTACCCATCCGTCTCAATATCAGACCAGTCCACTAATGATAGATATAGGGCATCAGCAGGAGAGATAAACCAGATACTGGAGCCTGCTCTGCATGAATCACACTGATCATACGCCCTTTCCTCTCATAATAAGGTTAAAGGACCACTATAGGCACCCAGACCACTTCAGCTTAATGAAGTGGTCTGGGTGCCAGGTCCATCTAGGATTAACCCTTTCTGCTGTAAACACAGCACTTTCAGAGAAACTGCTATGTTTACTTTAGGGTTAATCCAGCCTCTAGTGGCTGTCTCATAGACAGCCGTTAGAGGCACTTCTGCGCTTCTCACTGTGATTTTTCACAGTGAGAAGACGCTAGCGTCTATAGGAAAGCATTGATAATGCTCTCCTATGGACTGGCTGAATGCGCGCGCTGCTCTTGCTGCGCATTCAGCCGATGACGGCGAAAAGGAGGAGGAGAGTTCCCTGCGCCGAGGGAGCCTGGCGGGGGAAAACAGGAAAGATTTAACCCCTTCCACCCCCTAGAGCCCGGCGGGAGGGGGACCCTGAGGGTGGGGGGGACCTAGAGACCCTATAGTGCCAGGAAAAAGAGTATGTTTTCCTGGCATTATAATGGTCCTTTAACCCCTTAAGGACCAAACTTCTGGAATAAAAGGGAATCATAACATGTCACACATGTCATGTGTCCTTAAAGGACCACTATAGTGCCAGGAAAACATACTCGTTTTCCTGGCACTATAGTGCCCTGAGGGTGCCCCCACCCTCAGGGACCCCTCCCACCTGGCTCTGGAAAGAGGAAAGGGGTTAAATCTTACCTTTTTCCAGCGCTGGGCGGGGAGCTCTCCTCCTCCGATCCTCCTCTTCTCCTCCCCGTCGGCTGAATGCGCAAGCGCAGCAAGAGCTGCGCGCGCATTCAGCCGGTCACATAGGAAAGCATTCATAATGCTTTCCTAAGGACGCTGGCGTGCTCTTTCTCTGAAACTGCTATGTTTATGAAAAAATGGGTTAAGCCTAGCTGGACCTGGCACCCAGACCACTTCATTAAGCTGAAGTGGTCTGGGTGCCTAGAGTGGTCCTTTAAGGGGTTAAGGTATCTTCCAACTGCACATGTGGAAATCCTTTCCAGCATTCATAGGGATAGGTCCCCCTTGAGTTGGTGTAGAATGCATAAGAAAAAAGCAGCAGGTAACTATGAAAAAAATCATATTTACCTGATTTTATTTTTCAGCCTGTTAAGTGAGTCAACTAAAGATTTTGAATGAGGCGGCCATCTCAGAGTGATGTATGTGGTGACATGCTGGTTTTATCTATTACTCCACTTATTCTATCATTTATTTGTTATTACTATATGCCTCAATCATAATCTATCATTTCATATTTATTTACAGCTGCTTATGAACTTTTAACAGTGTTGACACACTTTTTCATTGTTTTCGAACACTTTATACCTTAAGTTAAGCAGTCACGCTTAAAGAATAAGATTTATTACAACCTAATTCCCTTTAACTAGCAGAACAGCCAATACGATTCGATATGACAGCTGACAACAGTTCTCAGCAAATCAGCGAATAACTAGAAAGTGAAAACGAACACTACATATATAAAAAAATAGCATAGGAGTTTGGGGGATTATAGTGCCCACTATGCACATAATGCAAGGTTATAGGATTAGCCACTGATAACTTTCATACTGTGATGTAATTGCAAAGTTATCATGTTGTGTTAACCCTGCAATCTCAGCATATTGATCTCAAGATCTTGTGATTAATGACAAACGTAAAAGAAACACTAGAAACCCCTAAACCTCTTCAGCTTGCTAAGTAATTTAGGTTACAAATGCATTTCCCCCTTGTTTTATTTTTCAAAGTGCCAATTTCAAAAGACACCAGCACTTTTGTAAGTCCCTTTGGTAACACCTCCTAGTTGTCAACCAGACAGAAACAGAAGTAAGAGCTTCTTGTATAGAAGTGTTGATTTTATTGGTTTTCTTTGAGCAGATCTTGGTTATTGCCGTGCCTGCTCCCTATACTTCTCTACGATGCTTGTGTTGATCTCAATGGAGGGGGGTGGAGTGGAGCTGAAGTGAAAAGACAACAAACTCAACACTGCATTAAATGTAAATTACTTGGGTTTGGTGGGGGTTTTTTGTTTGTTTTTCTGAAGACACATTTGGAGGGGCCTTAAGTCTCAAATAGAAATGGGAAACATCAAACCTTAAAAATAAATGTATTTATCGGATTTAAAGTTCATAATGGTTATTCACTGATAATATTGTCAGAAACCAGATGAAGGCAAATTTGGATTGTAATCATGTAGAAAGCAAGCAAACATGCAACACCAAGCAAAGTTCAGAAACCATTATCAAATGAAACCAAACAGTTGTTTGTGATTGAGACCCACGTTTTTTAAGTTTACGGAGGCTATGTATTTTTCCCTCTGTCGATGATTGCTTTGTATGATAAAACAAATTGGAAGAGAATGGTTCCAGACCCTGTTTTACAATGTTGTTTTCTTTTTCTCCATGGAGGAGGAGCAACATTTAGAAGATTACAGAGATCATTCTGAAGAAATAACAATGGCAAATCTTCAGCCTCTCAGCTCACTAGGCAAGTGAAGTTTCTAATTACTCGTCATGTGTAAAGCAGATATTCCCACTTTGATAAATCTTTCATTAGTAAAATTTTTATCAATGAGGAAAACAACAAATTTAGTTTGGTAATTAAAGGGTTACTCAAAACACCATAACTACAGCAGTTTCTGTAGTAGTAATGGTGCCAAGAGTCCACTGACACCATCCCCTGGTAAGGACTCAAACAGCTTCTGTTTGTTTTCACACCTGGATCTCCTGGGTCCCCCGGTCCTCTGGGTCTTTATAATGTCAACGTTATCATTCCACATTGGCTATAATCATTTTTGAGCAACTTTGCACTTCATTTATTGGCGGAGGATCAGAGAGCAGTAAGAGTCTCTGCTCCTTTTACAATTTTGCTGAACTGACCACAAGGTGATGCTGACAGTTCTGTATGTGAACACCTACATCTCATTACACAAAGCAGTATAACTGGGCAGGACTGCAAACACATAGTCCAAGTATAAGGTTAGGGACAGATATAGATTAGACCCAAGGCAACTTTCCAGAATAAACTGTCTTGATAATGCAATAGGGACATCTCTAATTCGAGTATTATTTTTGAGGCTACGTTTTTGCAGAATTAGTTAAGTTCTATATGACAAAGCTGTTGTAGAATGAGTCAGTGGGCTAATTTTAAAATTGAAGAATGGGTGTCCGCTAAAAGTATACACATGATTTGGGTCCCTGTCAAAATAAAGTGGCATGGTAGTATATATTTTATTGAAAATAGAAATGTATTTCTGTTTGGGGATAATATGCATAGGGGGGACAGGTTATTTGTTTCAGTGTCATTTGGGATTGTGTCATTTTTTTTCTATCTGATATACCGATACTGGATTATTGCTACACACTTTTAGATAATATGAACTAATACTATTGACGTGAATGCAATGTTTTCCATAACTGAAAATTTTACTCTCTTTTAAATAGATTGTGCAAGCAAAGAATGTGGGAAAAAAATAAAGAATGGAGCCAAAGACAAGATATCAAATAAGCGAAACAGAAAACGTAGGTCTGAGCGAAATTTGGGAAAAGAATCTTCCTTGCATGATGAAGTTGAAGGAAGTCCAAGTTACTTATCTGCAGAAAATGCAGAAGATGATTATATTGCAATTATTATTAAGGAGGAATCCAGTTCATGTGATGAAGACAATATTACAGACCACGGCCTTTCTACACCTGCAGAACAGGAAAAGTATGTATCTGTTTGTGTTAAAGAGGAATCCTCAACTGAAAAAGGCAAGCTCATAAACTCTGACACATCCATGAATCTTACGCAAGCAGACAATACATTTGTTCACATTAAGGAAGAATCGGTATCGTGCGAAGAAGGAAATTCCACTGATTCTGACATGCTTGTACCTTCATTATTTACACTTACACAATCCAATAAAAATTTCAAATACACACAGAAAACTCCTAATGTGTCCATAGAAAAATGTTCAAAATGTGGAGCAAATTTCAAAAAGAAATCCGATTTTATCTCTCCTGAATCAACACACACCAAGGAAAAGCTATATAACAACTCAGAGTGCCAGACATGTAACTTGGATCGTATTAAAAAGGCAGTTCACAATAGAAAGAAGCTAGCTTGCTCGTTATGCGGGAAAGAATTTTCATATAAGTCACAGCTTGCTACACATCAAAGGAATCATACAGGAGAGAAACCGTTCTCATGTCCTGAATGTGGAAAATCTTTTACTTGGAATTCACATCTTGCAGCACATGTAAGAATTCATACTGGAGAGAAACCTTTTGCATGCTCGTTGTGTGAGAGAAGTTTTACTAATAGTGCAAGTCTTGTTGCACATCAAAGGTCTCATACGGGAGAGAAGCCATTCTCCTGTTCAATATGTGGGAAATGTTTTACAAATAGCACTTATCTTGTTACTCACCAGAGGATTCACACTGGAGAGAAGCCATTTTCATGTTCTGAATGTGGGAAATGTTTTACCGACAAATCTAGCTTTATTAGACACTTGAGAATTCATATAGGTGTGAAACCATTTTCATGTTCTACATGTGGGAAGTGTTTCATTGAGAAAGGGAGTCTTCTTAGGCACCAAAGTATCCATTCAAAAAAGAAACAATAAGTTATTTATGGTAAAATCCACAACTGATTTTGAATGTTTGAACTGATATTTATATAATATATGAGTGATATATTTCATTTGTTTTCTCTAAGGACCTTTGCCCCCTATTTATTCATTTTTCAGTTTATATTTTCCTGTTTATTTTTAATAAGCACCATAAGCGGTCTTGCATATGCTGTTTGAGGCCTAGCTAAGGTTTTGGGAGGAGTATAATTATGAACTTATTTCTTGTGCATTTCAGTAAGGGGGTTTACCCCAATTCCCAATATCCTTTCTAGTTTGCTTCTTTTTTTTAATGTTGCATACGGTTTTGGAGTAATATTTATATAATAGGTCAATACCTCTCAAAATGCTATGTAATCAAATCAAGCAATTCGGAAAGAAAACTTCTAATTTTGTGGTATTTTTATTTGTTTGTCATCTGAACAATATCTAGATTAGATGGTGAAAATAAACCAAGCAGTGATTTGTGTTATACCGACACGAATGTGTGTTAAATGCACACACATGTCAATCTTCACCAAAAGAATGAAAATTGTCTCCCTTCCCCTTGAGCTGAAACATATCTGTGTTAGCTGTGAGGATGGAGGGGATTCGAAGTGGTCTAGTATGCAGGGATGTCCTTGGTATAGGAAGGAAGAGAAAAGTCATGCACTACCATGTCCAGCCTCCTTTATGCTCTCACTTCAATTTTTACAGTTCAAAGCCAGCCTGAAACTTGGGGAGGTGTATACTGGAGTGATTACATTACAAAACCCTACACACCGTGCAGTTAGTAGTAAATTCTTTGAAGTGAATGAACGGCTGGCTGCTTGGCATCACTGTAAAATGTTGGAGAGGCAGAGGGAGCTCAGAAGTGGAGAGAAATCACTGTGCTAGGCAACATGGCCTCCCACCCCATTCACCTTGCTACTCTAGGCTCAGGCTTAGTCATTCTATTTGATAATACGATCATTCAGACCAGTCTACCTCCACATTCATCTAAGACTTTTCTGTTTTGTTAGAGTTGTCATTAATGGTAAATTTTCAAGCTGGACAGAGTTGGTAAATGGTGTCTCTCAGGGTTTTGTTTTGGGACTCCTTCTATCGAACATGTTATAAATGATCTTGAAAAAAGCATTAAAAGTCATGTTACAGTGTTTGCAGATGACACAAAATTTTGTAAACTAATACAATGTGAGCAAGATATTACTTTGCTGCAGAGGGAGTTAGGCTGGAGGACTGGGCACTCAAATGGCAGATGAAATTTAATGTAGAAAAATGCAAAGTTATGCACTTTGGGGTAAATAATGCACAAGCAACTTGTACTTTAAATGGAAGTGAATTAGGGATAACAACAAACGAGAAGTATTTGGGAATTGTTATAGACAACAAACTAGGCAACAATGTGCAATGTCAATCAGCAGTGGCTAAGGCCAGTAAGGTAATGTCATGGATAAAAAGGGCATTAATTCCCGGGATGGGAATATCATTTTGCCTCTTTTATAAATCACTGGTAAGATCACACCTTGAATATGCTGTGAAATTTTGGGCCCCTGTTCTAAAGAAGGATATTATGGTACTAGAAAAAGGGCATAGGCGGACTACAAAATTAATAAAATGAAGAAAGGTTAACAAATTTAAACCTCTTTAGTTTAGAAAAAATGTCACCTCAGAGGGGATATGTTACCATTATCCAAATATATCCGGGGCCAATACAAATGGTTGTGTGGAAATCTATTTACAAACAGGACTATACATAGGACACGAGGTCGTGTTTAGACTAGAAGAAAGTAGATTTAGTCTAAGGCAAAGGAAAGTTGTTGTTTTTTTACCATAAGAACAATAAGGATGTGGAGTTCTCTGCCTGAAGAAGTGGTTTTATCATAGTCTGTACAGATGTTTAAACAGCTACTAGGTGCATATTTGCAAAAAACTTAATATTCAATTATATAATTTTTCACCTGTAGGGTAATAGCTTATTGATCCAAGGATCAATCTGACTGCCATTATGGTGTCAAGAAGGAATTTTTTTCCCAGTTTGTTGCAAAATTGGAAGTGCTTCAAACTAGTGTTTTTTGCCTTCTTTTGGATCAACAGCAAAAACATACACGAGAAAGGCTGTCTCTTTTCAGTCTATGTAACTATGTTTTATAAAGAGAATTACTCACTTCTCCTCAGCCTTTCCTTAATCAGTGATGTGGAATTCTTATCCCCTGATGCCCAGGATATGTAGTTTTGGTCACAAGGCAGGCAGTTTGCCTTTTTTTTTTTTCTTCTTTAGCCCTGCCACATGCAAGCATTAGGGGAGTTGGGGCATGTTCTTACATTTTGTGTCACTTTACCCCACTCCCTTCTAGCATGTAAGCTCACTGAGCAGGGCCCTCAACCCCACTGTTCCAACTTTTCTGGTTACAATTACATGGTTGTTGGTCTACCCACTGTAAAGCGCTGTAGAATTTTTGGCACTATGATAATAATGTAGCATGTGGCTTGCATCTCCAGTAGTAGTCCTAACACAGCCATCAGTATTACCAGCCTGACTCACTGAGTGCCAGGACTGTAGAAGTGTTAACTGTGGTCTGCAGTGGCCAGAAGTGCAAACCATTCACTCCCTCACTGGGCCACCAGGAAGTTTTAACCTTCTGGATAACCAGGAAGCATAGCTAATCGTCCCTGCAAAAAGGTAAGTGTTCGATAGAACATGTTGGATAGAAGGGATCCAATAACCAAGTAGGTCACCACAGCTTTATATCCATCTGTTAATACCCTGACCGAAAGAAGGTTTCAGATTAGTCTTTTCTGCAATTATCAAAATAGTTTCCTCCAGCAACAACCAAGTGCAAAGAATACACAAACTATCATAGCTTAAAATTGTACAATATAACTGAAACTGTTCTTAATAATGGATGTGTATGTATTATAAGGGATTCTTCACCAGAACTCGTTAAAATTACATTAATAACTTTAGAAGTAGTTATGATAATTCATCAATAAGTAAAATGTACAAAAAGAATGTATGCATGTTTTGCTGAGTTCAGCCAAAGGAAAACCATATTTCTTACTCCCATTCAAGTTTCAGAAAAATGACAACTGCAGGGGAATTTCAGAAAAAACACTGTCCAAGAACGCACCATAAACAGCTTCCCTACACCCCACTAGCAAGGGCATCCCTAGCAATCTGGCACGAGCTGAGCTTCTGTAGGTAACCTGTGTGAGGAAGAGTCATGTTGCCACCAAATCTGTTTCAATGATGGTACCCAGGAAGGTACTCTTGTGTTTGGTTCAAGAGAGCACTTGGGAACACCCATGTTTACTGACCAGAACCATGAGCAAGTGTTTATGTTTTACCATTAGCTCATAATTAAATACCAGTATGAGAATATCTTTCAGGGCCCCAGAGATTTCCATGGCATGAGCTTGCACCATCAGTGAACCCATAACATTGGAGCAATGAGCAGATTGAACAGTAGTGCAGTCCACTGGTAAAATCAGTCACTAAAAACACCAGTGGCATGCCCCCCTTTCCTCTTTGGCTTCTCCTCCTGTCGCATGTTCATATCTACCAATGACAAGCCAACATATAATTTTTGGGATTGTAGTTCCCCAACTATGGGGGGGGGTCTCACACCCTTCCTCCCTAATATGTTATGTTTCATATTATCTTACAGTCTGCTAATAAATTGTTGTGAACTTACCCAAGGTCTGAATAGAAAATAGATGTTATTTTTGAACTCCTTGCAGGCATTGAACCGGAGTGTAACAGTCTAAAGTTTCCATTGTGTCATAATTAATCACTTTTTACTTGCCAGTTCATGTGGTCAATGGTCATTTAGAAGCTGCTTCAAGCTTTAAGAAGCAGTGGGAAACCAAACACTAAAACTTAATCTACTTGTCAGTAAAATGCTAAACGAACCCTGAGCTAGGTCTACAAGGGACTCTTGAAAAACTCGGAAGGAAGCTTTGTTTTTGTTTTACAACACAAGCATTAAAAATCACTTAACAGAAAAGGTTACTACAGGAATTTACCCTGTGAAGCTGAATCTGATCTTGACAAATTCTCAAACATTAGGATTGTCACTGTCATACCGAGACAAGTTGTCAAACGAAATCTAATAGCAGAGTTGATATATGGCTATTGTAACTTTATTACCCCAGTAGCAGTCACAAAGTTAATATAAAATTATATCTGAAGTCTATATTTACCTAAGCTATATTTAATTATTATAAATAGAGACGCAATTTCATTTAACTTGGTTACTTAGCAGAGCAGTATTTGATATGAGGATGCAGCAATTTGCTTCATTAATCCAGGAATATACTCTGAACCAAAATATCTTTATCAGAGGGAAATGCCACTAGGACCGATTAAAACTAAAATTCCCAATAGTCACATCTCTAGAAGCAATGGCAAGAGGTGGTTGAGAAATTATGTTGCAGAAGGGCAGGATCTGATGGACATTTCCAGCAGGTAAGACTAACAGAAAAAAGTGAAAGACGGTAATTCTGTTCTTAGAAGGTTAATAGAATGACTCTTGAATTTAAGGAACAGTGGAACAATGGTCGGTGAGGGTCAAAATCATTATCTTATTGGAAATCTGTGAGGGGAGTTTAGATTGGTTCTAGAGAAAAGTAGGTGGGGATTTATGTAAGTGGGCATGAAAAGGGAAGTACAAAGTGGAAATGGCATTATCTGGAATCACACCACATGTACACGTCACCAAATGTACTAAGAAGTAGTGCTGAAGTCAGTGGTAGTTGAAAAATACAGGGAAAAACATAATCTAATAAAGAGGCAAGGAAGTGTGCCAAGGTGGTAAGCTCTGAGGGGATTAAAAAGTGTCTCTGGATAACAAGTCACATATTATTGGGGGACAAGTTATCAGAGATAGGTAGCATGGATGAAAAATTGAAGCTAAGATATATTGTATCTGGGTTGTCCTGTCTCCTCACTGTTGAGGAACATTGAGGGTATTTTTGCCTGTTTCTAACCTCTCACTCCTAGGAGTAATGGGAGTTTGAGCGCAAGGCTTATTTTTGTATATTTGTATATGCTTTTGTATTATACAGCTATGTTACAGTGCTTCCGTCCAGCCCATGTGTTCCCTATTAAGGGTTAAGTAGGTAGTGGTTTAGAAAATACCCCTCTCTGTCTCACTAGAGATTTTTTTGACCTGAAGCTGAAGGAATCAAGGTGAATTGTTAGTGTAGGACTCACCTAGGAGGTTTGCCTTGACGTGGCAGGTGAGCTTCCACTTAATGGCCATTGGAGTGATACTAAAAACCTCCAGTTGTTTAAATATGCATAGGGATTTGGGATAGTGCGCAGGTAACTTTTCTTAACTCATTCAGGCCTTTCATGCACCAATAGTGATTGCTGATGCGGCTGGAGCAGCTGGTCTCTCGTTTCCTTAATTAATTGCACTATCCATGTGGGATCTATGAAAGGCCTTTATGCTAGTGCAATTTTTCATTGTGAATTGCTGCTGCTCATTAGTGACATGTGTTGTTAATTCATTATGTTCTATAGTAACATTGTAATGTATGTTCCTTTATGACGGACAAACAGATATATCAGGTACATATTTATTTATTATTTATTCACTGTTATGTTTTAATTATGGTGCTTCTTTGTCCATTCACTGGTATAATATATTAATAAGGATTATTTTGTTAAGTTATATGTCACTAAGGCCTCCATTGCTTTCCAGCTGATAATGTTTATTGTCAGTTTATCGACTCCAAATAATCCTTTTATTGGTTTGAATTGATAAGATAAAATGTTTATCAGGAGCCAATTAAATAATGGTTTGATTAACATCGATTTGTAAATAATATTTATTATTATTATTATTTATATAGCGCCAGCAAATTCTGTAGCGCTGTACAATGAGTGGACTAACAGACTCGTAATTGTAACCAGACAAATGGACGCACAGGAAGAGAGGGGTTGAGGGCCCTGCACTTACAAGCTAGAGGGAGTGGAGTATAGTGACACAAAGGGTATAAGTAGGGGTAATGATATAGGTTGCTAGAAAAGTATTCACTGAGAACTTGGGAGTAGGGGTAATGATATAGGTTGCTAGAACAGTATTCACTGAGAACTTGGGTTATTTTTGACAGTTCCAGGAGAGGAGTCATAGGGGAGAGTGGGTGAATGAAAACCTGCTAACAATTTAAATTATATGCTTTCCTGAAGAAGTGGAGATTGGGTGAAAGTCTAACGGAGACGGGACGGAATTCCACAGAAAAGGTGCAGCCCTGGAGAAGTCTTGGAGGCGAGCATCAGATGTGGTAGTACGGACAGAGGATAGACATAGGAAGCCAATGTAGGGACTGAAAGAGGGGGAGGCGTGGGAGGTGCGGGCGGACAGGAAAATGAGCCTCACCGCCGCATTCGTGCACCCTGGGAACACGTAAGACCACCGAGAAGGGGATTGCAGTAATCAAGGTGAGAAAGAACAACGGCATGGACCAGCACCTTAGCTGCGTCTGGTGTTAAAGGACCACTATAGTGCCAGGAAAACAAACTCGTTTTCCTGGCTCTATAGGGTCTTTGGGTCCCCCCCACCCTCTGGGTCCCACTCCCGCCGGGCTGAAGGGGGAGGAAGGGGTTAAACGCTTACCTTTCTCCAACGTCTGGCTCCCTCGGCACTGGGGAAATCTCCCTCTTCCGACGTCATCCGCTTCCGACGGCAAGAGCCGCGTGCACATTCAATCAGTCCTATGGACGCTGGCATCTTCTCACTGGGAAAATCACAGTGAGAAGCGCGGAAGCGCCTCTAGTGGCTGTCAGTGAGACAGCCACTAGAGGCTGGATTAACCCTAATGTAAACATAGCAGTTTCTCTGAAACTGCTATGTTTGCAGCTGCAGGGTTAACCCTAGATGGACCTGGCACCCAGACCACTTCATTGAGCTGAAGTGGTCTGGGTGCTTATAGTGGTCCTTTAAGTAGGGGTGGATGTAAGCCATGTTTTTGAGATGGAAGTGTTAGGATTTGGCGATCGACTGGACATGAGGGGTGAAGGAGAGGTCGGAGTCAAAGAGAACACCTAGGCAGTGAGCCTGCGAGGTAGAGGTGATGATGGCGCCGTTGACTTGGAGGGAGACAGACATGGGAGTTGCAAACTCTAAGGGAGGAAAGACCAGAAGTTCTGTTTTTGACAGGTTGAGTTTGAGGAAGTGAGCAGCCATCCAGTTGGGAATCGCGGAGAGGCAGTCTTGACATGAGTCAAGATGGGAGGAGAGAGATCAGGAAAGGACGGGTAGTTTTGTGTGTCATCTGCATATGATAATGGAAGCCAAGGAGCTTATGAGTTTACCAAGGGAAGCAGTGTAGACTGAGAACAATTGGGGACCAAGGACAGAACCTTGGGGAACGCCAACAGAGAGGGGTTGGGGAAAAGAGGCAGAACCAGAGAAAGAAACACTGAAAAAGCGCTGGGAGTGGTAGGAGGAGCACCAGGAGAGAGTAGTATCTTGTAGACTGAGATTACAGAGAATGAGAAGAAGCTGTTGATGATCAACAGTTTCAAAGACAGCAGAAAGATCAAGGAGAATTAGGATAGAGTAATGGCCGTGAGATTTAGCAGCATTTAAATTGTTGAATACTTTGGTCACAGCTGTTTCAACAGAGTGACGAGTGCGGCATCCCGATTGAAGCGGGTCAAGCAGAGAGTTGGATTTGAGGAAGTCTGTCAATCTCGCATACACAACTCTCTCAAGGATCTCGGAGGCAAACGACAGTAGCGATATAGGGCAGTAGTTGGATGGGGAGTTGTGGTCGAGGTTAGGCTTTTTCAGAATCGGCGTTATAGTTGCATGCTTGAAGGGTAAAGGAAATGTGCCAGAGGAAAGTGAGAGATTGAAAATTTCAGTGAGAGGAAGAGCAAAAGAGGGAGACAGAATGCGGATAAGATATGAGGGAATAGGATCAAGGGAACAGGTGGTGGGGCGGAAGGACTGGAGCCGAGTAGAAACCTCTTCCGTTGTAGTAGGTGCGAATAAGCATAGAACAGTGGAGTAAGTGGGGTTGGGTGATGTATTGGAAGGGGAGGGAGAGTGGTTACAGATCTCTTCCCTGATTGTAGAAATCTTCTCAGTGAAGTGCGTTGCAAAGTTTGAGGCGCACAGGGTGGTAGGGGGAGGGGGAGCAACAGGGCGAAGAAGAGCATTAAAAGTGTGAAATAGGGGTTGTGGTTTAGCGCTCGAGCTGCACGGTCGCATGTCGGAGTAGCTCCCGCTGCTCAAGCTACACGGGGCACTAAATAATCGGACTACCGAGCATTATTAACTGCAAGAGACACCGCAGGTACTCACCATGTCCCAGAGGCTGAAAACCAAGCCCATAAAGGCAGACAAAGCGTCCTTCTTTCTGGCAAAAGCCGCACCGCAAAAAACGAGGAAGATGCCGAACAAGATGGCGGCCCGTCATGATCGTGGGAGGGCTTGCCCGCTTCCCAGCCTCCCCTGGAACAAATGCTGTTGACCAGCCCCTCACAGTAGCTACTATGAGGAGCATGATGGCTGAACTCACAAACTCAGTCCAGAGGAGCCTTGAGGCTCAAATGCTTACATTGACGGCTGATCTCAGAAAAGGACATAGGGAACCGCACTGCGCATCTAGAGTCCAAGATGGCCGACTTCTCCACGGCCCATAACAGCGTGGCTGACAAAATGAAAGAACTGGAAGACGTTATCACAGCTCAAAAACTCAAACTGGCAGATTTGGAAGACAGGTCCAGGAGGAACAACCTCCGATTTAGGGGAATACCGGAGTCAGTAACAAATACTGATTTGGAAACTTACTTACAAGATATGTTCCAGCAGATGACCCCCGAACTACATCCGGACCAACTACTGCTAGACAGGGCGCACCGACTCAGGAGACCTAGACACCTACCTAACACGGCAGCGAGGGACATCATAGCAAGAGTACACTTCTTTCACGCCAAAGAAAGAATAATCAAGGCAAGCAGGAACGGGGGGATGCCTGAGAAATTTAGCAACATAAAAATCTTCTCTGACCTCTCGGCAGAAACCCTACAATACCGCAAATCTGTGGCACAAATCACGCTGTCGCTGCGCACTCAGAGACTGAGCTACAGATGGGGATATCTGGCTAAGTTGCTAATATACCCTAAGTTGCTAATATACCCCCTATACTACTATACTATACAAATAAGACTCCCTCCACTCCATCACGTCAGCACCACAAGGCATAAAGCTGCTCAGAGATTGGGGTATCCCGCTGGCTGAGGTACCAAAAACGGGCCTAGCGAAAGTTCCCCGCCTGGCTCAGGATTGGGCATCCCGATAAAGAGACTCCATACCTAAGCTGTATACGTAAGACGCATAACCAAGTTACCAGTTATTTTGTTGTACATATTATTATGTAATTTTGTGTTTTTCCTATCTAACTGTCTCACACGAGACGCACGTAGGGGAGACTACCGGGGCCCCCCAACCTCCTCCCACACCGACTCAACAAGTACTCAACGAGACATACTCTCGGTTAGATCATGACACTGCCCAATTACCAAAGGTTGGGGAGTCGGGACACCGGAGACCCACAGGTACACACACAAAAAAAAAACGGGCCACGAAACAAAGGTTAATTGCACATGCACCCATGGTGCCCCAGTGTGTGCTTGTAAAGGGGACATCCTCCTCAACGGAAAGTCCCAACACCACCATCCCCCTAGACTGCAAGCGACCCCCGGGTGCCGCAAAAAGGCTAGACCCAGAGGAGCCTCATAGGGCTATGCCCTCTTTTACCCCCCACTCTCCTACATACAGTAAACAATACAAAGACAGAAGCCAAAGGTTGACCTTACCCCGTCCCCCTCCTGCCTCCTCCTGCCTTCCAACAGACATTCACACTGAACTGTCAAACAAGGCCACATACCAGAACATTATGTATGAGAAAGAGTTCGAAAACCTACATACACGGGTACAATCACTAGCATTACCTGACGTAACCACACCAGAATGAGAATAGTGTCTTATAATGTTAAGGGGCTACATTCCCCTGGAAAACGTAGACTGCTTTTGCATGACCTTAAGAAAAACTCAGTTGATATAGCATGCCTTCAAGAAACGCACTTTAGACACCCCACTGCTCCATCACTCTTTACAAAACTATACCCTATACAGTATCATGCCCTGTCGGAAGCAAATGATAGGGGTTTCCATCTTAGTGCATAAAGACGTCGCCTTTACTCTGCAAAGCTGTTACATAGACCCTAAAGGGAGATACATCATAGTGGTAGGGCTCTTCGACAATACACAATACACCATAGGAGCAGCGTACTTCCCGAATGACAACCAAGCCTCTTTCCTCAAATCTCTGTCCAAACTGGATGCATACAAACAAGGGAGGCTCATACTGGGAGGAGACTTTAACTTCATCCAGTCCCCGACCCTTGACACTACCGCCTCCCCACAGGGTAAACGCAAAAAAGGAACTCAAGCCCTCTGCAAAACTATCACCAACACCTTGGCCTTGTATAACCTATACGATAGCTGGAGAATGCTACACCCCACTGACCGGGATTACACTTTCTAATCCAGGGTCCACAACACATACACACATATAGATACATTCTTCATAGATAACAAGACCCTACCACAATTGACAGCCTGTAAAATAGGGGATATAACGTGGTCTGATCATAGTCCAATCTATCTTGACTTGGAAGATACATACCAACCCCGAGGCAGAGGCACATGGAAACTAAACAAGTCTCTCCTCCTAGACAGACCATTTGTAGAGCGTATGAGGCTAGAACTCAGTGAATATTTCCTCGGTAACACAACAAACGAGGTCTCGGACTATACAGTGTGGTCCGGGCAAATCCCCGGGCGCAGATGGACTCTCAAACACCTATTACAAGACATTCACAGACATACTTACCCCACACCTGCTAAAAGTATACCCCACAGCGACAGAAACAGGATCCCTCCCCCCTGAAATGCTAGTGGCCACGATATTAACGCTCCCGAAACCAGACAAGCCTACAGACAATTGTAAAAATTTCCAACCTATCTCCCTTCTCAATACAGATGCGAAGATATACGCTAAGATACTGGCCAACAGACTGGCACATATCCTTCCAACTATCATAGGAGACGACCAAACAGGCTTCATTAAGAGTAGGCAGGGCAGAGACAATACTAGAAAGCTCTCCTTGGTGCTGGAAAAGCTGAGGGGATCGGGACAGGCTGGGCTTTTACCAGCCCTAGACGCCGAAAAGGCGTTTGACCGTCTGAATTGGTCATTTCTTGAACACACACTTCTAAAATATGACATCCCCGCCGAATTTATCAAGCAGATCTTCGCCCTATACGCAGGTCCCACCGCCCAGGTACTACAAGCCGGCTTCCTCTCAGACCCGTTCCCTCTAACGAATGGTACGAGGCAGGGATGCCCTTTATCGCTGCTATTTTATGTCCTGGGCCTAGAACCACTACTGGTCCAAATTAGGAATCGGGCAGGTATCCGGGGAATAGAGCTACATGGAAGGGAAATTAAAATTAGCGCATTTGCGGATGACATCCTCCTCTGTGTCACCGAACCAGAACAGTCGATCCCACTTATTCTAGACCTCATAAGGGAATACGGGACGATGTCATACTACTCCCTTAATGCCAGCAAGACACATGCGCTGGGAGTGCGGCTCAGCCAACGAACATTAACTGCCCTCAAGAAGGAACATCTTTTTGAGTGGAGAACAGATACAATAAAATACCTAGGACTGACCTTCACAAAAAACCCTACAGAGACTTTTTCTGCTAACTATGTTAGGGTGTGGGGAGACTGTCGTCAACTAATGAAGAAATGGGGCACCTTGTTTCTGACCTGGACCGAGAGAGTAGCAACCATCAAAATGTCCATATTCCCTAGGCTTCAATACTTGTTTCGCAACCTACCGATCCAGGTACCCATGTCCTACCTCCGAGAAACACAAAAGGATATTAACAGATTTGTGTGGGGGGGCCAAAGGGCCCGGGTACAGGGAACACTGCTACGAGCACCGGTGAGACAGAGTGGCCTCGCCTTACCGGACATTAAGACATACTACCAAGCAGCGATATTAGCAGCAATCCTTCCCCACTTCACAAACACGGCTTTACTGCAATGGGTGCAGATGGAAAAACTAGCTATTAAGCCCTTTGACGTACCCACCATACTGTGGCTTCCAAAAAGGTTTAGGCCAGAGGTGCCACAGATGCCAACACAGTTGAAAATAGCAGTCAACGCTTGGGATAAGCTTCAACATAAACTAACAACCCATACCCCACTATAACCGGCCACCCCACTCAACACTATCACATATTGTATCCCAACCTTTAATGCCAAGCCATGGATAACTAACAGGGTCACACACCTGCACCAAATGCTCACACATAACAAACTAAAAACTTTTCCAGCCCTACAAGAAGAATACCACATACCGGTGGCCTCTCAATTCTCCCACATGCAAATAAGCTTGTTTATACATAAACACACTGAAAAAACTTCCACCCCAGACAAAAGCTCTTTCGTTATGACAAAATGGGAACAGACGACCACCAAGGGTTCATGGGCACCAGCGTTTAAGCCACTATCTTGGTGTTATCAGCTTCTCCGACCCACACAACACTTTGCAGACTCTAACCCAGCCAAACACTGGGCACAAGACCTACAATGTCACATAAGTAAAGACCACTGGGAACGTGCTATAGTAGCAACCAAAAAACTAATCAAGTCAGAAACCCTACTGGAACAATATAAGAAGACTCTATATAGGTGGTACATGGTACCCACTCGCTTGCACAAGCTATACCCAGGCTCGTCTCCAGTGTGCTGGAGATGTGGAAAGGGGGAGGGAACAGTACTTCGCATCTGGTGGCAATGCGAACAAGTAGCCAGCTTCTGGCGAGACATTGGCCGCCTGATCCGAGACACTACACACACCAAGCTCCCCTTCATGCCCCTAGCGAACCTTCTACTACACATGCCAGACAACACACCTAAAGAGGTACAGAAACTAGCCTTCCACATCCTTTTCACAGCCCAGAGGACAATAGCTAGATTATGGAAAATGCCAAGACCACCACAAGTGGCAGAGGTTTGTAAAGACATTGATACACAACATCTATATGAATCCCGCTATCGAGGGGTTTTCACCTTGACGGACACGGCCACGGAAGCATGGAGGCTATGGGATGCGAGAAAAGCGGTAGACCCCTGGCAACCAAGCCACTAGACATGATAAGCTCCTACGGTCAATCACTAGGTAAAGGTAGACAGACGAGAGACAATGCAACACGATAGAGACAGAACCGAAAGAATAGGCAAAATTAAGAGTCGTAGAAAAAGTGTATGTAGGTATAAGACACAATTAAAAGATCTCAATAAATGTGATTGTAAACTTTGATATAAAAGTTTGGTATGGACCCCTTCCTCCCCTCCCTGCTTTCATTCTGTAACCTCCCCCCTCCCCATCAGTTTCATGTTTTATGTCTATGACATTTATGTTTATGACATCTGAATGACGAAAATCAATAAAAGATTTTAAATGGAAAAAAAAAGTGTGAAATAGGCATTTGGGTTGGCAGGACAGTGTGCTTATGAGGGTGTTGAAGTAATTTACTTTGGCAGAGGAAAGAGCCAGAGTGTAGGAGTGCAGCATAAATTTAAAGTGGATGAAGTCCAGTGCAGAGTGAGACTTTCTCCAACAGCGTTCAGCAGTTCTGGAACATTTTTTTTAAAGATATCAGGTCAGCCTGGTGTTCCAGGGTTGTAATTGCTGCGTCACAAGAAAAAGGGTAGCTGCGCACACAATGGTATATTGTAGATACAATAAATGGTATCTAAAAGGTATAAGCATAAAAGACCATCATAGCGTAATATGAAATTCTATAATGATACAAAAAGGAGTTAACATGGAAAACTCACAATTTTTAGAGCCATATCAGTCGGCTCTAAACTTAAGCAGCATGTAATAATCTCCACTTTTAACGTGGTAAACAGTGCAGGTCCCAGAGATAAGATCGTATTCTTCTGGATAAAGTGCAGGAACCAGAGTATGGAGTATAAAATAACAATTTATTGAACGTGTTAAACAGTGCAGGTCCCCCAGAGATAAGATTGTAATTATTGCGTTTAAATGTAGGAGGTGCCATGATGTCAAGTTGAGAGAAGAGTGAGGTTGCAGAGTTAGGGCAAATGAGATTTGAGATGGGTAAAAGGAGAGTTTGGAGTTTTGGTGGAGAAATGCTGGAGATCAAGGCAGTGGAGGTTTCTGCGAGATTGGAGAGTTGAGGGTGGTGAAATTTAGGTATGGGGTATGCAGATGGTGGTCAGATAGATGAAATGAAACATTGGAGAGATTAGAGGTGGAACAGAGATTGGTGACAATGAGGTCAAGTGTGTTTCCTGCTGTATGAGTTGCTGAAGTAGACCACTGTGTGAGGCTGAAGGAGGAGGTTACAGAGAGCAGACAAGAGCATCAGTTGAGGTTGTTGATTGGGATGTTAAAGTCCCCAAGTATGAGGGAAGAAGTGCTAGAGGAGAGAAAGTCAGGTAGCCAGGAAGATAAGTGTTCAATGAATAGCCTAGGATGACGGGGGGGGGGAGGGGGAGGGGGCAATAGATGAGGGCAATTCTTAAAGGAGTGGGCCTAAATATGCAGACAGTGTGAACTTCATAGGAAGTGAAGGATAGGGTAGGGGAGGCAGGGAGGACAGGTTGAAAGGTACATTGCAGGGAGAGAAGGATGCCTAAACCGCCTCCTTTACAGTTGAGTCTGGGAGTGTGGGAGAATTGTAGTCCACCGAAACATAAAGAAGCAGGAATAGCGGTATCAGAGGGGGACAGTCAGGTCTCAGTGAGTGCTAGTAGTGTGAGGGAATTAGAGATTAAGAGGTGTCAGGACTTATATTACGAATCCTCTCAGACTCAGTTCTGACACTTCCAGGTATGCGGAACAGGCCCTGCCCCCTTTTCTGACGCGGCTTTCTCAAGCCCTTGTAGAGAAACCGCGGCAGTTTTAAAATTGCTTAGTGAATGAGTTAGGTTACTTTCGCATTCATACCGCCGGCTAAGCTCCTCTCGTTAATTTGTGTACCAAACTCCTGGATTGAAATAACGGATTCCCTGTCTTCTCCTCTCCTCTGATCACGGACTGTATTTTGATTATTCTGCTCTCTCCAACCCTAAAGAACCGGACTGTTAGAAGTTTATGCTCCTTCCTGACTACAACTACCCTGCCTTTGGAGGACTACTCACATAAAAAAAAAACTAACTATACACTTTATCATAATTCTGGAAATTGCATAATTAATGAACTTTCACCTGCTTGCTAACATACTCCTGCTTCAACTTGGTTGCCACTATCTCTGCTACAGTTGCTTTTGCTTTTGCTTTCAACCTATCCACAAATCCATAAAGCTACAGTAAATTGTGCTTACTTAACCCCTTAAGGACACATGACATGTGTGACATGTCATGATTCCTTTTTATTCCAGAAGTTTGGTCCTTAAGGGGTTAAAGGACTTTTTCCTATCGCTAATAATACTCTGGTTAAACACAACATCTCTTCTACCTGTGACATAACAAGAGGTCATGTATGGCTGTTGATTTAATATTGCTAGAGATGAAATAGGCGTTCCAGAGTACACACTGAATGTTGGTAGAGTAGGATAACCTTCAGAGTACTTGGATGAGGTTTGCATGGTTTCTAGTTGTTTTAGTGTGAGCAGATGAGGTGAAGGACCCTGGGTTGGGAGAGACGTCACCAGCTGCTAGATGTAGGAGGAGAGATAGTGACAGGAGGTGTGAATAGGTTTTATATGTGCGAGGTCTAGGATGAGATTGGGTGGGAGCAGGAGAGCAAGAATAGAGAAATGAGTGCAGAGCATGAGATGAGAGAAGGGGGGAGTGTAGCAGAGATGGAATAATGTGGATGTGATTGTGTTTTTGAGGGAAGTGGGCATAAGGAGATATTTTGATGCTGAGGAAGAAGAGAGAAAAGGAATGGATATGAAAATGGATATCATATTTGGCATTAAAAATAACAGTTTTAGCAATTCAATGTCACATAATTCCAGATAAAACGTCTTGAACATTTTGACAGCAATAAGCTGTCAATAAATTTGAAAATACATGTTTTACTAATTGTCACTGGCAGCCCTAACAGAGTTGGGGACTATTACATTAAGAATGCATGGTTTTCACAATCTAAGTGGACCACCTGCCCCACAGTTGGGCCTATTAATCAAATACTAAACAGAGGAAATTAGTGTCCCTTACAGTTCCCACTGCATTTTAGGCCACCCGTCAGACAGACAAAACTCACTTATCTCGAGACTTGAGATAAGTGCAAATCTTAGGATAAGTGAGGAGTGTTTTAATTGGTTGGCTTACAAGGGAATCAATAAGAGTGCTCTAACTGAAATTACATAGCTTGGGAAAACACTTATAATTATTTGTCGCACTGTGTAATCTCCAATAAACCCGCTTACATAATTTTTTTTAGTGGTTATTTTGTTTTTATTTATTTTTTTATTTTAAAGGTTGTTTAAGTTTAAGATGGGACTTATTCAATTTTTGGGGCCTTTTTGCAGCTGAATTAAAAAAAAACATATAATGGTAATATATATATATATATATATTTGTGCTCGGAATTTAAATACGTGATGGATAGTAACTGTGAGCAAAGTTGGTTGTGGTGTGCCGAAACCAACGTACGAGTGGGCCTGTAAATAAAAGAGGGCCCACCAAGGATAATGTAGTTAAAACAGGGTGTAGGTGGGTGGGGACAATCAGCTGAGCGGCAGCGGTGAGTAGGGGCTGGGAGCTTAAGTAGGGGACTTACTCCTCCCACAAATTCAGGCCTAATGGCCTTTCTACTTGTGCTCGGAATTTAAATACGTGATGGATAGTAACTGTGAGCAAAGTTGGTTGTGGTGTGCCGAAACCAACGTACGAGTGGGCCTGTAAATAAAAGAGGGCAAAAAGATAAATTCGAGAAAATACACACTTTATTGCATTTTACAAGACCAAGTTTCTGAAAGCTTGGCGAAGCTCTTTCTCTGGTTGCGGAATATATGCGTTATATATGGAGGATTTCCATCGCCCGAGCCTTTTGATGATGTGGACCGGTGCGTTTGTGCTTGAGGCTGCTGAGGCGGCTCCTATGCGGAAGGAGTGCCCGGAGAATGCAGCCGGATTGTGTCCGAGCTTAGATAACAGGGTTCTGACATGTGACATCAATTTTGCCGTGGTAAGCGGGTGCCCTTGTAATGTTAAGAGCGGAGAGTCTGGCAGGTGAGTGCGAAAAGTAGACCGTAGTTGGTCGAGAACTTTCACCGGACACCAGGCATTATCAGTAGGGAAGAGAGGAATTATTGTAGGATGTATTGACCGGTTGGTTTTAGTGGTAGGGATAGAGAGGAGGTAGTGATCCTCTACCTTGGTGAGGTGTGAAGTTTTAAGGCATTGTGCGATATCTCCTTGACAAATCACTGTGAACTCTCTAGGTCTGAGAAAACCGTAGAAAGCGAGATATATGGCAGATTTTATCACCGTATTGGTGTAGCTATCAAATGGGGCTGTGTCAAGGAGATTGCTAAGAGACCTGAAGATAGGCCCGTCTATGGGTAATCTAGTGCTTGCGAGTGGTGGTGAAACCTTAGATATGCCTTTCAAGACCTTTTTTATGGGGTATGAAGACAAAAAGGGGGTGCTGTTAGGAAAATTGGTGAGGCTGTGGTGCTGAACCCCGGTGAGGTAAAGTTTAATGGTGTTGTGTGACAGATTAAGGTGTAGGTGGCAGAAAGAGGCAAAAGACACCATGGTTTGGATAGAAAAGTCACCTTGTAGCCCGAATTCTGCAGTGAATTTATTAAATATGTTAAGTGCCCTATTGTAAGTGATAGCAGTGTTGGGTGATAATGCTTGGTGAGTGAGTGATCTAGCGTGAAGCAAGAGTGTGCTTAATCCAATATTAGTTCGTGAAACCGTGGTGTCCTGGATGGCTGATGGTGAGCTGCTGGGAGTGCCTGAGAAAATGCCTGGAATCGAGAACGAGAAAGAGCGTCAGCGGCGGTGTTGTGAATACCCGGGATATGAGAACATACTAAGTGAAACTGATTGGATGCTGCCAGCCAGGTCAACTTGCGAATCAGCCGCATGATGGTTAGGGATGATGAGCGCCCTTTGTTAATAATATCGCAAGCTGCCGAGTTATCTGAGTAGCATTTTACTGCCTTGCCGGACCAGAGATGACCCCAGGTGTGTGCGGCCGCCACAATGGGGTAAATTTCAAATAGGGTTGAGGTTTCCCTGAATCCTGGCAAGGCATCCGTCTCAGTGGGCCAGTGGCCCCTAAACCAGTGGTTCCCGAAAATGGCTGCGAAACCGGTGTTGGCTGCTGCGTCTGTGTGGATGATGGGTGAAGAGGTGGAGAGAGGGGGGATAAACATGGAGATACCATTCCAGTCTTTCAAAAACTTCCCCCACATAGCTAAGTCAGCCTTGGCGTGGGGGTCCAAAGAAACTGTGCCGGAGTCCGGGACTCCATGGAGCAGGCAAAGAAGTCTGGAAATAAAAGACCTTCCCTGCGGAATGATGCGCATGGCGAAGTTCAGAGATCCAAGAAGGGACTGAAGTTCTCTCCTGGTGCAAACGTCATTCCGCAGGAACGTGTCTATCTCCCCTCTCAATCGTGAAAGTTTGTCGTGTGGAAGGCTAGCTCTGAGTTTGACAGAATCGAGCTCTATGCCTAAAAAGGTCAACTTTGTGGTGGGTCCTATAGTTTTGGCTGGGGACAAAGGGACTCCAAGTGTGGAAAAAAGTGCGGTAGTACTATTGATTGCTGTGGGTGTTGATGACCCTGGCTCTATCAGTAGAAAGTCATCTAGATAGTGAATAACGGAGTGACACCTGATGACATTCAGAAGCAGCCAGCATAGTGACTCAGCGAAAATGTCGAAAAGTTTGGGGCTGCTTCGGGAACCAAAAGTGAGTCGTGTTGAGAAGTAATAATACCCTCGCCATTTAACACCGTGTAAGTGCCAGAGTGAGGGGTGTATGGGCAGTAATTTAAAGGCGTTAGTGATGTCTGTTTTGCTGAGCCAGGGTCGATTACCAGATGTCATGATAGACTGTATAGCGTCGTCGATGGTGACGTACTGCAGAGAGAATTCGTCTGCTGGAATGAGTGCGTTTATGCTTGGAACAAAAGAGGAGTGCGGTGCCGATAAATCGATAATGAGACGTTTTTTATTAGAATATTTGTGAATAGCAATACCAATAGGGTTAGTGCGCCAGGAGGAAAACGGTGAAGAGGTGAAAGGACCGATCATGAAACCGTTTGTGGTTTCTGCGGAAATGAGAGTGTCTACAGCGACTGGGTCTAAACGTGCAGACTGGAGATTAGGACATTCTAGTGTACCTGGGGGAATGGCTATTATGCCTGTGTGAAACCCTTGTGAAAAACCTGTGGTGAGAAAATCCACTAAGTGCCTGCTGGGGTGACACCTTAGATAAAAAACCAGGTTGTCGATATTAATGTCGGTTAGTCATTTGTTTGGTGACAACCTGGCTGGACACATGGTCTTGGTATGTGCCCTGAAACATATGGAGCAGATGTGCAATAGTCTACAGGCGCTGAAACTGCAGGAGCCTGCGTTGAAATTATTGCACACCTGTGCTTTACCTAAAAAGGAGATGGGCCTACCCAGCTTATCCCGGAGACCACCCGCTGGCTTGTGAGGGGTGAAAGAGGAGTGAGGTGTGAACGTGGGGTGAGGGGTGAGAGTGGAGGTGGTGGGATCTGGTTCGACGGGACATAAGTCCGCCATGTGGGATGTGGAATTACAGATGGCACAAGCCGGGGGCCTGAGTCCGGCGAAGTGGCGACAGAAAAGTTCAGTGTCCATCTGACCCCAGTTCATTCTAATGTTGAACTGCTTGAGATGGGTCGCCGCCTTCGCTGAGACTGACTTGTGGTAGTCATAGAAGGAAGAGCCCCCGTACTTGATGCCTAGATCCACTACCTTGTGGAGATAGAGATCTAGCTCTTCTCTCCTATGGGGATACACCGTGCAAATGACGTCGCGGTATATCCCGAAAGCTATCACAAACTGTGGGATAGACAATTTTTTATTAAGCCTGGGATCCCTCGTTTTAAGCACAACAGAGATGTCACCATAATTGTATGCCTTGTTCTCGAGTACATCCTGAGAGGCTATGAGTAAAGACACCAGACACACATCCTTCCCGTCAAGGATATCTTTCCTGATAGAATCTGGGACGGAGTGTGCTGGTGACTCGAAAGGTGTGATGGCTGTGCCAGGTGCTGGAGGGGGGAGTATAGAGGGACATGAAGGTATGGCAGGTACAGCCGTGGTAGAGACTGGGACTACGGTGTTAGTACCTGAGGAGGAGATGGCGCTCTCCACCTTAGACAGCCTGCTATTGAGGGCCTGTAGATTGGCCAAGATATCTGCCAGGGTATCCTGGGTGGCCGTGCTGGTACTTGGTGGTTGTCCTTGAGAGCTAGTTCCCGGCCGAGGCTCGGGGACTTGGTGGGTAAGCAGCCTGTAAAGTTCTGCCTTTCTAGCTGTGGCCGGAAAGGGGATTCCCCTGAGCCTAAGCTCGGCTGTGATTTTGGGAATAGTCCATGCTCTCAAGGACGTGGGGGTTGAAAGAGTGAGTGATTCGCCTGGAGACACGGGTCTGATTGGCGTGAATGGTGCTTCTTCTGTCAGTTCTTCGGTTGGAATTGGTTCTTGGGACATTCTAAAAGGAATGATTATGTGAAAGATATATTAGAAGGGGAGTGAGGTAAGAAGGGGGGGTATGGGGAGTGGTGTGTCTTGAAGAACTGGACTTTAATGCTAGATGCCGAGGCGAAAAACTTAACTATTGAATGACTGGATAGGTGAGGCCCTGCTAATGCCAAGTGGCGATGAGAGGCTCTACCTATGATTTGGCTTATGACGTAGGTGCCACAGACGTGGTGGCGGGATGTTGGCCTCTCGGTGACGATAAGAGAAATCAAAACGTGTGGCCGTGACAGGTGAGGCCCTAACTAGAGCCCTATAGTAAGGCATGCGAGGCTTATAACTATGATTTGGGCGTGGGGCCGTACCTCCGTGTTGAGGTGGGGTGGGGGTGGTAGGCCTCGCGGGATCAGATTTCCTGATAAGGTGGGCTAAGGCATTAGCCTGTGCCGTATAGCCAGTTCGATAGTATGCTAAAGGGTAAAGTTAGAGGACTGGAATGGTGTGTGGATACTAACCTTGACTGGTCGCAAATGGTATCTGGAGCCTCCTGGTAAGTGTAGAGAGTCTTGTCTTAATGCTGTCTTTGAGGAAGAATCCTGGGGGTTTAAGACAGATGTTGATGTGTTTATACGTATCGTGATGTCGTATGAATAGTATAGGGAGAAGGTTTGTTAGGGGCACGACGTGAGATCCTGCATTGAGGGATCTGGGAGGTTTAGGTGTAGGAATGGGATGATTTTGGATATGATTGAGAAGGCAGAATGAGGCCTTGGGGTAGCGAATGGACGTACTTGAGTAAGGATGTAAGTACCTGAAGGTATGGCTGTGTACCGTGTCAGGATTTGGTGTTTTCTTGAGCCTGGTGGCCGTATGACCGAAAGTCTGTGTAGACAGGTAGTAAAGAGATAACGTATCCTGGGCGTAAGCCTGAGGGAAGGTAGTAATGGAGTTGAGACCGCGTGAGGTCTAGTATTGAAAAGAGAGTGAACTATACCTTTGATTAAAGTACAGAGATTGTTTTAATCGTGGCAGGTTAACTGCGTGGAAACGGTGGAATCTTAGATTAATACAGGATCTAAGGGTTTAACCGAGAGAAATTCCATAGTTAGCAATAGATGTGAAGATAATTGATAAAACCTGATAACTCAAGGTGATAATAAACCATACCTGTTCCTGTAATAAAAGGACCTTGGAATAACAACTTTAATGCAGAAAAGCAAGAGACCGATGCAATCTGTAAAAGCCGAAAAATGTGACAGCGTGATTTATGTGCAAGGAATAGTACGGATTATGTGTAAAGGGTATAACTTGTAAATAGTGTTTAAAAAGACTTATCTGAGTGTTATTAGGAAAGATTGGTATAGCTTGAATTTAGACATGTATGAAGTTATGAGCCGTGATGAACATTATGTATATTACAGAAAAATACTTTTAAATGGTTTAACAAGGTAGGAAAACACAGGGCTGGTAGTTAACCATATAATGTAACCGCAAACTGATATGAAGGAATAAATAATAGTAGGACTGTGATTAGAACTTATGCAATCTTAGCTTAAAAGAATAGAAATAACCGAATGTAAATTAGTAAGATGGTGTTCGTGAATTTAACCATACGAGTAGGTTGGTGCTGAAATAACCGAACGGAAAAGTGAATGCAGATAATAATGAGCTTAAACATGAATATTTATTCGGTTGTTTCCGTACGAAAATGCATTAAATGATAGCGAAATGAGCCGAACGTTCGTGCGTTTTTTGGCGCGAATGGAGATATTAACGAACAGCGTGTATTCGTGAAAATGCGAAAAGGAGGGAGCCTACCCCTACGTTTTTAGGCCCGAACGGCGGGGAAAAAGCGAACGCTAATTCCCCCGCCTTGCTTACGTGAACGCGCCGGTCTCGTGACCGGAAGTCGGGTACCTCGACCGGAGAGAAACGGAGTGGAAGGGGCCTCGGACGGACGGAGGATTTGCACAGGGCGTCTGGCTGCTGGAAACAGGTACAGTTCTGGCGGGAAGCTGGACCGGAAGTGCTGGACAATCAGCTGAGCGGCAGCGGTGAGTAGGGGATGGGAGCTTAAGTAGGGGACTTACTCCTCCCACAAATTCAGGCCTAATGGCCTTTCTACATATGTATATATATATATATTATTTATTACATTTATTAGATTTATTTAAGAGTGCAGCGCTGTATCTAGATGTGAGGCAAGTGAGTTTTTCCAAAAAAGTGCTTAACCCCTTAAAGGACCACTCTAGGCACCCAGACCACTTTAGTTTAATTTAGTGGTCTGGGTGCCAGGTCCCTCTAGGATTAACCCTTTTTTTTTTATAAACATAGCAGTTTCAGAGAAACTGCTATGTTTATAAATGGGTTAATCCAGCCACTAAAGCCTCTAGTGGCTGTCTCATTGACAGCCGCTAGAGGCGCTTGCGTGCTTCTCACTGTGAAATCACAATGAGAAGACGCAAGCGTCCATAGGAAAGCATTATGAATGCTTTCCTATGAGACCGGCTGAATGACCGCGCAGCTCCTGCCGCGCATGCGCATTCAGCCGAAGAGGAGGATCGGAGGCGGAGAGGAGGAGGAGAGCTCCCCGTCCGGCGCTGGAAAAAAGGTAAGTTTAACCCCTTTCCTTGCCATCCAGCCCAGCGGGAGGGGGACCCTGAGGGTGGGGGCACCCTCAGGGCACTATAGTGCCAGGAAAACAAGTATGTTTTCCTGGCACTAGAGTGGTCCTTTAAGGACCAAACTTCTAGAATAAAAGGGAATCATGACATGTCATGATTCCCTTTTATTCCAGAAGTTTGGTCCTTAAGGGGTTAAAGACACTTACCCTCTATGTCACACTTTAGTATGATGTACATATAAAGGAAACAAAAAAAATATACAAATAATTGTGCAGTATACTAAGTAGTGTCCCAAGAGGTTTTGTGAGTTACAAATGTATATAAACTCACATTTTCTTGAGCCTTTTCCAGTTATAAGGCTCTAAACTTCCAGATGTCTGTGTCTTTTAGAGTAGATCACGCGACCCCTCTCTCAAAGGAAAAGTGTGTATGTTCCTCTCCACAACGTATGTAAAAGCCACAGATATTGCAATCTAAGTGTAGTATCTTAGATAATGATTGTATCAGTATAAGTAAAATTTGAAGTGCTCACCTTTTTTAGAGCCTTTTGGTAACTGGCTCTAAGTGTATAAGCCTAGTGTCAAATTATGGGTTGACACTGCCCCTTCCCTGGAATCACTTGTGCAGGATACAGTTGAATGAGTAAAAATGAAAAATGTATTACAGAAAAATGTATTATACAAATATTTTCTAGAAAATAAAAACAATAATAACATATAAAAACAATACAATACAATTATATGAGTGGTCTAAATATATGTCCACTTTTAGCCAAAACGTGTTTCGCAGGTAAAAAATGGGCTTCCTCAGTCAGCTTAAAAGAATCCTCTGAATCCTCAGTCTTTTAAATCTTCAAATGTAGCCGTTTCCAATTATGCCTTTAAAAGCGAAAAATGCCTTCTTGACTCCGTAATGGCAATCAGATTTCTCATTGGATCATCAGCCTGTTTACATACATATCAATTAAATCCTGTTTATGCAAAAAAAAAAAAAGCATGCAAGTATTTCAAAAAAATATCTATAGATCAGTGGTTTCCAAACCAGTCCTGGATATAGGGATCACACAGTTGTGTACACCATAGAAACACCATAGACACAAATGGTTAATCCATAAATCCTGGACAGGTAGACATGCCTTGAGGACTGATTTGAAAACCACTGATCTATAGAATCTGATTTGACAGTCTCTCTAGGCAGAGAATTCCACATCTGTATTGTTCTTACTGTAAAGAACCCTTTCCCCTGCTGTATACGAAAACAACTTCCTTGACCGCTTGTCTGTTGTATTTTCCTGCTGATAAACAGATTAGCACACTGTATTTATTTGAATAGTGCTATCATATCCCCTCTGAGTTACCCTTTTTCTGAAGAATACAAATGCAGTTTTTTTAGCCTTTCCTCATAGCTAATGTTTTCTATCACCTTACTAATTTTGTAGCTCGCCTCTGCATTTTTTCTAGTTCTACAATTATCCTTCTTTAAAATGTGGGGTCTTACCATTGATTTATAGAGGAGCAAAATTATACTTTGATCTTGTGACTCAATACCCCCTTTAAATTTTATACACTAAAGCAACGTACTAGCTTTTACAACGGCAGAACGGCTTTGCATACGTTTACCAAGTTTGTGATCTATAAATGTTTCCAAGTCCTTTTCATTTAATGCTATTCCTAACTTTAACCCCATTTCATGTATAAAATACTTGGATTTTTTATTTCAAAATGCATGATTTTACATTTATCTGAATATAATATCTTCTGCCTGCCCAGACCCCCAATCTATCCAAAGCCCTATGTAGAGAAGTTATACCATGTTGACTTCAAGATCATTTATAAACAGATTAAAGAGAAGTGGACTCAGGACAGAACCCGGAGGCACACCACTTACTACTTTTGCCCAATTTGAAAATGTTCCATTTACAACAACTCTCTGAACTCAATCTTTAAGCCAGTGTTCTATCCAAGATCCCCCCCCACCTTTTCCTTAAACCAACTTATATTAGTTTTAATAGTAACCTTTGGCATGGAACTGTTTTAAATACCTTTGCAAAATCCAAGTATATCACGTCTTCTGGATCCCTCTTATCTATATTTCTACTAACTTCATCATAGAATACAATTACGTTAATTTGGCATAATCGGTTATTCTTAAAACCCTGTTTTAATGATAATAATATCATTAGCAGGAATAACCTGCTAATGATATTATTCAGAATGAATTTTTGAATGTTATCCCTTAACAGCCTTTCAAATAATTCCCAACCACATATGTTGAGTTTACAGGTTTGTAATTTCTGGGTATAGGTGACCAATATGTTTATGACAATTATTCTGAGTTTGACAGAAGGGTTGCAAGATAAGAGGACCGTATAATCTCCAGAAAACTATATATGCCAATGTTTATGCAAATAATGAATAATAAATGAGAAATAAATATTGTCTGCATTTGACTTTTAGTTACTCCTGAGCAAATATATCTACTGATAAAAATTTGTTTGGATTTATTCTGCTGTTTTTTTTTTTCATTTCTATATATAGAATACAATGCTTTCTTTTTATTAGTTGAAAGAAGTCAGTATTGAAGTTTTTAAGAGACAAGTGAGAACAATTTTTTTTTATTATATAATATATTGAAATGGAATTCTCTCAACAATTATAGCTGACAGTGCTTTGCCCTTGCACTGTCAGAGACATAGTAAGGATAATCTGGATAATGCATATACATGTTGAATATTTGGTGGTTTCCATTTATGATAAATATAACAATCTTTATGACAACTTAGTTATTAGCAACTGAGTTTAAAGATTGACAGAATACGTTGCAACATTTATAGTTGAATATTGGTTTTGCAAATTCTATTGACACAGTCCTTTTGTAAAACTCCTATCAGGAATCTTGTCATAAAAAAGTCCAAGTTGTAAAAGTTTAGTGTAAATATAATAATCACCTTGATGTTCAGAACAGCCTGGAATGATTGCCAAGGGTCAATGACTATAAAAACCATAGTTATAATAAATAGATTATCAACAAATGCGTCCTAAACTTTCTCTTCACTATGAATCGAGGAGACTGGTGTCAGCACAGGTGAGGGCTTGTCTTCAGTGTTGTTGGTAAATAAAGTCCGGACATCACTCACATCTGCCGCAACTGATACAAACCACCACATAGAGTTTACCATTTTGCAAATTTAGAGGGATTTTTCTTATTCAATATAATATGTTATTTGACTTGCAAAGGTTGCCATATATCCTTGCAGCTTCCATAAGTAAGACCTGGGCAGAATGACTGAGCATTTGCAGAAATCTCTGCATTTCCTGTGACTCCAATGTCAACAATGACAACTAAATGGTTTCATGATTAAGTCATTTGTAAAAACCTTAATCTGACAGCCTGGTCAAACTCTCAAAAAGATATTGAAGTCCACTGGGAAATATTCCAGTGGATCAGTCCACGCCTAGGTAACATTGTGATAGCAGCCTATTTGCAAACCCGCACAGTGCCGGACTAGTAAAGTCTCTGCACAATTCTTGCCCACTAGCTCACTCTTGCTGTACCCTACCAACAGATATCCCTAGTGCTTTATATGTCTGAACTTTGTCATTTTCTTGACAGTTTATAAAAGTGCTGATTTCAATAGAAAATCTGACCTTTTTTTTTTAATTCTCTTTTTTTATTGAGACAAAATGATACAGCTTATAATTATAAAGTGAACATCAGAGCAACATGTCATACACAATATAGATAAAACCAAAAAACTATGGTGGGGAAAAAAATGTGATTTAAAACCCCTTCCGCCTGAAGTCTGTGTATAGTTAATACAATGTTAAAGCCAGTCTTGATTTTCCCACAGAAATCACAAATTTGCAGTGATGTTACTACCCGCAAAGGATTGCAGATTTTTGTTTAACATTGTATTGACTATACACAGACTTAAGGTGGAAGGGGTTTTCAATCACATTTTTTTCCCCACCATAACTTTTTTGGTTTTTGCTTTGAAAGCACTGCCAAGCCTCAATAGCAAGCCAGTAACCAACCGCATGCTGATGATTTGCATTAACAATGAAATAGCTGTCCATGAGTGGTTCACTGGCTTTGCATCTTTTCCTAAGTTGTGTTTCAAAGCTGTTGTATACAGCTAAAAGGAATCCAAGTTTAAAATGGAATTTGTAAACAAAAAGGTGACTCTTTGTTGAACTAATTTGCATATGCCCACCCAGAATCCTTTGCGATAGTAACATCACTACAGATTTGTGATTTCTGTGGGAAAAGCAAGTCTTATGGCTTGACTGGTGTGCAGATTTTTGTTTAACATTATATTGACTATCCACAATATAGATAGTAAGATTTGATGTATAGTGCAAGTAATGCCTCATTTTATAGTTTGGGAGAAGCATGGTAGGTTAGTCAGAGTTAAGAAGAGAGTTCAATTGTTTGACTATAACATATGCCAGCCAATTACAGTATATACTCGAGTATAAGATGAGTTTTTCGGCACATTTTTTGTGCTGAAAAACCCCCACTCGTCTTATACTCGAGTCAATGTCTGTATTATGGCAACTTACATTGCCATAATACAGACCAGGACCACCGGGCTCATTAAAAGCCTGGCGGTCCTGTTGGGGGCTGGCAGCGAGCTGCTACTTACCTTTCCTGCAGCTCCCTTCTCCTCCGTGCTGTTCAGCTCCACTGTAAGTCTTGCTAGAGCCGCAGCGTCAGAGCGTTGCCACGGGTTACCGTGGCAAAGCTCCGCGCTGCACGAAGACTGCGAGACTTACATGGAGGAGAAGGGAGCTGACAGGAGCTGCAGGAAAGGCAAGTAACAGCTCGCTCCCAGCCCCCCTCCTGCACAGTACACACCAGTGGACCACCAGGGAATAATATAGTCCCCCTCCCTGGCCAGTTAACAAGCAGGGAGGGGGGACAAAAAATAAAATAAAAATGTAAATAATAATATAATAAAATAAAAAATTTAATAATATTAAAAATAAAATGTAATATTTAAATATTAAAAAAATAATAATAATAATAAAAATAATAATAATAATAATAAAAACCCCCACCAAGGTTACACCCTCTGCATCACATACACACACACACACACAGCATTCTATACACACACACACACTGCATTCTATACACACACACACACTACATTCTATACACACACACACTGCATTCATCATACACACACTACACAAACACACACACACTGCATTCATTATATACACACACTGCACAAACACACACACACTCTGCATTCATTATATACACACACTGCACAAACACACACACTCTGCATTCATTATATACAAACATAAATAAATATTCAATTAATATAATTTTTGGGGGATCTAATTTTATTTAGAAATTTACCAGTAGCTGCTGCATTTTTCACCCTAGTCTTATACTTCAGTCAATAAGTTTTCCCATTTTTTGGGGGTAAAATTAGGGGCCTCAACTTATATTCGGTTCGACTTATACTCGAGTATATACGGTAAGTAGAAACTACAGAGTAGACTGCCAAAACCGAGAGCCAGATTGAGTATCACAACAAAAGATATTATTTCATCCGGAGGACTCGCACTGAATAGTGTAGTAGCAAATGCCCACTATATTAGGTATAAGAAGCAGACATGCAAGCACAAACAGTAATCAGGAATACAGTATGGCAATGAAACAACATAAGAAAAAAAAGAAGAAAAAACAGAGTAAACATAAACACTAAAATAAACTGCTACTTATTTTAGGCATGTATGTGAGTAGCAACATTCCCGCAGGAGACTCGGTTCAGCCAACACCCTCGAAAGGGCCGTATTGTGGCTGCCTGTAAACAGCAGAGCCACATCTTGTGCATCTGTTTCAGCCACATAATGTATTGAACAAAGCCAGCCAGAGACTGCAGTATCGCTTGCGGTAAGCTAACTTCCAGGGCAGATGCGATGGGAGCCTTTCAAGGACCCAAACCCACTGTTGGGTCCTGCACAGCTTTTGCCGCTTTTAAGAGCTTTATTGGCTTCCGTCGGATGTGGGCCCGCCACAGGACCGGAGCAGAAACATCTTGTAGGATCTTGATGCCTAAGCTTCTGGGTGGGTCACCGATTTGTTCCCTTGTGGCAGGCCGCGGCAGACGTTGGGCCAATTTTCACCAGAAATTCGTGAACAGTGCGTCAAGTTTGGAGGGAAATTCATCTAGCGCCTTGGTGTAGGCAGCTGAATACACGGCATTCACCATTTTAGGTGAGACTCCAGGTGTGCACAGTGGTATTACCGCAGTTTGGAGTCCTGAGTTAGTAGTAGAAGTGGGGTCAACAAGGTGAGGACCGGGATCACCAAAGATTGGTGGGGCGGGAGAGAGGGGGAACAAGGCCAGTCTTACACAGCCTTGGGCATCCAACTTAGAACCAGTAGGCAGGATAGCAGGGCAGCGGATGTCTACCCCACTCACTGCCTGAGCAGGCCTCAGCTTTGCAGGTAAAGGATCTCCTCTCAAGGGGACCTAAAGACGGCCTTTAAGATTCACACAGAACAACCACACCCTTATACTGTAGGCCACAGCTTTCAGTCAGAAAATAGGGAATAAATCAGCTTTTTGTGAGCTCAAAATCAAAATACAGCAAGAGCTGTCCGGCTTGGTAGTCCAACCCCGCCCCCCCAGAAATCGGACCTTTTATGATTGGGTGCAAAAAAACATCCCTCTTTGTCACACAGCTAGGGAGGATTTCTTCCACTTTCTTTAGCTCCACCGAGCTAACAGAAGAGGCAGCAGAAGTGCTGTACTAGTGTGCATCTGCCTTTCCCCTTTCTCAATGAGCTGAACTAGAGCTCAAATGGGAAGCTGTGATCGAGTGCGCATGCGCACAATTGTGGCCCAGCACAGAGGCTTCTCAATGAGAATCCTCTGATTGGAGGACTTTAAAAAAAAAAAAAAAGCATTTTTTTATTTGGGGTATATCTGCTAAATTGTTAAAAGAAATCTGTGGAATGTTTCCTTTTGGAGTTTAGTGAATAAACTTAGGACACAATGGAATTATTTCATGAGGGGCTGCAAAGTAGATCTTTGCTTAGGGCGGCAGAATTGCTTGCCCCGGCCCTGCTTATATGTTCAACATTTCTTTCTCTGGTTTCTTTCCCACTATACGTTTGGTGTACTTTGTAAGATATGCTGTATGTATGCTGTAACGGACCGTTTTGCTCACCAGAGGTTAAAAACCATTTAGGCAATATTCCCCTTTCCAGATACACCGACAGCTACTGTAAGCACCGATCTCCCGAACTGGAAACACATTAACACTGGAAATATCCGAACAGGAAAACCATACGAAAGGGTTACACTCCTGGCAGTCAGCATACAATCCAATTCCCCCAATAACGAGACGACACTTCGTTTTGAGGGTTAAGCAGAATCTGAAGATTTATTCACACAACCTCCTTTTAAGACATTCTCCCATACAAGGGAGGGATCCACAACAATTAGTACCCCAGTTACCTCCCACACATCTCCTCCCCTTAGTGTGACACATAATCCCATTAGTGCAGACACAAATTCCCTGGGATACTGGATGTACCCCTAAACATAGGGTTACCCCTTTAAATGTTACATCCCCTGGTAGCCCTGATCTGGGTGAGACACATATCCAAAAATCACCCAGACCGGACCAGGGGTTCGGGAATTATGGAGGGTTAAAGTTTTGACCGACTGCATGGCAAAAGTATCCGAAAATAGTTCCATGTATTTTGGCCCTGCAGTCGGTCACAGAAAAGGGAATGAAAACACACAAATTGCCTGGGTTATAGAGCCTGGGGAGAATTTAAACAAATTCCCTTGTTCGTGGTGTTCTTTCTACCGAATGGCGTGTAATTCGGTAGTTTCCACACGAATTCATGGAAGTCTGGAGGTCTCAGCGGTGTTTGCCTAGTCGAGTGTCCGATTTTAGTTCCAGACACTCAACGGCAAAACACCGCTGTTCGGGAGTTTAAGATTGCCGCCGCCACGTGTTCGTTTCCCGAATGGCGGCCACCCAGAGGACAAAGAACACATTACATAGATTGCCAATCACCCGTTTGCAACATTGTTGCAAACGGTAATTGGAGGCACACTTATTCCTGGGTGGTCTGGTTGTTCGGTAGTTTCACTCAATATAATGAATGGGATGATTCTACCGAAAAATCAGGGGAATGCTGCATATACATATACAATCTAGCCGAACACACAGAAACATACATAATATAAAAGACATCCTTACTGTAATCTGCTACAAAGTCTTAAAGGGATATTGTTCCTAAAAAGTCATATGTCCACGGATGGCCCTTAAAGGGCCAGTAGCAGCAATATAAAATACCACATGCCCAAATATTGCATTCCAAAGTACAAATTCACCAGGGGCCATAGTCAGCAGGTAGGAGGCGGGTAGCCAGGCCTCTCCAATGTCCAGTGGCGAGGCGGCTTTCGCCACATATGCACTGTGACTTTTTTTCTCTCAATTCTTTTGTTTTATTTGCAGCAGTCATCATACAGAGGATATACCATTTACAGAATGATCTGCTACACAGTCTTCTTGGTTGTGTACCCATATATTAAGTTAACAAAAAATATGTATATAAGTCAAGGGGGAACCAGGTTTAGGAAAAGGTGGGAAGGACATAGGGTGGCGTGAAAGGATAGCATAGGAGGCGTCTACCCTGCGGGCTCCTTCAAATGATGACTCCGAGCCTTTTATTTTCTACTTAAGAGAATCTTCTCTCTTCCAAGCACTGCCATACTTTTGTAAATAATTTCATAGAATGTCTAACCTGAGCCATGAGTTTGTCCATTAAGTAGTTATCTTTGATTTTTTTTTTTCTATCGTCACGCTCATTGCGACGGCTCACTCTTTTCTCCATTGATGGGCCAGGGGCTTGTCTGGCTGCTAGTGTTTGATTATTGAACAGATTGCGGTTGAGGGAAATAGCTTCTACCATCCTCGAGAGCAAGAAAGACCTGGGTTCCAACACTATAGGTCGTTAAAGCAATCTGGAAATGATGTCCCGGACTTGTTTCCAGAATTGCTTCACCCTAGGGCAAATCCACGATATATGTAGATATTACTCCATTTCCTCACTACCCCTTCAGCACAGATCATCTACAAATCTTCCCATACAGAATAACTTGACTGGTTTGATGTACCACTGAAACATAGTCTTTTAGACCGGGTCTTAAAGGGTAACACAGATTTAGACCTTAGAGGCATCTTCCCAAAGGTATTTCCAATCTCCACGCTCCAATATTTGCTGTAGTTCCCCCTCCCATTGCTCTTTATAGTTCAAGTTTCCCCAAGTGGATGAGTTTTCACTAATGTGATTGTATATAGTGGAAATGAGTTCCTTTTACTTAACTTCTTCTGTATAGAGTTGTTCACAAAATGTGAGGGGGATCTCTTCTCCTGTGTGAATTAATCTCCTTGCTACAGAGGTGGGAAGTTGGAGATATCTTAAGAAGTCTCCCAGGGTTAGGTGTGCCCTAAACTGGAGTTCCGGAAAGAGGATCACTGTTCTATTGAAGCATAGGTGCCTATGTCTCTGGATTCCTGTACCTTCCATCCCTGAGAAATCCCAGACCTTCATACCTGGGGGGAAGGTCCTGTTATGCAGATATGGTGTCATACGAGAAAAAAACACTACATTGAAAAGTCTGCAGCAGAAGAAGGTATTTTCATTTGAAAAAGGGGGGGGGGGATTTTTGAGAACTCACTGACCCCTTCCACCTGCGAAGAAAAAGGATTTCCCACACATCCAGTCTGTAGCGTAAGTGATCATCCGTCAGCATGGAAAAAACAGTGTCCTATCAGCTTCTACCAACAGCCGAGTAGAATTGAAGAGGCTTGCTGCAAAGATGGTATGGGGATTGGGCCTAGGGAGTAAAAGAGATAAACAGTTATTGAGGGAAAAAGCTTACAATTTTCAAAACACAAGCAGTGGCATAGAAGCACAATAGAAATGTAATAATCGGTCTCTAGAAATGTTAAAAAAAAAAAAACACAAGTCAGTAAAATTATTCTAAATCAGCAAATCAGAGTTGATGTTAGTAGCACTGGAATTAACTAGGCAAGAGGAACTTTCTTATTTAATTTTTTTACTAGCCTGAGCCTCTACACTGGCACCTAGTTGAGTAATGGAAAGAGTGGTGATAGTCCATTGGTTGAGGCGATTCAAAAGCAGAGAGAAATGGAGTTATCCAAGATGGAGAATATGCAGCAGAAGAAGAGTGCACGCTACATGGAAAAAATACTAGTGAAATTCTTACTGTCCTCTCCATGTTCTCCTCTTGAAATTCCTCTGGCTCATAGTTGAGTTCAGTGGCAGGAAAAAGAATATCATCATCACTAGATTCTTCATCACCACCAACACGAAAACCAGAAGACCTCTCCAGTATAGGTTTCTTCTGATGACACCAACAAACTAGACTCTGCTAACCTCTCTCTTATTTGTTTTTTGGGGGGAGGTCTAGAAGGATTAGTGCTAGTTGTACCAGTTCAGCTGCTGCTAAAGGTACTCTAGTCTTTGTTTGAGGAAGCCCTACATGCTTTACAAACATGCTGCTACTACTTGTGGGCCTAGCTGACTTTTCTTCGGCCACCAATTAGTACAAAATAAGACCAAAACTCCCCCAAATATTGGGAACCAAATCCAGGAGGGGGATGCGCACATGCAAAAATACAGTCACCTAATGTGCAATCAGACCAGGCTGGCAAGACCTAAAAGCTGAGCTTCAGGATAAAAAAAAAAAAAAGATGTCTGGATGTTAATGACGTAAAGCTTTAAGTAAAAAAAGACTGCTCGCAGGCAGTTCTTTCAGTACCCAGACATTTTTTTTTTATACGAATATATATTTTATTTAAAAAACTGCATTTTAGGTGGTGAATCGGATGGAAGGGACATGAATACATATAGTGGTGGTAGTGGAAGCAGTGGTGGTGAAGGTGTCAGTGATGGCATAGGTGTCAGCAGTACTTGTGGCCTGAATAGGTGTCAGCAGTACTCATGGACATGGAGATATCAGCAGTGCTTGTGGCCAAGGAAGATGTGTTAAGACTCTGAGAAGCCATGGCACGCTTCTGATGGTGGATTTTTGTACCTTCCACATTTCTTGGGATTAGAACATTACATTGTTGATCGCCAATTCCTGCCACTTTCATCTCAAAAACATAGCGTGCATCCGCTGTTGTTCTCTCTCGCCTTGACTACTGTAATCCCCTTTTCAGTGGTCTTACGTATTCCCAGCTTGCAACCTTGCAATCTATAATGAATGTGTCAGCGAGGCTCCTCTTCCTGTCCACCCGCAACTCCTACACCTCCCCCCTCTGTTAGTTGCTACATTGGCTTCCTGTAAGATATATGACTCAATTTAAGATTCTGGTGCTTGCTTACAAGTCTCTACATAATGCTGCCCCTACCTACCTATCCTCCCTAATACATAAGTATGTTTTGTCTAGGACCCTGTGCTCCGGGAAAGACCTATGTCTATCCTCTGTACACCTACCTCTGATGCTTGCCTTTTAGACTTCTCCACGGCTGCACCTTTTCTGTGGAACTCCCTTCCCTTCTCTGTTAGACTTTCACTCAGTCTCCATTCCTTCAAAAAAAAAATCATTCAGGAAAGCGTATCAATTAAACAGTTAAAAGCTTTCCCTCCCTGCACCCTCACTCCTCTCCTGCAACTGTCAAAAATAACCTACTAATTTCACAGTGAATACTTTTCTAGCAACCTACTTCTACTTTAACCCTTTGTGTCACTATACCCCACTCCCTCTAGCATGTAAGCTCACTAAGCAGGGTCCTGAACCCCCTCTGTTCCCGTGTGTCCAACTTGTCTGGTTACAATTACATGTCTGTTAGTCCACCCATTGTACAACGCTATGGAATTTGCTGGCGCTTTATAAATAATAAAATAATATTAATAAAAAAAATTATAAAAAAAGACCTACCTTACTCAGTGCAGCGTTCACTTGCGCAGTAAACTCCCACAAACTGCATTGCCTTCAGTAGTGGCAATGAAACACACTCAAAATAAACTAATCTGTCTCTCACAAGAAATAATTTTTTTTTTTTAAAGTTACATAATTTAAATCAGTGAAATCTAAATCCAAATTAGTAAATTGAACATGCTGTATGTATGGCTCTGGCAGTGCACAGCAGTAAACCCAACCACCTTACTAGGGTGATTGACACAAAGTAGTTGTTAGTGTTACACTGGCAGTGCCTGACTAGGCACAGCAGTAATAAAAAATTATTGCAGTTATAAAAAACTGCAATAATTACACTTGCAGGGTTAAAGGACCACTATAGTGCCAGGAAAACATACTCGTTTTCCTGGCACTATAGTGCCCTGAGGGTGCCCCCACCCTCAGGGACCCCCTCCCACCCGGCTCTGGAAGGGGGAAAGGGGTAAAAACTTACCCTTTTCCAGCGCTGGGCGGGGAGCTCTCCTCCTCCGATCCTCCTCTTCTCCTCCCCGTCGGCTGAATGCGCACGAGCGGCAAGAGCTGCACGCGCATTCAGCCAGTCACATAGGAAAGCATTCTCAATGCTTTCCTATGGGCGCTGGCGTGCTCTCACTGTGAAAATCACAGTGAGAAACACGCAAGCGCCTCTAGTGGCTGTTAATGAGACAGCCACTAGAGGAAATAGGGGAAGGCTTAACCCATTCATAAACATAGCAGTTTCTCTGAAACTGCTATGTTTATGAAAAAATGGGTTAACCTTAGAAGGACCTGGCACCCAGACCACTTCATTAAGCTGAAGTGGTCTGGGTGCCTAGAGTGGTCCTTTAAGGGTAGTGGGAGTTAGCCCCCAGACCACTCCAAGGGGGCAGAAGTGGTCTGGGTGCCTGGAGTGTCCCTTTAAAGTGAAGCAATACCTTTTTTCACTTCCCATTGCATGTACTGCATTGCAATAGTAATTTACAGGCATAACTGACACTGCAACTGCAGATTTCCAGTGATTTTATTTCCAGTGATTTTATTTCCAGTGATTTATTTAGTGATTTCCAGTGGGCTTTTATTCAGTTAAAACAAACAGTAGAAACAAAAACTCATTCCAGATTGTGCCATTTATCTTTAATGTTTTACTCATCTGACAACCTTAAACTGGGAGGAAAAGTGACATAAGCCTGCCCACTGGGCCATTTTCTGTCAATGCAGTGCCTATTTATATTTGTTAGCAGCTTACTTGCACACTGTTTAGAAACACCTCTTCATCACTTTAAGCATTTATGGTTTAACTTTGAATCCTCAGAATTGTGGCCAATGCCGCTAAGCTGCTAAGTCATAGTTGTGTAAGGGGCAAATAGCCGTATATGGAGTAAGGATCAATGGCGGATCCAGGGGGGGGCAACGGGGCAGTTGCCCCCCCCCCCCAGAGATTCTCCCCTGCCGGCTAATGCAGGGCTGGCATTGTCCAAGTGCCAGCCCTGCAATGTGCCTGCAGACCGGAGGGGAGATCAGAGACCTTCCTCCCCGGTCTGCAGACACCGTGCTGGCAGCCGGCAGGGGAGGGAGAGAGGACCTGGGAGCTCAGCCTGCAGCTCCTCCGGGTCCTCCTCTCGCGAGCATTGAGCGTTGCCGCGGTTACCACGGCAACGCTCCAAATCTCGGGAGAGTGAACTCTAGCCCAGGAGCGCGGGCTAGAGTTCACTCCAACCACTGGGACCACCAGGGATTCCCCACTGGGACCACAAGGGATTCCCCACTGGACCACCAGGGATCGAAATATGTCCCCCCCTGCTCCCAGTAAAGGTAAGAAGGGAGGGGGGACATACATTTATTTAATTGTATACATTATTTATTTATTTTTATCAAAAAACCCCCTTACCCTCCTAACCACACATTGCCCCCCATAAACAGCCCACACACACACACACACACACTGCCCCCATACACACACTGCCTCCCCATACACACTGCCCCCCCATACACATACACTGCCCCCTCATACACACATACACTGCCCCCCACACACACACTGCCCCCCCACACACACACACACTGCCCCCCACACACACACTGCCCCCACACATACACACCACATATACTGCCCCCATACACACACACACACACTGCCCCCAAACACACACACACACTGCCCCCCAAACACACTGTCCCCCATACATACACTGCCCCCATACACATACACTGCCCCCATACACATACACTGCCCCATACACACACACACACACACTGCCCCCCACACACACACACACTGCCCCCCACACACACTCCCACACACACACTGTCCCCCATACACACTGCCCCCCATACACACACACTGCCCCTCCCCATACAAACACTGCAAGTTGTCAAACTGTTCTTAAACGGTTTGACTACTTACTCTGGGAGGGGGTCCCGGCACCATAACCACTACACAGAGCTGTAGTGGTTATTGTGCATGGATTATTTCTTTAAATAATATGAAAGTGCCCCTCCCGAGATCAGTCTCTGGATCCGCCACTGGTAAGGATCCAGTATAAGCGTAGGATAGGATAAAGGGAGCAAGTCGGTTGTGGTGTGCCGAGACCGACGATACGGTAGGCCTGTAAATAAAGAGGGCCCACCAATGAGTAAGAAAGTAAAGTAAGTGGAAAGAAAAGAGAAAGTGTTGAAATGAGGAGTGGGTGGGAGGGTCATTCTGATGCTGACCTCAAGCGATATGAGTCAGGTAAGAGGTGTCCCTTATATAGGGGAGTGAATTAATTTAAGCCCCTCCCTCAAATACAGGCCAAACGGCCTTAATACTTGTGTAAGGGGCAAATAGCCTTATATGGAGTAAGGATCCAGCATAAGCGTAGGATAGTATAAAGGGAGCAAGTCGGTTGTGGTGTGCCGAGACCGACGATACGGTAGGCCTGTAAATAAAGAAGGCAAAAATTACTAATCAAAGATTTAATACAGTCAAAAATATATACAAATTAACCAGACATTTCCTTAAATGCATTACAGTATTTAATTCCTGGAAGGATTTTGAAGGTAGTAATCTAGGACCGCAACTGGACACCATTTGTTGTGGGTAGGATAGTATGTTATCTCTATTGTTGGTGCGTGTTGACTCATTTCGGAATGTGGTAGAGCCAATAGGTAATGATATATGTGTTTACGTACGTGGGATCGTTGAAGACAATGATCTGTCTGAGTGGTGGTGATGGTAGTGGATTCTCTGGCCTGAGAAAGGCATAGAAGGCAGTGGGCATGGCTGGTAATGGCCGACTTGGTAGTATAATTGAATGGTTGTAGATCTAATAGGTCCGATAAGGATGGAAAAGTTGGATGGCTATTGGTAATCTCTGAGAGGAACGTGGGGCAATGGATTCCTGAAAACCTCTGAGTATATTCTTGTCTGGTATGATAGCATGAAGTTATGGTAGTTTTGGCCATAGGTTATCCTATGTTGTTGAATGCCTGTAAAATATATAATTAATGGTGTGTGATAGTTTAAGTTTAAAGTGGCAAAAAGAAGCAAAACCTAGGAGAAATGTTATGTCATGTTCCAATGAGATTCTTTAAGCCAGGTGAAAAGTTGTGTTATGCGTTCTACAAGTATGGGACGAAAGTGCTAGGTGGGATAGTGCATGCTATGCTGCCTGAGTATGTCTAATCCATGATTTTGTCTCTGGAACGAAAGAGTGGCCATGACTGTATGGGCGGCTGTATGAAGCGTATGATGAACATGCCTGGAATATAAATGAGACAATTGTCGGCAGGGATGTATTCCCCCCGCCCGGTACATGAAAGTAAAAGAAATGTGATAAGTGGCCAACCAAGTGAGTTCCCCAGAAATATCATGACCTTATGGATGATGAGTGGCGTTTGTTGATGATATGACATGTGCTTAGTTGTCTGAGTAACAACGGATTGATGACCCTGACCATGATTTACCATGATTTACCCCATGCCAGAGCAGCTGCTATAATGCGGTAGATCCCCCAAAGGGGCTGAGGTGGTGGAAAAATTTCCAAACCTGGATGCCATGGCCAACAGCTCCAAAGCAATCGTTCCCGGTAGATCGCTGCCAAACCCATGGTAGATGCCGCGTCTGACCATCTGGTTGGAGAAGTGTCAGACAATCCTGGAAGGAACATGCTTTTACCATGCCAAGTGGTTAAGAAATCCCCCCCCATGTGCAGGTCTGCTGTTGCTGGGGTGTCTAGGGACATCCTCTGATCGTCATGTTGGAAGTGTGGAAAAAAAGGGAAAGTACTCTGGATGTGAAAGCGTGGTCTTGTGGTATGATTGGCATGGCAAAATTAAGGAACCTGGTAGGGATTGTAGTTCCTTGCAGTTGTTAGTACTAAGCAGGAGGTAGTGACTGATGTAGTTGAGATTGTTCCCTATTTGTCTTGTGGTAACTTGCGTGTATGGATGCCGACTCAAGTCGTATGCCCAGTAATGTGATGATAGTGTCTGGGCCGTCTGTTTCTTATGGGGTACTGGGACGCCCAAGTGGTCAACCAGACTAAGCTGCCGTGAGGCTTCTAGTGAAAAATATCTTATCTTTGATCAAGAAGTGTTTTAGATAGTGTATGACTGTAAGGCCTCTGGATATGTTATCATAACCAGCACAGCGTATCTGCGAATATCGATAGTAGGCTAATCTGTAGCCTGAAAGTTGAGCGGGGAAAGGATTGCCCATTTTATGCCATGTAAGTGCCAGTGTGTAGGGTAGATGGTAGCCGTTTACTGCGTTGATGATATTGGTCTTACTTAACCAAGCTTCAACCCATGCTTGAGTGATAGCTGTAAAGGTAGATCATTGGTGTTGTATAGTAAGGAAACTCCTCGGAGGGTATGAGGGAGTTGAGACTTGGGGTAGCGGAGGTGTGTGGTGCCAATAGGTCTATGGTTAGTCTTTGTTTAAGGGAAGATTTCCTTGTGACAATACCAATGTGTTTGTGTTTGGTGCCATGCTGTAAGTGGTGGAGATTGGAAAACCCAAGTAAAAATCCCTCTGCAAATCTTGGCTATGAGTGTGTTTACAGCCAATAGTTCTGTTGTGCTGACTATAAGTGAGGGCATGCTATATTCCTTGAAGGTGTATATATGATACCTGTATGGGAGCCCTTTGAAGCTCCAGAGCTTTAGTAAATCTACTACAAGTCTGGAAGGGTAATGAGTCAGTAGTGTTGAAAATGCATTGGTGTGTACAGATGGTGAGTACGTTATTTGTAAGTTGTATTGGTATGGTTTGTCATGTGCCCTGAACCATTTGAACATATATGCAACAGTCTATATGCAATGCAACTACTATCAATTGTCTCTGGTAGTTCAGAGATGCTGGTACCTGGAGCCTGACAGTGCTCATCCATTTGTTTGGGACAAAATCCCTTCTGTATGGGTACCTGCACAAATAAACATCTCTTCATATTCCAAATGCCAACCCAATCAAGGGATGGTCAGTTTCCGATTTACCTGGAATCCCTGGACCTGACCATCACAGATACATCATCATACATATATATGCCTTGTTTCCCCAATGTGCTGGGATCATACGTGCAGGGTTAACGTCTTGTGTGTCATAAGAATTGATTGTACCAGGTAACCGAGTTTCGGTTGGTGCTGGTTGTACAGTAGCGTGAGGCCCAGCCTTGTGAGGGCTGTGGTGACCGACTCGAGATTGCCAGTATGTCGTAAATTTTTTTTTGCTCACGAGTTTATGAGTGAGGCTAGCATGGCCTGGGTGTCACCTGAGTTGGTGTTGCTGGACCTTCCCCTGCCTCCGTGTTGTCCGTTGATGTATGGAGAAGTTTGAATAACTCTGCTTTCCTTGCTGTGGCAGGGTAGGGGATTTTCGCCTCCTTAGGTCGGTGGTAATGTGTGGGATCGTCCAGGATCTGATTTCTGCTGGACTAGAAACATCTCCTCTGCTTGAAGGTGTATCAATTTTAGCTGGGGTGCTAGGAAGAGGTGATTCTTCACCATCTTTTTGAGAAATACTTAAATAACAATAAAGATTGCAATTATTATTTGTACCAAGGGGTCTTGTACTGGCTTGCTAGCTAAGCCGTAAGGCAAAACGATTAGGCTTGGTGTTTTTTTGGTGACTGGTGAGGCCCTGCTAGTTGCCAAGTGGCTTGAGAGGCTCTATCTATTCTTGGCGTGAGGGGATTTTGTGTGGCCACCGAACATTGTGGCAGGATGTTGGCCTCTCGGTGACAGTAACCAGAAAATAGGAAGAGGAGTGACAGGTGAGGCCCTCTCTATGATACAATGCGAGGCAGCTAGCTCACGAGTGGCCCGAGGGGTGTATGCCTCCGAGTATGAGGCAGGGTGTTGGCCTCGAGGGACCACTAACCGAAGCGTAATGCAGAGAAAAAATGGGGTAATACCTATTGGGCCCTAGAACCCTAATTGCCAGTACGCTATTACTATTCCAGGGAAGGTAAGAGATGGATAACTACGTGAGCAGGTGTATGTACCTGGTAGTATGGTATTGAACCTGACAATCCGTATAGGTTTTTTGGTTTTTTTTTTTTTGTAGTAACTGTAACCTGATTGGATAAAACCGTATGGCATAAGGAAATATGGCATAGACCAAACTTATCTTAATACGTACAGTATATGTGAAAAATAAAGTGCCTTGATGTGTAAATATTAAACATCGTAGCCATACTGGTTAAATATGTATCAATCTTAACCCATTAAGTGCCGTATGTACAAGTGAAAAAGTGGTCTGTCCCCACCTTGTATGTTGTGTGTCCCCTTGCTAGGGGAAAGTCTGTTGTGTGAGCAGCGTGCTGTGAAAAATGTATGTGAACTATATTACCAGTTACGTATATACAGATGTGTCTGCTACTATGTAATAATATGTGTATTTATACCAGATGTTGATATACAACTTGCTATGTGAATTGTTGTATGTCTTATTGAATGGTAGGGGTCAGTGAACATGGTGTTGCAAAATGCAAGTGCACTGGAGATCTGCCGAGTGCCCTATAGGTGGCGGTGTAGTTGGATACTGATTGGTATGTGAAATGTTTTTGTCTGTTGACCTATAGGGGTCAGTGTTTTGGTGTTTGTAAAACCCCATGAAAATTGTCAATGTACTTGACAGACCTGTAGGTGGCAGTGTTGATAGAACCACTGTTGGTCTTGATGTGAACTGTAAATTATTGTGAATTAAACCTGAAGTTGAGCCCGTACTGGAGTTTAATTTATGGTTTATGGTTATGTTTAAAACAATCTTATGTGTAATTTATATTGTCTGGTAAATTGTATATGACATGTGAAGACAGTTTTGCTGTTGACCAGTAGGGGTCAGAAATGCTGATTGTCTGGTAAAAATACCCTTTAAGCCCTTAAGGACCAAACTTCTGTCATGTGTCCTAAGGGGTTAATCCAAATGCAAGGTTAACGTGAGATTTTGAGAGTGATCTGTAGGGGTCAGTGTGGTTTATGTGAAACATTGTTCGTGAGCTATGCCCCAGCATTATAGTTGTATGACAGGGAAACGAACAGTGCCCATTTGACAATATACAATATGTGAACATAATAGCTTAATAACAGTCATTGTAACAAACCAAAGTTCTGTTCGTGGGTTGTAAACGCACGAAACGTGTGTGTAGTACAATAGTAAATGCATGAACTAGTTTGGTAGAAAATTGCCCGAAACGTGAACCTGGTATGTCAGGGAAACAAAATGAAACGAGCAGTGAGAATCGAATGCACGCACAAAATTGCCTAGTATGTTTAGGCAATTGAAACAGAATGCGTTCCAGTTCGGGAGTATGCTAATGCTCGAAATGAGCCAGTGACAGATATAAACAAGTGAGTTTAAACGAATGATATGCATGAACATGCAATGGTTTTAGAACAGATTTAGACAAAATGCAGCCGTAAAGTGAGGACCTGACCCGTGCATGGTGCCGTGGGAGTGATGCCTGGCGTAATGGGTAGGTCGACTTACGGTTTGTGAGTCACTTGGACACCATACACAGTGATAGATTGAAGAAAGAAGGTGGTAGGCCGGAAAAGCCTGTGGCTGGATCCCTGACACAGCTCAGCTTAGAAAACCTCACGGAGTAATCAGGTAAAATGGCGTCTGGATCACTCGGAAGTGGAAATTATTCTGATGCTGACCTCAAGCGATATGAGTCAGGTAAGGGGTGTCCCTTATATAGGGAAGTTAATTAATTTAAGCCCCTCCCACAAATACAGGCCAAACAGCCTTAAAGGACCACTATAGTGCCAGGAAAACACTCGTTTTCCTGGCACTATAGTGCCCTGAGGGTGCCCCCACCCTCAGGGTCCCCCTCCCGCCCGGCTCTGGAAGGGGGAAAGGGGTTTAAACTTACCTTTTTCCAGCGCTGGGCAGAGAGCTCTCCTCCTTCTCTCCTCCTCCGTTCTGCCCCGTCGGCTGAATGCGCACGCTCGGCAAGAGCTGCGCGCGCATTCAGCCGGTCGCATAGGAAAGCATTATTAATGCTTTCCTATGGACGCTGGCGTGCTCTCACTGTGAAAATCACAGTGAGAAGCACGCAAGCACCTCTAGTGGCTGTCAATGAGACAGCCACTAAAGGATTAGGGGGAAGGCTTAACCCATTAATAAACATAGCCGTTTCTCTGAAACTGCTATGTTTATTAAAAAAATGGGTTAACCCTAGAAGGACCTGGCACCCAGACCACTTCATTAAGCTGAAGTGGTCTGGGTGCCTAGAGTGGTCCTTTAATACTTATAGAAAATGGCAGGGTAAACCTTTTCACTGGATGGCGCAGATTGCAGAATATGGACAATTTATGGGCAGAAAAAAATTTGTTCAACTAAGAGTAGGCATTATAAATTTGAGCTGATTAACCTGTGCCATGTCAGAAGGTGTGAAAAGTTCTTGCCCCAATGACACTGAACTGTGCTGCTCCGGGCGAGAATAAAACCTTCCATTTTCTGTTCATTCGCAAACAGAAGAGGCACGGGAATGTCTGTACTCGCGAGGCACCTTTAAGTACACTCACGGGTATGTCTGTATAGTGTTTGTGTAGTATGTAGTGGTGGCTTTTAAATGTGGATGTATATTTGTGTGTAGTATGTGTGTGAGTGAAATCGCGGCAGAATCACAATTTTGTTCTCGCTAAACACCAGGGTTCCACAGAACACCAATTGGGAAACGCTGTTTTAGACAAACATGTAGCTACTATAAACAGATCTAAGTGTATTCATTATATTATTATGCCTTTTCATCACACAGCAGTTAGCATAAGCTAGTTTCCATGGTTTGGAGTAGGATCTCCATTAACTGTGCTGAAGATGGGTAGTATTGTTAATGTAATTAATGAATTAATGTTGTGCTAGCCTTTCTCAATCTTATACTGTTGTAAACCTGTTGTTACTTTTATTTCAAGTTAAATTGTGGTACTATAACAAATGTATCTTATTGAAGTTGTTATAGTCCCTTCAGTCCTACCCCAAATTTTATTTTCATAAGTTGAAGGCTCGGGACTGATGGGACCTATTGGCTCTCATAGCTTAACATACTGTGACATCACATGCCCATGTGCAGGGTTGTCACCATCTGCCATAGAGAATCATTGTATTAAGCCCTCAATTCAAACTTTCGTTAATCTTGGGTGGCATGGTCGTTGCTGTCGCCCAGGAGTGATGCGAGTTTGAGCACAGGACTTGTTTTTTTGTATTTGTATAAACTATAGTGCCAGTTCCTGGCACTATAGCTTCCCCCTCTGTCAAGGTCTGCCTCCTTCGTGGAGCAGAAGTTGTTAATAACTCCTATCACGAACCTGGGTCCAGCGCCTCGGCCACTTCAATGAGCTGAAGTTGCCAAAGTGCCTACAGTGTCCCTTTAAGGCTAAATAGCTGATTTAGAAAATGCTCTGAGCCATCGCTTGATTATTTTAGCCTGAATTTTGCCATTTTTATTTCAATTTTGTTATAATTCAGAATTTATTGAATAGCCCTGCCTAATTCGTTATTGTCTGTTTCTGTGTTGTGTCACAAATCACTTTATCCACTTCATGTCAATGAGACAAAGTGTTAATGCCAAAACTTATTGTTCACATCATTAATCATAATGTCACTGTTAACAATATTGTTTTCTCAAGCTAACTAACGAAAACTGATATGTTCCATAGTTCAACGAACTGACAGGTGGAGCTTCATTATAAAAAGGGAGAGGCATGGTCACAATCGAACAGCAACAATAAGAACACAAAGAGGTCCGCTTCTCAAAAAGAATACTGTAAGTAGTATTTATTTTTATTATTAAAGATCATTTTTTTTAAAGATCATCACAAAACCTGTGCATTTTGTGAGTACACTGGTAGCCTTGGTGTGCAAGTTAAGGAAAGAATCTTAACACGTCTTTAAAGATTTTGCAAAAATTCCAATCTTATTGACCCCTCTCACTCAGCATATAGTTAAAGGGCTACTCTAAGCACCATAACTACTACAGCATGCTGACACTGGCAGCCAATGAATAATTTACAGTTTTGTTACGATAATTTAGTATGAAGCATTAATGTCTGTTTAACCATACCAGCTCAGACTGGAAGCAGCAGGGGCATCTGTGAGAGACAGGTTCTTAAATTTGACAGTTCACTGTCCCAGTCCAAATGCACTAGAGGTTCCCTTGCTCCTGAAACTCTACAGTGCACTGTAGTGGTTATGGTGCTTAGAGTGTTGTATACAGCAAACATAAACTTTAAGGAATCCATTTTAAAAAAGGAATTATGAGGCAAAAAGGTGATTCTTTGTTGAACTAATTTACATATGCCCCCCCAGAATCCCTTGCAGTAGCAACATCCCTGCAAATTTGAGATTTCTGTTGGAAAAGTAAGTGTTATGGATTGACTGGTGTGTGCAAATCTGTGTTTAACAATGTATTGACTATCCATTGACTTCAGGTGGAAGGGGTTTTCAATCACTTTTTTCCCCCCACCATAACTTTCTTGGTTTGTTTTCCACAAGTATCGCCATGCCTTACTAGCAAGCCAGTTAGCAACCTAATTCTGAAGAGTTGCATTAACAATGAAACAGCTGTCAATGAGTAGTTCACTGGCTTTGCAACTCTTCTTGGGTTATGTTTCAAAGCTGTTGTATACAACAAAAACAAACTCCAAGAAACCCATGTTAACGCTGGAATAGTGAGGCAAAAAGGTAATTCTTTGTTTAACTCCTTTGCACATGCCCACCCAGAATCCCTTGCAGTAGTTTGGAAAAAGCGAGTCTTATGGCTTGACTGGTGTGTGCAGATCTGTGTTTAACAATGTATTGACTATCTTTAGTTAAGTAGACGGTTTGCTAAGATCGGACTATCTACAAACTGATGGGATTCATGAAGTTAGCAGATTCAGACAAAGGTTTTAACAAATATACAATGTGACAATCACAACTCCAGTGCAAAACCGTGAAATAGAAAGATGTATATAGAGAGAAAAACCTTCCCTTAACAAAAAGGGTTTACTCCTGAAGACTTGAAGACTTGCTCTGGTCTTCACTAACAAATACATATATAGGGTTATAATAAATAATGGTAATATATTTTCCAATTGGCCACTCAAACTCAGTATGCCAAATACCTTATGGGTAATTCCCAGTGAATTGATGTGTCTTCAGATGTGCAGGATTAATATTCATTCCAAGCAATGAGAGACCATGGCTCAGAGAGAAGAAAAAAAATTAAACAATATAAAATATGTGAATTTTTAGCAATTTATTTACTTACATCAAAGTTAAAAACAGCAGATACAATCAAGAGTCACCAAAGTTGAAAGTTTTTTGTTTTTTTTCCAAAATAATTTTTATTGTGAATGCATGGTACACAAATATAACACGAGTGACATTATCATTTATGCTTTTAAGCTGTTATTCGGTAAGGTACATTCACTATTTTGCGATTTTCTTAACATGAACAAAACAAAACAAATAAGATTTACCAAACCAACGAAGTCCTGTTAATAAGCAAGAGGTTGAGCTTAGACAATTACTTTTGGATGTGGGTGTCTGGCAGGCTCAGTTATTGCCAGTTCTTCCACTTGCGTGGATCAGGGATTATGAGGTGTTGCTGCTCAGGACAATGGAACGTACAGTATTTTGCAGTTTAATAGTTAAGAGCAAAAGAAGGTACACCAAAGAAGGTAAGTTGAAAGATTTTAATAAGACATGAGGGGTTGCATTCAGTTTAGCTGGAATATAAACACGAGTTACTAAATGACAAAAAATCAAAAGTGAAGAAAGCAACCAGAAAAAAAAGCTAAAACTTAGCTGTTAATACCGTATCAATATAGTCACCAAAACAACTTTAGGTGAATGAAGCAGAGTTAGTATATAGATCAGGCCACTGCAGTTTCACTGCTCAGTTTTCTGCCATGCAAGGGTTAAATCACTTTGTTTATGTAGCTCTAGTCACACCTCTCTGCATGTGACTTGCACAGCCTTCCTAAACACTAACTGTAAAACAAGATTTAATGTTCAAACTTCCTGTATTGCACAGTTTGTTCAATTTTGAATTTCTTATCGCATGCTCTTTTAACAGCCTGCAGGAGCCTCCTGTGTGTGATTAAAGTTCAAATTACAGAGCAGGAGATAAAACGTCTAAAGCAAGTTAAAGTCTGATTGAAAATAAAACCATTTTTGTTCATGCAGGCTGTGGAGGGGAGGTGTGACTAGGGCTGCATAAACAGGCGTGATTTAACTCCTAGATGTCAGTAGTCAGCAGTGATAGGCATGATCTATATACCAAAACTGCTTCATTAAGCAGTATTTTGCTGCCTATAGTGCCCCTTTAAAAACCTAAAAGGTATTCATAGGGAAATGTGTTTTTGTGCTCTCCTTGAAGAGCCGAATGATCATTAATATGATCTTCAGAGCTCTATTAATAGTCCTAAGCAGACTGATTTTTTTTAATGCAATGGCAAACTAAATGGATATTTATTACTACTATGATTGATCAGCTTTCTTGATCTTAATTATAACTTTATTCTGTCTTTCCTCTCCTGCTATATTATTGTTAATTGTGAGTAGGGATACTGAGAAACCATCTGATTGGCACAGGGATGTGTTTTGCCGCACATGTGCACTAACCTCCCTATGCTTTCCTATGGAAAAGCAATGGATTGGTGGAGATCATCAACATTGATCATCTCAGCCAAAGAAGTGGAGAAGACCGGCACTGCTGAACTGAAAGGTATATAAATGCCTCTTTTAATCCTGGTAGTGGGATCCTGGTCACCTACAGGTTACAGGGCACTATAGCATTAGGAATACATACTTATTTCTGGTTCTTTTCTTTGCTGTTGTTTTTTAATTTGGAATTATTTTGACCAAAATTAGTGACAAACGTGTTCCTCTTAAGCAGGATAATTTTATATAAGATTTATAGACCACATCTACAAAACGAAATTGTGTTTTCTGTATCTCCTAAAAAAAGTTATAGTATTTGACTTTCACTATACTGGTATATGTGCCAATGCAGACAGGTTTAATTGTACTGTTGCTTTAAATTTAATGTACCAAGTTAGAAAAGCCAGGCTCGAAACTTGCAAGCACAGAAGCACAATGCGTTATCTCACAAAGCAATATAAATAATATACTTTGAGCACTCCACAGACACTAATTCATATTACCTCTTTTTCAGCAAAGAAATCAAACAGTCTTGGAACATAAATTATTATTTAATCACATATCTTGCATGCTTTAGGATCCAGTGATCATCAGTCAGTGTGGTTTAATGTAAGAACAGTGACTGAGAACATAAATTACTATTTAATCACATAACTTGCATGCTTGCTGTATAATATATTCTGCATTTTCCAGACCTATTTTTCCTTTGTCCCTTCTGATTTGTACATAGATTTATTTATGTGACAGTGATTGGCAGTGCGATGACAAATGATATAGGTCAAGTAGGGAATAATATAGTTCAAATAGGGAAACTAGACAATTATTTAGGGAATATGGTTATTTTAGGCTAGGTTTTTCCATTCTCGTGCCAACTCATTTCAACTCATTCAGATTAATTCACTAAGAGGTAAAAGCTTTTTCTGGAACTGACCAGACAATATCAGATTTTAAGGGGTTAAGGACCAAACTTCTGGAATAAAAGGGAATCATGACATGTCACACATGTCATGTGTCCTTAAGGGGTTAAATTCGCCTGCCTTGTTTTCCCAGATTTTCTATTTTGCCAAAAAATGTACCTATATGCACGTTAGTGAATAACCCCTATTGAAAAAAAAAAATCGGAAAAAATATTAGTTGCACCTTGAGTTCAGTGACAGTTCATGGAAACTGCCTGGGTTTTTTTAAGAATATTAAAATGCAATAAACCTTGTAGGAAAAAAAAAATAACACAATATCTTTGGTGAATATATCTTGAATGGAGTTTACCTTATCTCTCTTATTTTTTTTTTCAGTTTATTTTACTTTTTATATTGGTTATCTTTATAATCCAGTTATGACTGACACTGATAAGATATGCGCACAGCTTTTTTGTTTTGGACAAATTGTTCTAATGAATTATTTTTAATTAACTTTCATTTTAATTAATCAATTTAGGATGCCCTGCTATTATTAAACCGTGAAATATTATACTTTCGGTGCAGGTGCTAGAAAGAATGCAATTTTTTCAGTTAAAAGCCAGAGTTTGGTGCTCAAAGGGTTAACAATATGGAATCTAGAGAATGTTCCCACCATCAGTTTCCCCACACCTTGGAATGTAAGGGTTAATATATTAGTGGCCTACACACCTGTAACACTATTCCCTGGCTCTGGGACTTGATATTTCTGAATGTTAATATCGACATTTCTTTTATTATGGTAAAATCTACTAACAAAGGGCTTATATGGTTCTTTTAATGACACTTTCTGTCATAAAAATGGCAGCTGCTAACCTACAAGAATTTATAAAGGAATTTTCTGTCTGTAAAAACTGGTGAAACGTTATCTCCTGCCTCACTATGTATTTAACCATCGAATTACATTGGTCATCACAGAATTTATATATAATTTAAGTTAAACTGAAAGGGACACTATAGTCACTAGAACAACTGCAGCTTAATATAGTGGTTCTGGTATCTATAGCATGTCCCTGCAGGCTTTTTAATGTAAACACAGCCATTTCAGAGACAAGCCAGTGTTTACATTACTGCCTAGGAACACCTCTAGTTGCCCTTACTCAGACTAGAGGTGCTTCCCGGCTCAATGCTGCACTGATGTTCAGCGTCTCCACAGTCTGCATAGAGATTAAATGATGAGATGCTGATTGGCGCAGCATGGCATTTTGCCTCCCAATACTTTCCTATGGGAAAGGAGTGGAGCAGCCAAGGATGCGTAGCAGGGGCAAGGCCAGCCGGGAAAATCCACACGCAGCACTGGAAAAATGGTACGTTTTAACTCTTTTTAACAGGGCAAAGGGGAGCCAGTCACCTAAAGTGTGTTTTTAACATTATAGTTTGTGACATCTTTTTTTTTTTTCTCCCTAGTTTCTTTTTAGTGCCTATTTACCTTTATGTTCGGTACTAACCTCCTATCCGGCTGTTTGGATTATCTACTTTCTCTAGATCATATTTAGACCCATTAAAGTTCCACTATCACAACTACTTTCTAGTAGTTGACTGAATCTGACCTTAAAGGGATAATATTCAGGAATTCATTGGGAAGAACTGTTTTATTAGCAATAATCAGCATGGCTTTATGAAACATAGGTCATGTCAAACTAACCTAATTGCATTCTACGAAGAAGTAAGTAGAAGTATAGATCAGGGTGTTGCAGTGGATGTGATCTACTTGGATTTTGCCAAGGCATTTGATACGGTTCCTCACAATAGGTTAGTCTTCAATCTAAAAGAAATTGGTCTAGATGAATATTCTTGTTCTTGGGTAGAACATTGGCTTAAGGATAGAGTACAACGAGTTGTAATTAATGGTACATTTTCAAGCTGGACAAAAGTGGTAAGTGGTGTCCCTCAGGGTTCTATTTAACATATTTATAAATGATCTTGAAATGTGCATTGAAAGCCATGTATCAGTGTTTGCAGATGACACAAAACTTTGTAAAGTAATAAAATGTGAGCAGGATATTGCTTTGCTGCAGAGGGATTTGGATAGATTGGGGGACTGAGCACTAAAATGGCAGATGAAATTTAACGTAGAGAAATGCAAAGTTATGCACTTCGGGGTTAAGAATGCACAAGCAATTTACACCCTAAATGGTAGTGAACTAGGGATAACCACACACGAGAAGGATTTGGGAAATGTTATAGACAACGAATTAGGCAGCAATATGCAATGTCAATCTGCCGTTGCTAAGGCCAGTAAGGTTTTGTCATGTATAAGTAAGGGCATAAATTCTCAAGATGAAAATATAATTTTGCCTCTTTATAAATCGCTGGTAAGACCACACCTTGAATATGCTGTGCAATTTTGGGCACCTGTTCTAAAGAAAGATATCATGGCACTAGAAAAAGTGCATAGACGAGCTACAAAATTGATAAAAGGAATGGAGCATTTTAGTTATGAAGAAAGGTTAAAAAATTTTAAATCTCTTTAGTTTGATAACATTATACAAATATATTCGGGGCCAGTACAAACCATTATCTGGAAATCTATTCATAAACAGGGCTATACATAGGACACGAGGTCACACATTTAGGCTTGAAGAAAGGAGATTTCATCTAAGGCAAAGAAAAGTTTTTTTTACAGTAAGAGCAATAAGGATATTAAATTCTTTGCCTGAAGAGGTGGTTTTGTCAGAGTCTATACAGATGTTTAAACTGCAATTGGATAAATACTTGCAAAAACATAACATACAGGGATATAATTTCTAATTAGTGGGGTTATAGCTGCTTGATCCAAGGAGACATCTGACTGCTATTTTGGGGTCAAGAAGGAATTTTTTCCTAGTTTGTTGCAAAATTGGAAGTGCGCCAGACTGGGTTTTTTGCCTTCTTTTGGATCAACAGCAAAAACATATGTGAGGAAGGCTGAACTTGATGGACGCAAGTCTCTTTTCAGCTATGTAACTATGTAAAGGACCACTTAAGTCACCCAAACCACTTCATCTAAATGAAGTGGTCTAAGTGCAGTGGTCATGTCATTTTAACCCTACAATGTAAAACAGTCATTTTTTTAGAAACTGCAATATTTACATTAAAGAGATAAATTCCCCTCTAGTGGCTGTCAGTATGGCCATACTGACAGCCACTAGAGGCGCTTCACATGACGCAGAAGCTTGGAGGAGACCTTTAAGTTTAATGCTTTGCTATGTGGAAGCTTATTTGTGCATGGCAGGTCCCCAATGCTCCTCTCTGTGGCGGAATGGTGAGTCTCGGCGCTGGAAAAGGTGAGTAAAACCTTTATTTTCATTTTATGGCAAATGTGGGGGAGGGGGGACAACTAAGATAGATAGGAACACAATAGTGCTAGGAATACAGGTGTTATTTTAAAGTTTGTTGTATTTAAATTGTAACTGCTCATAATTATGAAATTATGTACGCATTTATTGATCACCCTTTTGCTTTCTTGTATATTCCTGTTTTCAAAAAAGTTATAAAAATTAAACTGGTAAGAAAATGGCAGATACATGCAAAACACAGGTAGTAGTACACAATTATATTTTTGCAACAGTAGCAACTCTAATATGCATGTAAACTATTTTTAGGGAAATATTCAAAGAGACAGCCAAGGTGATATAATTATTTACCTATTCTGTTGTCCCAAATATGATTTATTTCTTGCAATGGGTAATTATTTAATTTCCATTATAAAAGCCTGTTGCTGGTGGTTTATCGGACATTATCTCGAGATGAGCATCGTTGGAAGACTAGATAATTGGCTTTTACTATTAATGAATGAATAAATAAACGCTGGCTGCATAAGCACTCAGCAGACAAACAATATGGTTCTTCTTTGTAGGGCACTCCGCACCAGTTTTAAACAATAGAACCACATTGATTTTTCTAAAGATAGTTGATGAAGAGCAGCTTTTTCTGATGGTTTCTGATAGCCCAACTAGCCAGAGGTTGTTTTGCTGACTTCTATTTTCAAGATCTTAAATCTTTCCAATCACATATTAGAAGTCAAAATGGTGTAGATTTACATGCATCTATCTATGAATGCCTTTAGTGTGTATTGTTAATTGTTGAAGAAAAGGTTTCTTCCAGAAAGTGATCTGAAATAAGTGCCATAATTTATGGTGTTGTGGATAGAGATGCTATAAACACTGTCTTTTCAGAGAAAATGCAGTGTTTACATTACAGCCTAGGGATACCTCCACTGGCCACTCCTCAGATGGCTACTAGAGGTGCTTCCTGGGGCAGTGCTGCACTGACATTCAGTGTCTCCACCCTTTGCATGCAGACACTGAACTTTCCTCATACAGCTGCATTGATTCAATGCATCTCTATGAGGAGATGCTGATTGGCCAGGGCTGTGTTTGACTTGTGCTCGCTCTGCCCCTGACCTGCCTCCTTGACAGTCTCCGCTAATCCAATGCTTTAATTTGAAAAATCATTGTGATTGGCTCAGAACACAACTTCTGATTATGTCAGTCCAATAGTGGCACAAGTTATTTCTGCCCATTACAAGAATAAACTGCTATAAGAGAAGTCAATCCATTAAAGAATCTAGTGGTAGTCCACTAATTTCTTCTATCCAACTTGAAAATTCTTAATGAATTCATGCTTTCTGCACTCTTTTTTTTTTTTAACCCAATGTTTAATTTTCATCTATTTCAACATTTCCATCTAAATCCATTTCTTTTAATTTAATAATAACTTTCTGTATCAAACTTACACCACCCAGCACCGAATCTCAAACTTTTCCCTAGCCTCTGAAACAATTTCTTCCAATCTTTCCCTTCCCAATAAATACATTCTTGCTTCTTTTTTTCTGTTCTGTGTGTGTGTTTTGGAATTTCTCTTTATTTTATGTCTGTTCATCTCTCCCTGTTTTGTTTGTATTTGCACTTATTTCCTTGTTTTGTTTAGTCTCCTCTCCTTATCGCATTAGACCTGTAGTTATTTCTATAGTGTGTCCATGGTCAGACTAACAGAAGCTGCAACATTTGAGCCACTGTGCAACAACATTGCCATAGTTAGGACCTGTAGTTGGGCAAAACCTCTCTTGTGCCATGTGACCAGTGGCGGAACAATCGCGGTCGAAGGGGTCACAGCTGCGACCAGGCCCGTCACTCCGGGTGCCTGGCGGCCATGTGTTCCGGCCCGTGCGGTATAACCGCCGGGGCCGCATGTTAAGGGGCCCATCAGGTGGTCCATGCTGTTAGGGTTACCCAATGGAAATTTATTTCCAGGGGGCCCAGTCAGTGCTGCAGCGATTTAACAGCGCAAGTTGGCCCCCTTTGACATCAGAACACAGGGAGGAAGTGACTGACCCTGTCATTTACTCCCTTCAATCACAGAGCCCGCGCGGGAGGAAGAGAGGAGAGAGTCAGAGTGGGAACTCTGACTCCCATCAGCCTGAGCCACTGGAGCCCATGGGAAAATCACCCTCCTGCACCTGAAAGGTAGGAAACAGGAGGGTGACATTTTGCATGTGTCTCTGTATGTAGGTGTGTGTGTGTGTGTCTGTATGTGTGTATGTGTCTCTGTGTGTGTCTGTATATATGGGTCTCTGTGCGTATGTGTGTCCACATGTATGTATGTGTCTGCATGTGTGTGAGGGGATGGGGTGGGGGGGTAAATATATGGGTGACTCCAGGGCAATTTTTACACCGAGGCACCATGGTTTCTAGTTACGCCTCTGCATGTGACACAAAATAAAAAAGGATATGGATTTTTTCTTTATTGTTTCCATGTTTTGTTAGGCTGTCAGATCTGCTGTTTTGTCTTTTGAAATAAACCTTGTGTTGTAATGGATCCACATGTTATGAGAAGCTTTCTTTAAGGATATACCTACACAATTAAACAATGTTAGCAGAAAATCCACCTCTAGTTACTAGGATTAGCCAACTCTTTCTCTTGGATGTTGGGCTCCACAGATGATTTAATGTGTACAAAGTATCATTTGCTTTTATTTATTTTTTTACATTGACTGGCTTTTTGATACATCCTTGTGAGTTCCAGGATTCTTTTTACCTGGAACTGCTGTTGGTATAAAACTTCTTTTACCCACCTTGTTACTTGATTGTACCAAATGATCTCCATCAGTCCAGGGCTGTATGGCTTTTTATGGATTTAATATCAGGCGTTTTTTTTGAGGCATTGCATGTGAATGTAGGAATGTAGAGTGGCAGTGTGTATGTGAATTTGATGATGAACGCCAGATGCGACTAAGGTGTTGGTCCATTCCACTGTCCTTTCTCACCTTGACTACTGTAATCCGCTTCTTAGTGGTCTTACGTGCTCCCAAATTGCGCCGTTACAGTCCATATTGAATGCGGCGGCGAGGCTCATCTTCCTGTCCGCCCGCACCTCCAATGCCTCACCTTTCTGTCAGTCCCTACATTGGCTTCCTATAAAATATAGAGCTCAATTTAAAATTCTGGTTCTTGCTTTCAAATCTCTAAATAATGCTGCTCCCACCTATCTATCCTCCCTTATACACAAGTATGTCCCGTCTAGGCCCTTACGATCTGCTGAAGACTTACGTCTATCTTCTGTCCGTACTCCCACCTCTGATGCTCGCCTTCAAGATTTCTCGAGGGCTGCACCGTTCCTGTGGAACTCGCTTCCCTCCTCCGTTAGATGCTCACCCAGTCTCCACTCCTTCAAAAAATCATTAAAAACCCACTTCTTCATAAAAGCGTATCAATTAAACTGTTAATAGCTCCTGACTGATTCCTCTTCTGCAACTGTCACTAGTCTAATACTATCCTTACCTTTTTGTGTCATTTTACCCCACTCACTCTAGCATGTAAGCTCATTGAGCAGGGCCCTCAACCCCTCTGTTCTTGTGTGTCCAACTTGTCTGGTTACAACTACATGTCTGTTCGTCCACCCATTGTAAAGCGCTGCGGAATTTGACGGCGCTCTATAAATATCATAATAATAATGATGTATTTGTGTAGTGTTTCAAATGTGTCAATACTGTATGTAGCAGTGAAAGGCCCGAATAAAGTGTTGTGCTAGCGTGTGTTTTCTCCTTGCTAGATATATTGTGTCACTTGCCCACACCAGTGCCACGTCTGCTAACCATTTGGAAATTACTTTTGCTGTTCCAACCCTTTGAGCACCGCACATTTGGTAGAGTTTTTTTGTTTCCATGCCTTCGTGGTTTGTGCACTTTGTATATTGCTATAATGTGTAAATAATTTATTGACGAAACTTTAAACAAGTGCAGGTGTGCTTTAATCAGTATGCTACGGTTTATTGCCAGTCTATTCATAATCATAAATAGTTTCATGTAGACGTGAAAGTATATTACTGAGATCCGTACATTTGGTTGGGAAAACACTAACAATTAGATAATAGAACATTTCCTGTATATTACTGAGAGCAATTGAGCCATACCAATATATCAATATTTTATCTGCTCATATAAAGCTATGATTATATGTCTACATGTGAATTATGAAGTAAGATCTAATAAACTGCAAGTTTGTTTGAGTAAAACCCTATTCACCACCTTGCTTCTGTTGATTATTCATTTTTGTTTAATTACCTGTTTAACTTCCTCATATTAATATTGTAAAGTCCTGCAGAATTTGTTGGTGTAATAAAGATAATATTAATAATAATTAATAATCTACATGTGGGACTTTTCTATTGCATTTTATAAGTTCTCCCTTCAGTCTTTCCTACGACTTTTGACCCCCGTTAGATAAATTCCCTGGAGACACAACTAAAGCATTTTAAGTACTGATTTTTTTTATATGCTAGACTCGTCAGCTTAATATCTTGCACCAAAGTGATAGTTGATGCATGACCCATTCAATATAATAATGTGCCTATCTGTATAAATTTAGAATCCTATGTCAAAACTTAATATTGTGATAATAGATCTAGTGTGCATTTTATTTTATCTTTGTATGCATCTCGAACAGGATTGCTTATTAAAACTGTTTTTCCTTGTAAATAAACCTTATGAAATCTTAATTTTATCATTAAAGCAAATCATGCTATAAAAAAAGACAAAATTAATGCATTTATTTTTATTTTTGTATGTATGTAAATTTTGTTCATAAAGAATTGTGTTTTGGTTTTTCTTGTGCGTTGTATTCAATTATTTTTTATTTTTGTTTTGCGTTCTGATGCTGCAAACATTCCCGCAATATCAGTAAATTTTGTTTTCTTTCAGTTGGCCTAAGAAATAAAAATGTACCTGCGTCTACTGACTTTGGTAACCTTGCTTGGATTCTGTATACATGGCTCGAATGGTATGTAATTCTTTAAAAACTTTTATTAAACAATTATAAAACGGGAAAATACTTCATATATTGTAACTTTAACCCAAATCCATCTGTTAACATGTCATTACCTGAAAAAGGTGTGCATAAAGAACTAAATTGCATATATAAACTGTTTGTATCGATCATGGAGGTGTTTGCTTTGCCATGGAACCTTCTTGTTACGTGCATGCTCTGTCTCATATTCTCTCCTCCATTGCCTTAGATGTTTGTCTTTGGGAGCCATCTTTGTAATGTATGTACAGATGCTCTACGTTTTACCCATGACTGTGGCCTTGACACTTATTAGGCCATAGCCCCCTTTATTCTGACTTTGTACAGACTGAGTACTAGATTTTTGGTGGAATCCTCCATTCACCATGAGTAGTTTCCAAGTCTTGTTATCTATGGTGTCTATCTCTTCTCCTGGCCAGGTTATTATTTCTACTGGGTACCTGATGACTCACAGGGCATATATATTGATGGTGTAGATCTTGTTCATGCCATTGAGCAGAGACTGCCTGAGTCTGTGGAGATACTTGGATGTTGCTGTCTCCCTTTCTCTTCCTCATGGTTCCCATGTGTTTGTGGTATCCCCAGGCACTTGTAACTGTTCTCTGTGTGTACTTTTTGGCTTTCTGGTGTTTCAACTACTTTAAGTTCTAACCATCTTCTCTCTTTTTGCAATCATCCACTCACACTTATCTAGTCCGAGCAACATTCCTAAGACCTTGCTGTTTATCCTATTTAGGCAGATCAGTGAGTCGATGTCCCATTTATTGTTGGCATAGAGCTTGATGTCCTCTATGTAGAGGAGGTGGCTGATGGTAGCTCACCTCTTGAACCTGAATCTGTGAACCCTCTTCATGATTATCTGGCTGAGGGGGTTGAGGTCTATGCAGAACAGCATTTGGGATAGCATATCATTTTGGTATATTCCATTGGAATTGGCTTCTAGTGTTGTTCTCTACTTGCCCATTGAGTTCATTATGAAGGCTCATCGTGTCTTATTGACCTTGCAAAGGGTTAAGTATCCCAGTATCCATGTGTGTCATGTTTTGTGGGCTTTCTTGTAGCAAATCCAGGCACAAGTAATGATAAAACTCATGTAAATACATCCACATACTCTAGAATAAATGACTAAGGAATCCAATAGCTGCCCTTTGAGTCCTTCAATGAGTAGGACAGATTTCATGATGCCTTCTGAAATGGGCCTCTATTTAATATATTTGGAAAAGCATTTATAATTTAATATTCTTGAATAAAAAAAAATTAATTTAATACTTTGAAAAATTTTAACATTTACATTTTTTTCTGATATTAATATATATTTTTTATGTATGATTTGTTTTTTGATATTTTATTTTTTTGAAAAAAATACTTTTAAAATGTTATCCAAGAATCGTAAATTATTTGAAAGGCTTATCCAAAAATATTACATGATGGCCGTGTTATAATTTGCCATTTAAATTATAATTTTGCAAGAAAGGCATTAGTTAGTTTTGAGGAGGGGAAGCTTGAGCCTCAGGTACTCTTGTAACCTACATACACTCCTGTTTACCTATGCATGTTCATTTGTTCATTACAAACACTCACTTATAAATTAAAAGGACACACCTTTAAAGCCCTTTAACTTGCTGAAGTGCTTTATATGTGAAGAGTGTGTCCTCTTCCTTTTTTTTTTTTTTTTTTTCTTCTTTTTACAAGTGAAGACTTCAATAGAAATTGGTACTTTTTAAAATTAACTTTATTATTCCCTCTGGCTTTCATGCAAACAACATATCCTGTTACTTCCTGGTTTGTTTAGCTTAGTGGCGCTAAACTCAAGAGACAGCAATTTTATGGCAAGACAGGCGGCTTCATATTTGCTTTACTTTCTTTACTGTAACTCCCAGCAGCAAAGAAACAGTTAACAGTAAGTAAAAAATTTAACCAGAGTGTACAATAGAGTATGTCCAGTCATCAGGCTCCTCCCAATTCCTCTTTTCTTTGCTGCTAGCCTCCCAGGTGAGTCTATTCCAAGTACAGCATATATACCATTTCCATATATGTATATGTTGACATGATTTAAATTCAACTCTACTTCACTACAAAACATACTAGGCTTAGTAGTGTCATTATTTACTTAAATCCCACAAACTAACAGATCGTTTTCTTACACACACTGTTCCTTTTAAATTTTAAACCGCCGCCTGCTCCCTTCCATTACGGACAGAAACCGCATCGGTAATCTGATCGCGGCTTTCTGTCCGGCGGCCATCCAGTGAAGTTTCACTGGATATTAACTTCTTACACCTATAAGTCTTTTTTCTAAATACTAATAAATGTGCCTCTGATTACTCGGGCGGTATCACCGCCTACATCCACCACGACCGTTCCCCCTACCGTCTCGATAGCGACAGGTCCGTCCTTCCGTGGCCATTTTCCCCTCAATTGCGCGGGCTTTGTCCCGCGCTTTACCGTCAACATTCTAATCGTTGGTTGCAGCTTGTTCTCTGCTCTCTTCAGCGGCTCTCCAGCGCCTTCTTCTGGTCGTTCAGGTAAGTGCACCCAATACATGGAAATAAATATTTTAATAAATATTTTAATTAAACACCTCTTCTTGTGGATTGCTCATATTAAAGTGATCTCGGTCTTTTTTATTGCAGACTACTTCTAAACATCTAAATCCTTGCATAAGAGGGTGACCCCCCTCTATACTAAATACTCTTGTCTCATTACTGAGGGTGACCCCCTCTATACTAAATCTTGTCTGCCTTATTATAGAGGGTGACCCCCTCTCATAAATATATTAATTTGCCTCAATATACTGTATACTGAGGGTGATCCCCTCATTACATTATTTCTATCGCTTCTTAATCTGTGGGTGACTTCATGCTCGATTAAAAAGATGACTGACACCACTTTTGATACAACACTTTGCGTTACGTGCCAAAACAAGTCCACCATCTATTGAATTATTTACTATTATTTTACAAAAAAAAATTGTTTTCATTATTATATATTTTGTATATATTGCTTGTGGTGACCCCACTTTACTGCAATTATGTCCGATTTACCTGAACCAGCAGTCCCTGCGGAGCTCAAAGTTTGGCTGTATAACGCCATTGCGGACTCCATTCCAAAAGCCTTAGCAGCTTTCCATGACCAGTCCAAACCCACCTCTAAAAGGACCCCTATTTCACACTTGTCAGACTCGGATGAGTCTAACGGCTCAGACCATGAGGAAACCCCCCCGCAAACGTCCCTGGAAGGGCGATAGTGCTACCGCCGGTAAAGGCAAGGCACCAGCTAAAACGCCCAGATTATCCATCCCAGATACTCGGGAACATAACCCCAATTATAACCCAGACCCATTAGAGGGTTCCACTTCCAACCTGCAACTGCAAGTAGTTGACGAGTACTGTGCAGAGTATTCGGACGAGGACTTTCCCTCGCATGAACTCAATGAACCCCCCTCTGACTCTAACTCCATTCTGGAGGATATTTTACTGGATACCCTTGGCCGGCCCTTGTTTGACCCTAGGTACATCAAACACCCACGCTCAACTGAGTGGCCCCCCCCAGACCGCATTGCTAAATTCTGCAGGATGTGGCTGCGTAAGCCTTTAGAAAAGGAAGTGAGGGCCAAGGTAAGAGCAGACAGGTGGCACTTTAGATGCGCACATGGTGTGTGAATGGACACAAAGGGCACAGGCTACAGGCCTCGACCTTCAGAACACTGGAACTCGGGCAATACCCGTTTCCACCACAAACACTTCTTCCCCTTAGAGGACGTGGATCTGCTTCCCTCCGCGGTCACACTCCTACAGGTAATGGACTCTCATTTTTTTCATATACCTATAGCAGGCCGATTAATAAATTTTTCCCAACAGTGGTCTCGGCTCACACAGGACCCGTGGATCCTTCAGACCGTGTCTGGCTTCCACCTAGAATTTACAGAGAACCCAGTTCAAATGTCTTTACCTGCCCCCCTCAGAATGTCTCAAATGGACGACATGTCCCTTCAGATCGAACTCGACGACCTAATCTCCAAGGGTGCTGTCGAACAATCCCTCAGCCCACGAGGTTTTTTGAGCAACATGTTTCTAGCCGAGAAAAAGTCGGGAGAGTTCCGACCTGTCATCAATCTAAGAGAGCTGAACAAATTCATCAAATATAGACATTTCAAGATGGAGGGCATCCATCTACTACGAGACCTCCTCTGCGAGGGAGATTGGTTCTCCCGCTTTGACCTCAAAGATGCGTACCTCACAGTACCAATCACGCCAGAACACCGCACCTTCCTCCAATTTCATTGGCGCAAAACACTATGGCAGTTCACCTGTTTCCCCTTCGGACTGTCCTCCGCACCTTGGTGTTTCACCAAACTAATGAAACCGGTGATGGAACTACTCCGTTCACAAGGGATTCGGTCCATCATATACTTGGACGATATCCTCCCCATGGCTCAAGACAAGGAGACTCTACGTCTCCATACAGATATGACTTCGGCTCTCCTCCAGAATTTGGGTTTTGGCATCAACCTGCAAAAGTCATCTCTAACTCCGTCCCAGACAATACAGTTTCTGGGATTTCAGATAGATTCGATTCAGGCAGTTCTACAACTCCCTGCTACGAAAATCAAAACCATTAAAAAGGACATCCGGAGATTGCTAGCTTCACCATATCTCCAATTCAAGGATTTAGCCCGCACAATCGGATTACTCTCCGCCTCAATCCAAGCAATATTTCCAGCCCCACTACACTATTGGGCAATGCAACATTTGAAAACACACTACTTACATCATTCAACATCTTACGACCAACAGATTTTCCTCACAGACGAAGTCTAATTGGAACTCCACTGGTGGCTTCAACATTTGGAATCCTGGAATGGAAGGGCTATCTTCGGCCGACAACCCAATTTCATTCTGGAATCAGACGCCAGCCTCCTCGGATGGGGTGCCACCTGCTCGGAACGTTCTACCGGAAGCCTCTGGTCCCCATCAGAACAGGCTCTTCACATCAATTGCCTCAAATTAATTGTTGGTTCTTTCGCAATCCGTAGTTTTGCCAAGGAAGCCTACAACTGCAGTCTTGTCCTGAGGATGGACAATGTCTCAGCAGTACGATACGTGAACCGCCTAGGTGGCTCCCTATCAAAAATGCTATCAGATCTGACAAAGGAATTATACCAATTCTGCCTGGACAGGAATATCTCCCTTCGTGCGGAATATCTCCCGGGCTCCGACAATCTCGTCGCAGATTTTTTCTCCTGCCACTGGAGGGATTCCAGCGACTGGCAACAGGACCCACAAATTTTTCACCATCTACAGGTCCTGAGAGGGCCATTCAACCTGGACCTGTTTGCATCTCGCCTGAACTGTCAGACGGACACATTCTTCAGCTGGCTCCCAGACCCAGCGTGTCTGGCAGTGGATGCCTTCCTTCAACCGTGGCCAACATCCGGAGCATATGCCTTTCCCCCTTTTCCATGATCCCACGCACGGTACAATACCTCAGAACACAGGGCGTCACCATAACTCTGGTAACCCCACTGTGGCGAACCCAACCATGGTTCCCTTATCTCCTGGAGATGTCAGTGGACTATCCCCTACTCCTACCCACCTCCTACAACCTCCTCAGGGACCCTTCAGGCAACTTCCATCCACTAGCACTACAAGGCCACCTTCGGTTAGTGGCTTGGACCATTTCAGCTTGGACCATTTCCTGGAACGTCTCTGGCCTTTCGGCTGCTGCTCGAGGATTACTATTGGACTCTTGGGCCCCAGGAACAAGACGCTCTTATCTCTCAGCGTGGCAACATTGGAATAGCTGGTGCTTGGAGAGGGACGTCGATCCCTTTTCAGCCTCTTTGATTAACATTATGAACTTCCTGGCATCACTCTTTGAACAGGGTAAGTCCTATCGGTCAATTAACGTTTTCCGTTCAGCCATTTAGGCAGCCCATAGCCCTGTTGACAACTCCGCGGTTGGTAAACACCCCTCCATATGTAGACTTTTGTGAGGCATCTGCCTCGCGAGACCCCCGGCTCCCAAATATAATCAATTTTGGGATGTTACTATGGTATTATCCTTTTTGGAGACTTGGCCCCCTAATGGAGAACTCTCTCTTCGGCAACTGTCGGCCAAACTGGCACTACTGTTCTGTTTGGTATCGTTTAGAAGAGTTTCGGATATCAGAGCATTTGACGTCCATGCCGTGGACTTTACCCCTGAGGGAGTACATTTCTCCATTACCCGACGCACCAAAACCAATTCATCTACAGTAAGCTACCCTTACTTTCACGACAAGCCCATGCTCTGCGTAGCTAGTTGCGTCCGACACTACATCCTTCGCACTAAGGACTTTAGACCATAAACGGAAATTTGTTCTGGTGAGTATAAGTAGAGATCAGTAGAAAATAAAGATGCTTTCGGTAACTAATGCAATACCTTGCCATTTGATAATTAGTATATTGAATATTTAATTAGTTTTTTATGTTATCACAAGTACACGCCAATTGCCACTGTCTCATTTTTATTCAGTATATTTTAAATTTTAATCAATAAAAGTTACATTTTAATTTTGTTTAACTGACTCACCTGTTGCAGATAATCTTGAATCTTGGGTTGAAGAGACCCTTTGCTTTGGGAGGTTAACAAAGAAATCATCTGAATCACTTAGCCATTATCTTTAAATTAGAATTCAAAGTGAATACAAATAATTCTATATTTAAGATGACAATAGCCACAATGGAAAAAAATATCTGTTAGCTATGCTTTCAAGTTTGCTACTCTGGCCTCAACTTTTTAATTTTGGGGACGCTGGTTTTGTTTTGTATGGTATAGACTTAAGATGTCTGTGTACCTACTTTATCCCATTTTATTCCCTGTCAGTTTTTTGTTTCTTACTAAGTTTGTCAGTACATGATACTGATCTCATTATTAGAGGGTGAGCCCCTCTCATAAAATGTTCTCCTTGTGTCAATGCTTGCCACTCCACAGGCACTCTTCCACTGCCACATGCTCTCCGCAAGGATATGTCCCGCCTGTCAGGCTTCTGCGTTCGCACGTTTTAAACGTGCGTTTGCCTATTCTCTCCTTTTCAATCTACCAAACGTGCATATCTGTGTGCTCAGCGGTTTGTATTTTCTATCAGGTTCGTGAGTTTGCATACGCCTGTTTTTCATCCTTTAATCTACTGAACTCGTATTCAAACAAATGCACGTTCAGTGGTTTGTATTCCTTCCTGGTTGACCCTTTGGACCGTTCTGCTCCCGAACGCACATCCTCAGTGTTCAGTAGTTTCCCTTTGGGCTGTTCGTTTTGCAAACTTTACTCGTTAGCGAGTTTTCTGTGTTAGTTTTTTCCTGTATTACTGCTCTATCTCTGCTCACTTTACTTCAAGCGACCGTTCATAAGATTTCCCGCCAACACATTTCGCTGGGTTTTTTTTTACGCTGCCACTTTGGATTACGTCTTGTGAGATCCGCGGTGGCCATTTAACCCTTGCCAGTATTTGGTCGTCATTCATGAAACTCAAATCGGACATTGAAACTCCCAAACACCGCTGGACTTCCATCATTGCCTGCGTTCAGATTCTACACCACCTAGAAGGGCACTGTTCGATGGAATCGTTCATCTGAATGAGGGGAACAAGCTCCACGGTATGACTATCTACGTTCGGTAGTTTGTTTTTAAACTACCGAACTTGGCCAACCGTTAGCACTGATGTCATGGAGCTGTTTTGGGCATAGGACCATGTGACCGGTCAGTCAAATTATGACTTCCATAGAAATCCCGAACCCCTGAACCGATCTGGGTGATTTTTGGATATGTTTGTCACCCAGATCAAGGCTATCAGGGGATGTTACTTTTGTGGGGGTTTCATGTGTTTTGGGGGTACTTTTGGGGTGTCTGAAAAATATTTTTTTGTGCCTGGAGAATATTGAGTTAGTACAGTTCCTGACTCCATTATCTCTCAGGCACAGAGGAGGAGTTTGTTTAATGTAAGCACAGTCACAGAATTTATACAAGTTACAGACTACTTCCCAGCATTAAGCATTGGCTCATGTGTGGGAGGAATTGCTATACTTCTCTTTGGATTAATATACCTGCTATACTCTCTTGGACAGGTCTTCCCACTGGGAGCTAAATCTAGCTGTTGGTCCAGGATGAGAAGGAATGGCGAGACCCCAGCCAAGCTGTGAATACTAAGGGGTGCTATATGTCTATGCTGCTATGGAGTAGTAAAGGAGTATTATGCAAAATACTCGCCTCCTGTCATTATTAAAATTATTACTGTACACTAAAGCTAGCATAATCTTAAATTATTTTTGAATTCTCACTTTAGTGTGTTATGGGCAAATGCTTTAAGATGTTATAGTGGTAAATAAGAGAACCAGCTGTGGTTACAAGTAAATAACTCTGTAAGTGTTCTAAAGCCTTGCACATGTAATATAATTGTATCACATGTAATAATTATTTTTATATAACATACATAGTGATATAGCACATAAACTTCCATTCTTATTTTCCAGGATGGCCCTTATCCCTGGCTACTATTTTTTTTTTCTTGACAGTGGCTGTTTTCACTGTTTTGCCTAAGATGGGCCACTCATAGGGGAAATACTTCTTGATTAAAGGGACACTATAGTCACCAGAACAACTACAGCTTATTGTATTTGTTCTGGTGAGTATAAGTAGTCCCTTCCAATTTTTTGCAGTAAACACTGTTATTTCAGAGAAAATGCAGTGTTTACATTACTGCCTATGGATACCTCCACTGGCCACTCCTCAGATGGCTACTAGAAGTGCTTCATGGGGCAGTGCTGTACAGTGTACAGCACTGCCATTCAGTGTCTCCCCCCTCAGGATGGAGACTCTGAACTTTTCTTATAAAGATGCACTGATTCAATTCATCTCTATGAGGAGATGCTGATTGGCCAGGGCTGTCTTTGGCTTGTGCTGGCTCTGCCCCTTATCCGCCTCATTGACAAGCTCAGCCAATCCAATGCTTTCTTATAGGAAAACATTGTAAAAGGCTGAGATCGCCACTTCTGATGTCAGCCAAACAAGCAGATCAGGGGCAGAGCCAGCAGCAGCAGATTGGAGTAAAGGTAAACTTTTGCTATATTTAGGAATGTATGTTTCTGTTCCTGACCCTGTAGTGTTCCTTTAACAATAGGATTTTTAAATCCACTCAAAAAAACAAAAAAAAACACCCATATCTAGCTTTTTTCCCCCCCGCTAGATGTTATGTCTTGTCAGAGGACTTGTGGAAATATCAAGCCTCTCCTGTTCATCTGCGGATGATATGAACTCTGTATTCAAAAATATCAAAACATTTAAAAAATATCTATTAATCTAAGTTCATTTTTGGCAGGGGACTTTGAAGACTGTTGCATTTCCTATGCCAAGTCAAGAAACTATAAAACTCTGTATAAATACGTGCGATATTACCAGTCACAAGAAATCAATGAAAGCTGTAACAGGAGAGCCATTGTGTGAGTATCATTGTCTTTTATAACTACCTTAATTCACCTTTTAAAAACAAGTATTTTATGTTTGATATTTCGGGTTTTGGTGGAAATAATAAAATAATGTGGGTTATTTACTAAACAGCAAGGTCTGATGACAAAAGTTAAAAAGCTCTGCTGTAACTAGATCACGCATTAAATAGCTTTGGTTGGTAGTGTACCTAGATATATTTTTTAAAAGCTATGGATGCTTCTTTGCCAGAGAAAGATTTAATGGGCTATATTTAAGAATTTAAGAAAACACTGTCTTTTTTTTGGGTCAGATTAACCATTTCTTTCCTGCCCTACCCACTTCCATAAAAAAGGTTTAAAAAAAAAAGAAAATAACGTAAACCCACCTTCCTTTTCAGTGCAAAGTCCAAGCTTTCCCCCAGCCCACTCCTGACAGCACCAAATTTGCACAGAATTCACAATAGCCAAGTCGGAACTCTTGTTCTGGGCTGGCTAAAGACACCCTAATGATGCTGTCACAATTGGAATTACACCTCCGGCAGGAAAGTGGTTATAATATAGAGGGGCAAGGGTTTAAAAATAATATCAGGAAGTATTACTTTACTGAGAGGGTAGTGGATGCATGGAATAGCCTTCCACCTGAAGTGGTAGAGGTTAACACAGTGAAGGAGTTTAAGCATGCGTGGGATAGACATAAGGCTATCCTAACTATAAGATAAGGCCAGGGACTAATGAAAGTATTTAGAGAATTGGGAAGACTAGATGGGCCGAATGGTTCTTATCTGCCGTCACACTCTATATTTCTTATATGTGCGTCAAGCTTTTCACAGTGAAACCCTGCACATAAAGACTCCAGGCGCCAAGACCACTTCAAATCACTGAAGTGTTTGTGGTGCTTGGATTACCCGATAAGAATTGTTAAATTTAAAAAAAATGTTACTTTGGAGGCAATGACAAGGCACTGAATTTTGCTTGTGATCATAAAATAGAAAAACAGAATCACATTATTAAATATGAACGAGTTAACGTAGAGCAAAGGCTGTCTTTGCACTGGGGATAAAACCAACTTCCTGCAATCGAAAACTAACTTTAGTAAATTGCTGCAGAATATGTTGGCGCTATAAAAATACCAATAATAATAACAGTATGTCATATCTTGACCTACTGCCCCATATACTACTCAGACTTATCCATCTATTCTTCGGACACAGCCGGGGATGAGCTAAAGTGGGTGCATGCGGCTCAATGCAGTACTTTTAGATGCCTTTCCTTTCAATGCATGTTTAATGAGAATCTGCATGAGTTGCAGTTGAGTAGTCACCCAACAAATTAGCTTGTTAACAGAATGCATTCCCTATTCCAGAGAATTATGGTTGTTAGTAACCATGGTAAGTGGAATAATTATACCAACTTTCGAGGGTAAAAAATGTCTAAGTACTAAATGTACGTTACCTTGGTGGAACCAAATATCTGTTATTAATCAATGTTTTTGAACTTGTTGAGCAAGATGAATATGGCAACACTGCATTTCTTTCTATACAGGTTTCATTTTAAAAAACATAAGGTCCTTTGTGGAAATCCACATGAGCAATGGGTGCGTGATTTAATGAAGCAAGTTGACAAGCTGCAGTACGCAAAACTGGCACATAAAGTTCATAAAGAACCTGCTGAAATAAGGTAACAAACAAAGTGAAAGGATGCAGTGAGGAGCTGGTTTCTGAATGCAGCTAAATGTTATGGCTGAATAAATTATCATTTTTTTTTTTTTTATCCGCTAAGATCAGCCTAAATGATTCTCAACATTGCATATACCAAAACTGAAAAATATACAATGCTGTGTATATCATGAGAAGCCTGCTGTCTATTTGGCTAGCTGTAAATGCTCGTCTGAAATACAGAATATCTGTCTAAATAAGATGTTCGATAAAAGTAACAAAAATAATCACAAAGCACTGGAAACCTAAAACCTGAAAACATGAAGTGTAGAAATAAAGAACATAGAAATTACTCTGTAATTAAAGGACCATTATAGGCACCCAGACCACTTCAGCTTAATGAAGTGGTCTGGGTGCCTGGTCCAGCTAGGATTAACCCTTTTTTTTATAAACATAGCAATTTCAGAGAAACTGCTATGTTTATAATAGGGTTAATCCAGCCTCTAGAGCCTCTAGTGACTGTCTCATTGACAGCCGCTAGAGGCGCTTGCGTGCTTCTCACTGTGAAAATCACAGTGAGAAGACGCTGCGTCCATAGGAGCGCATTCAGCCGATGACGTTGCTAGGAAGGAGGAGAGGAGGAGGAGAGCTACCCGCCCAGCGCTGGAGAAAGGTAAGATTTTAATCCCTTCCTCTCCCCAGAGCCCGGCTGGAGTGGGACCCTGAGGGTGGGGGCACCCTCAGGGCACTATAGTGCCAGGAAAACGTGTATGTTTTCCTGGCACTATAGTGGTCCTTTAATTGATTCCAAAATGATTACGGTCAGATCTGCTGTCTGCACATAGGCACAAAGCAGTATTTCCATGAGTTATTGGCCACTGTGTAAAGATAATTACAGTCATCTGAGAAGAATGCAAATCATTTTAAATTATAAGTTATAAGCTAACTCAAGTCAGGTTATATGTGAGATTATTCATTTAGAGCTGATATTGGTACGTAGATATCGCATATGTTTTGCCCCTTCATTTACCTGAATTATTTTTCCTGAATTTGACACACTTAATACATTCAGGTAACTGCACTCATCAGTGCCAAAGTTCTCTGTACAAAATAGTGCAATCCTAGGAACTAAAATACTGTGCAGACCCTTCAGACTCCCAGGCCTCTAGTAGAGGTCCCAATATTAAGGAATCCAAAAAATACCCCGCAGAGAGGTGTAAAATCAATGCAACATGCAAGTACATATGCACAGTTGCATCTGACAGCCCTAGGTATTAAACTGTAAATGTAGTTGTCAGCAGCAGCAACTCCATTAATCCTGATAAATAGAATTGTTGCCAAGTATTCACAGTCAGGGAGCTAGAAACATTTATAAGTCTTTCTGTCGGGTAAAGATGTGAGATTACTCCAAGATATAGAGTAACAATGGAATACAGGGAGAGAAACAAGGAATTATGGTGTAAACGTTATCACTAATGCAAGTTTTAATTTAAATGCACATAGAATTATTTACCATAGTGAAAATTAAAATTACATTTCAAATTTAAGGTTAAAACAGCCAAACTGGAAACATTCTCTAAGTCAGCTGTACTTTCATTTCAGATATTCATAGGGAAGTGTATTTAATTTGTTTCCTACAGAGATAACATTTTAAAAAAAGGTTCTAGTCTAAAGAGCAGGAATGAGAGAACACAATCACGTAATATAGCCACTAGATGTCAGTGTGCTACTATGATGGCATAGATAGTGGAAAGATGAGAACTTATAACCCCGTTTTAATATATGTATAAAAAAGAAAAAACAATGGGGATAGAGCAGATCCTGGAAAATATAAGATGATAAAAATGGACAGCATATTTATTTATATGTAACTTTAAACCAAAATGACTAGCATGTAATTAACCACCAGTCATGAAGATACTTCCTGTGCCCAACGCGTTTCGTCACAAGTGACTTCCTTTAGGGGTCTGTCTCCAATATTCATACTGAAGTAAAGTGTTCAAGTTGGAAATGTGATGCAGTCAATTTGTTTTTAGTTACATATAAATAAATGCACTGTTTCATTTTTATCATATTGGCGTTCTGCACTATTTTGCTCTATTCTTTATTATATAGAGGCTTCCACTTTCAAATCTGGAATTCGGTGCATTGAGGCTGTGGGGAATTACTACATATCTGAGCCACGGCTCCCATTAACTTTATGTTTGTGAGTGCAATATTTTCCGTGCACATTTGGTGGTGTTAGGGGGTACCACGCCATTATTTGTATCTTATATTTCCCAGGATCCACTGTACCCCTGCTGTTTCTTCTATATAGCGTGTTATTCTTAGGACATTGGGGAAATTCCTTGGCAAAGCAGTCCATTAGATAGGTATTTTTGGCTTGTACCACAGTGTGGGTCACAAATTTGTATACATTTTTTATACAATTTGCACAATTAAGCCCTCTTTTAATGTCATAAATAAATCCTAATTCTATCATTTAAAGATGAATTTCTAATTGTAAACTATTTTCATTAGAACATTATTCAGTTGGGAGGGTAGTTTAGAGTTCTGAAATGACTGATAATTGTAGCGAGTGCTGGCTGATGTTAAGGTACATGTTCCCTAAACTCTCGCTGGGCAGAATTTACGCTCGGCTAAATTAAAAATAAAGGGTAGATATCTTAATCTGGGCATAGCTCACTACAGAAGTGCTCAAGAATGGGGTATTTACAGCAAATGCACTTACTTCAAACTCTTGTTTTTCATTTTTATTTTTAATTGTTAATGAATTATCTATTTTATATTTTAACAAATTGGCTTCAAACCAAACCTTGAGTTCCCCTTTAAATATCAAAAGTGAATATCTATCTGATACAGTTTGAGTAGGAGATAATCCTTCATATATATTTCTAAAAGTTTATAATGCAGGTTTATAAAATATAAAAATTCAAATAACGTAAACTAAAGTGTATATGTTGGAGTGGGGTTTGTGGGGTTGTTTCGCCATTATCATGTGATTATTCTCCTGCTATCTCTGGTTTATATATCATGTTTAACTTGGATTTCTTTAACAGTAATATAGATTTAAATTATCATAACGAAATAATGAAGTTTATCTTTCTTTTTTAATACAGACATGCCAATGGTTCCATTATGAAGAATCATTTACATTGAATAAGAAAAAAGAATTCCTTAAAGGGACACTCTGTGCACCAACACAGTTGGTCTATATGGTTTTTAGCTTTTTGCTTAAACAGCTTTATTTTCTTGTATGCCCAGCTTAATAAATCCTTACTGCTAGTTACTCTAACTATGCAGGACCTTTACTCCTAACCCTTAGCTTTCAATAACACAATTGTATATATTACAAGAAGATAATCCTCAGCGAACAGACATTTTGTCGCATGGTGGTTTTATTGCGCCACGAAACGTAACAAGGCAATGTTTCAACTGTAGAAGTGTCTTTGTCATATGTCGAAATGCTGCCTTGTCAAGTTTGAGCGCACAATAAAACCACCATAAAACAAAATGTGTGTGCTAAGGATTATCTTGTTGATCAAAAGTGAAGGAGTTTAGTGGAACAGGAACCCTAGCCTTCAGCAAAAGCACCAATATTTGGAGGAAACATTGGGAGTGCTGCCCACCATTTTCTTAATACAATTGTATATGTCATCGGAAAGCACAGCAAAGCACTCATGGATTTGTAGTTTTACACTTCATGATTAGAAAGCTGATGATTAAACTACACATCTCAGAAACCTCTGCTTTCAACAGTTGATAGAGAGCTAATCAACCCCTGCCTCTACACTTTAACACTTGCAATGCTAGATTAAACATGTCCAAAAGTTAAGACTCCATAGACCAAAATCGAAGCTCTCTGTAAGATCACGCGGTTGGGGGCCAGCATGATAATCCCCTTCAGTCCTTCGAGTGGGGCTGCCCCTTTTCTGGACAGACAGGACCCTTTTCAGACATTGCCAGTGGCATAAATCTCAATACTGGCCCACCCATCTCAGTCTCATACCTCCCAATGTTGGGAAATATATGACAAATCTATTAGAACAATAACACATATCAAAATGAAGATGTACACAATAAGAGACTGTAAAAGGATTTAGCGGCTTTTATTTAAATGATCTGAGAGGCATTGCACATAACCACTCGTCAATAAACCATAACCAAAAGATGACCTTGACTTAGACATAAATAATTGGGAGGATTCTCGTCCTGGTAACATTAGGGAAGAGGTCTAAATTGGGAAAATACTGCTCTGTATAAGTTTCTAGTATGCTGCGCACTCTAATATTAAAGCTAGCCAATCATATTGTTGTGTTTTTGCACCACTGGTGCCGTGAAAATCCAGTGAGAACTGCTGTGTACATGCTTGCACCTAATGTACAAGTCGTACATTGACCTAAACTTGACTCCCTGACTTAATGGATCTCTTCCAACCTGGATTTCCCCTCTAAAATTAATTTGATGTCTAGTGCAATTTTTTTCTTAGTTATTTGGTTTTTTTTGGGGGGGGGGGGTTTAATAAAATGATATTCTCTTCAATAGAACAGAAAATGTAAACAGAAAAATTAAAAGTGAACAGAAATTATTGAATTTACTCTGTGTTGTAAATGTTAGTTGAGGCTTTAATGCAACTACAATATCCACAATACACTTTGTTGGCGAGGAAAAAGTCATACTTTGTACGTTTGAATGTATATACAACCCTTGTTTAAATAAGAAAATAAAATTAGCTTTTTATGATCTCGGACACATACTAAAGATTACAATACTGTATTTTGCATGCTACTTAGAAGTTCAAGATTTTGTCATAAATTCAAGTGTAAGAGGCACACTTTTGAACAACAAAAGTAGTCTCGCCACGATAATTTCAAATATTTAAAGGGACACTATAATCACCAGGCTTTTTTGCTGTAAACACTGTCTTTTCAGAGAAAATGCAGTATGTACATTACAGCCTAGTGATAACTTCACTGGCCACTCATTAGATGTCTGTTAGAGAGCCTTCCTGGGTCATGGCTGCCTAAAATGCATCCAAACATTCTGTATCTCCTCCCTATGCATGCAGACTCTGAACTTTCCTCATAGAAATTCATTGATTCTATTCATCTCTATGAGGAGATGCTGATTGGCCAGGGCTGTGTTTGAATCATGCTGGCTCTGCCCCTGATCTGCCTCTTTGTCAGTCTCAGTCAATCCTATGGCACTGTGATTGGATCAGCCTACCACTTCTGATGATGTCAGCAGGCAGTGGGCAGGTGTAAAGGAAACAGGCACACGGCTAGCAGCTCCAGACTTGAATACTGTAAGATTTTGCTATATTTATGGAGGCATGAGGGTCTCAGGGTGGCTAGATGGTGGTTTTAACCCTGTAGGTTCAGGAATACATGTTTGTGTAATCCTTTAAATTGATTCAAAACATGAAATGCAAGTTTTCGGCCAAAATAGCTGAACTGGACAATTTAACCAAGTCATCTTTCTTTCCTGATTAGCTATTTGAACAATATCTCACATTTAACTGAGGAATTCCTGACAGTTTGCAGCCTTGAGAGACATCAAAGACTAGAGAGATAACCAAGGAAAACAATTAAAGTAAAGTTTCACCACCTGTCTTTCTATTAAACATTAACTTGCTTTCTCAAGTTAAAGGGACACTCTAACCGCCATAATCACTACATCAGTATTCTCTTTTGCAGCACTCTCTTGTTTTAAACATATGACATTTCCAGCATATATTCCAAAAGCTAAACCCCCTCCTTCCAGATTCGCGAAGAGCCAAATTTCCTTATTTGGCCATCCAGATATTATGTGTGGTATACTATGTCCATATGTTACATGTTCACACAAGAGCTAGAACCCCCTAGAGCAGGGATAGACAACCTTCAGCACTCCAGATGTTGTGGACTACATCTCCCATAATGCTCTTACACCCATAAAGCTGTCAAAGCATCATGGGAGGTGTAGTCCAAAACATCTGGAGTGCCAAAGGTTGCCTATGCCTGCCCTAGAGGCTAGGGATTTGACAGAAGCCCTGTAACTAAGATTTTGCAGTGCCCCATAAACCATCACTATGTGAATTAAGAAGGTGGGGTGGGGGGACAAATGCTTCTCTGACTCACACCAAGTAGAATAGCTGTGCTATGAGTGCACACATATACATTACAATATATTTCCTTGTTCCCTGCTTGACTGGCTAGCACGTAAATATATCTCACATTTTAATTATTATTATTCAGCGTGGATGTTCTTTGCTCTGAGCCAAACAGGAAATCAGCCATTAAACTGGTACGCATGTGCGCAATGTAAAATCTCATTTGTTCATATTTATGTCCTCACGCCATGCTAAATATTTGGAGAGCCAAATGATGAAGCGTTATCGTACAAGAAAGATTGTTGGGTCTTTTCAAATCATATATTGCAAAGTGTGATATCACACTGTGCAGTAAAAAAGTCTATATGCTCTTTTTAAATAAAATCATGTATATACGGGCACAGTGGTTAATAAGTGTTTTTTCCATTTTGCAACAAAATTGAAAATCGTGTCAAATTGGGTCTTTCACTTTCTTTTGGATCAACAGCAGAAAACAGAAATGTGTACAAAGTTGAACTTGATGGACTTAAAATGGCATCAGGTTCAGCCTTTCTCACATCTGTTTTTGCCGTTGATCCACTTTCTGGCATTTCATGTGCATGGAAGACTCAATAGACTTTCTCCAAAGTCTTCACTCCTGCCCCCCAGTCATTATTAGTGACAGCTACGGGCTTGACTAAAGTTGACAGCTGTAGCTCCTCCTTTTGTCAAGCATAGGAAAAATAGATAAGACAAATTATTCCCTACTTTGTCATGATATCTGTTGACTGAGTTGGAATTTAAGTGAAATTAATTCAAATTTCATAATTATTATCTTTGTGAAATACTATTTTTTTTGGGGGGGGGGGTGTGATAGACCACTTTAATGTAGCAATGGAATATGTTCTGGGCTACATGAGACTGATGGGATTTACACTCACAGATGCTGATTAATTCTGCCCTCCTCCCATTACTCGTACCACCAGATAAAAGGCTAGTGGTGTGTCGAAGGACTCTAGACATGGAGCTGAAAGCGCAAAGTGGACTGTGGAAGGACAAATTATGTGATGATGGTTGGAAGGGCTGCCACAACAAGTAGACTTTGCCGCCTCCAAAATTTTCGTTTCATCCGAATACATAAACACAAAAAAAAAAGATTTATCCAAACCAAATTTTGTCTGTTTGATCATTCATTTTCAGCCATTATTTTCGTGTCAGAATTTAATTAAGTAGATAACTCCCTAAATTGGTACCCTTGTGCCAATTTAATGGTTTCAAATTAGGGAGCTGTTTAGTAGATAGCTCCTTTTTGGCGTGCCATAAGGATACCAAAAAGGAGCTATCTACTAAACAGCTCCATAATTTGGCACAATCCCACAAGGGTACCAATTTAGAGAGTTAGGTACTAAATAGCTGCAAGATGCAGCTGCGGCACAGATTGGAATATATTTTGTCCAAATAAAAAATTCTGAAACAAAATCAATGGCCAAATTTCATCCAAAAACGAATGAATAAATGGATAACATTTTATCCGGGCAAAACTATTTGTTTTTCTGTCTGAAATGACATTTTTGGCAGCACCCAAGTCTATTATATATGTCACTCTGGTAATGTGGTTCTTATAGACAAAAGCAGAACTTAATAAAGGAATATTATTGTAAAAAAAGTATTACAAACTAATTACACCAAGCAAACAAAAAAACTAAAAAGGAAGAAAAATGCGCAGAAACCCTAGTACTTACTATCCTAGTGAAGTAACAGTATTTTCTGTCCCAAGAGAATGTTTGTAAAGAAAATGATGATCCAATGCATGTTGGCTCTCAAACTGAATTACAAAGTTCCTAGGTATCATTATTATTATTATATACACTTTTAGTTCATCTCATTTTATCTTGAGACGGAGCAGGAGGATGTAGAAATCGTAGTTTTATGCATATAAATAAATTAATCCTAAACCTGGCTTAAAATAAACATTACCGTTTTTTCACATGTGCTACTGATACCACCACAACAACCAGGTCCAAACATCTCGAATCTTGACAATCCAATTGATGCCAAATCTGGTATTTCTTTCATGTTAATTAATACTCTAGAAATATATCTGCTTCTAAGGTCATGTAAAACGAATGAGCGTTAATTAAATTTGAACTGTAGGTAAAAAAAAAGACATTCCACTGTCCAGAATCCTGCCCAGACTTTCTGTTGCTGTCCTATCACAGACTTCCCAATGCAGCTCAATGATAAATCTTTGTAAGGCAGGTGTTCTAAGCAATAACCTACCTCTTGTGTTTAAGTCCACTGATCTAAACAAACCAGGAAGTAACATAGGCAGGGGGTGGGGGGGAGTGAGCCAGGGGGTGGAGTGGGGCAGGGGGAGGGGGAAGAGGGGGGTTAACAAAGTTAGTTAAAAATTTGAAATGTGTAATTTTCTATTTAAATCTGCACTTTTTTGTGCTTTACGGCTCTGGAGTGTTCTTTAAAAGGTTTGTTGTGTATGTCAACTTTCTCCTTGACAGTTCTGATCATAGTAGCGAATATTGTCTGATAATAAAGGGTAGTCAAGCTTCGGAAGAGATCAATCCAGATATATGGTTGTAAATTCTTTTGAGTAATTCAGACACACGAAGAAAGACAGAATTATTCACTAAAGTGAGAATTAGACTGTGACAAAACACCATTGGATCTGGGTCTGTCACCACAGAGAGGTATCCTTGCTGATTAAAGTGTCATGCTATATCTCCCCTAGCTGGTCTCAGTGCACAGGACCACCTGCCAACGCCTCCTCCTTCCAGGCAGGTATCAACAATACTGCCTGTGCAGGATCTCCCAGGCAGGGATCAACCTCTCTGGCTGTGCTGCCTCCGTCTTTGCTGTTGTAACTTAGGACTCCATGCCTCTGTACTAGTCAAACACTTGTTGCCTTTTGATGGCTTGATGGTCTCTTGACAGCAGCTGTCTGCCTCCTCAGAATGATAGCAGATGCCTACGCTTGCCACCAGATATAACAAAACACCATCATAGATCAGGGTCATGCTATGTTTCAATGCATCTCAATGCACAGGCCCACCTGCTAATGCCCCCTACTTTCAGGTATTGACCCCTCTGCCTATAAAGCTTCTCCCATGAAGGTATCAACACCTCTCACTGCACCTTCTTCTCCCAGGAAGGTATTGTTTCCTCTGCCTGTCCAATTTCTCCCAGGTATTGACCCCTCTGCCTGCGACTCCTTCCACCAGGCAGGTATCGACCCTGATGCCTGCGCTGTCTCCAGCTGCTGCCACTGCAAAGGCACTTACAGGTCTCAGAAGTTGCTCATTTTAACCAATCTGTCCTTTAGCATGAGGTGAAAACCATATAAATATAAACAAACATACATAATTTGAAGAAAAAAAAAATCAACATAATAATGCACCAAATATATATAACACAATCACAACTTTTTAACATATGGGAAAAGATATATAGAGATGTAATTGGTTAGTTGTTTGCAATTTCATCATTTGCATATTGCAATTATTCAAATCAATGCATTTTTCAATTTCACCAATAGAGTGCGCTGGAGAGTCGTCACATAAACATGAATTTAAAATGCATTTAGCTAAGTTCAGCTTGATTTCTCACTTTCGTAATTAACTCTGTGAGTTACTTACCAAAGTTTGAATTCAAAGTGAATTTTAAATAAAAAACTAGACTGGCCTGGTGCAAGAATCAAAGGATTACTCCTCCTTGCTCCCCCATAAGTAACATACCCGAGTTGAATGTGTGTGGAGGCTGAGTGTGATTGTGTGTGGGGTTTGGCAGACTGTGATTGTGCAGGTTGGCTGAGTGTGCTTGTGTGTATGTGTGTGGCTGGCTGAGTGTGATTTTGAGGGGTTATCTGGGTGTGATTATATATAAGGTTTGGCTGTGTGTGAGTATGAAGCGATTGAGTAAGTAAGGCAATCCCCTGTGTTGACGCTTACATGCTTACTTCACTGACACACTCTCACTAGAAATGACAAACACTAACACACATATAGTCACTGACAGACACACACTCATACTGAAACATACTAACACACTCACAAACACACATATACTCAAACACATACACATTCTCTCACACACAGTCCTACAGTAATTTTATTTATTGTGGTTTTTATTTATTTCTTAGGCTCACCTAGCCTTTCTTACTTTGGGAGCGCTGGAGTGGATTCTGTCCCTGGGGTCCAGATTGGATCTTTTCCCTGGGGTCCATTGTAGATCTTCTCCCTGAAGTCAACTGTGGAGCTATGGTGATTTTTTGTGCTTTTCCTGCACAGCTTCCTCACGCACCCTTCAGTGATGCTGTGACCAGAGTGACATCATATCCAGACTCTCGGCATTACCGCAGAGAACGCGAGGAAGGAGTGCTGAAAGGGCTCACTCGCTGCCTGTCTCCATCCCCCCCCAGACTTTGTACATTTTGGCTGACATCTGGGTAAGCTTGTGTCTACAGCCCTAAGGTGTCCAGCCAGACAGCTGTTGGGCCCCCTGTAACAGGCAGAACATAGAGGGCCTGGTCGCACTTGAGTCCTTCGTGACCCCTGTTGTTCCGCCACTGCACTTTGACTATTTTTACCTTAAATTTAAAATTCACTTTGAATTCTCACTTTAGAGAATAACTCTGACAATGTAATAGAATACATTTGATTTTTCCATTTCAGGGTATTTTGCAAAGGTTACAAGAATTAACACATGGCATATCAAATTCTCACAGCCTTATGCGTTTTATCATGACAAAATGGGACAGAGAACTGCAGATTCCATCAGTTGAGCTCACGGGTAGGGTGGAAGAAGTCTTTCAAGTCGTACCAATGCACATATAAGAATCTACTCTGAGATAAAGCATGCCCTAATTTCCTGATTTATAATATTTTATATACACTGCTCTCTATATGTTTTATTTTTCTACATTCTCCAAAGAATTAAAGGGACACTATAGTCACCTGAACAACTTCAGCTTAATGAGAAAATACAGTGTTTACATTGAAAGCTAGGAACACCTCCAGTTGCAGTCACTCAGAGTGAACCAGAGGGACTTCTGAGTTGATGGAGGCATTATATGCCTCCATCCACTCAGATCTACTGTGCACGAGCATCCTGTGATTCAGTATCTCCTCCCACTGCATGCAGACACTGAACTTTCCTCATAGAGATTCATTGATTCAATTCATCTCTATGAGGAGATGCTGACTGGCCAGGGCTGTGTTTGAATCATGCTGGCTCTGCCCCTGATCTGCCTCCTTGTCAGTTTCAGCCAATCCTATGGGGAAGCACTGTGATTGGATCAGGCTATCACATGTCAGCAAACTGCTTGTTTTTCCTGAGTCTAACAGCATGCAGATTTACAGCTTCTGGCTTGAATACAGTAAGATTTTTACTTTATTTATGGAGGCATGAGGGGCCCATGGGGGTTAGATGGTAATGTTAACACTATAGGGTCAGGAATACATGTAGTTGCACTGGTGAGTATAGTGTCCCTTTAACCTATTAATAAGGTCATAATTTCCAACTGGGCATTTAAACAATAATTTACCAGAGGTAGGCACCTTTCGCCACTCCAGATGTTGTGGACTGTGTCCCCCCTGATGCTTTGCCACCATTATGGATGTAAGGGCATTGTGGGAGATGCAGTCCACAACATCTGGAGTGCAGAAGGATGCCTACCATATACCATAATGTCCCTGTGGTATATATGATTGTGATAGGTTATTTCCCTGTATATCGGTAAAATGGCTAATTTAATGTGTGCCACATAAAGATATTAAGTTGTATATATCTAAAAACATTCTAATTTTAAATAATGACCTGTTTTAGTTATATTATCTACTTCACTGTGAAATACATTAGCATAACATCTGCAGGATTATTCACTAAATAGTATATTGTATCACACTAAAAACCAACTGGAAAAAGTTAGGGTAAAGTAGCCAAGCTGTAACTATGGCCTATATTTTGCCATTTGGACTTAAATTCTCTACAGTTCCTAATTTAATTTAAAAAAATCCAATCCTGCCATTTATTGAAAAACCTTGATACATGGAAAGGTTATTTTACATATAAACATGGAATATAGAAATATTTTGCTTGCTGTTAAGGGATACGAAAACCTAAAAATTATGCGAATTTACATAAATATAAAATGTCTACTTTTTTTATTGAAAAGGTTTCAAATTACGGCTGGGTACAGAAAGGCAAAAGAGGTCATCACATGCAAGAGACAATACATTGTCATGACTATACATCACATAAGACTACTTTAATTGTAGTGTATCTCGGATAGGTAGGGCAATTTATATTCATATTAAAATCTGTTTATCCCCATTCATATCAGTTCAGAAATCTCAGCACATATTTCTCCAATAATTTGAAAATGTGAAATGGTTAGATTACTGATTACACAGTGTTTTGCATCCACAATTTCCAACATTTATCGATGCTTGATGTCATGACTGGGATGAGATGGTACAATGGGAAATTTTCATGAGAAAGAGCTGAGTAGTAAAGGAAAGTTGAAAATTAAGCATATTATTAGAAAAGCTGTAATTTGGTGATTGATCAATACCATGTGTGTAAGTAACCTTGTACCTAAGTCAATTTGTCACTGGCTGTATATGGGACAGCCATGGGTATATTTTGATAGCCTGTATTGGGGGAGGTACCAATGAAAATAATTTTTTCGATGTAATTTTGTTTGACTGAATTTCATAACTCCCTAGATGACTATGAGAAATTTGTGTACTTACAGTTTCTTCTACAACTTAATCTAAATAAACCAGATCAAATCAGATATTCAACTGATCCTCGGAGACGACACTGAATGGTCAGAAGAACTAGCCATACTACACATTTCCTCACAACCGTTATCCAAATACAAAAATATCAATCCTGTGTCACCTGTTGAACGCGGCTAAATCGCTTATACCGGTGTACTGGAAAAAATCGAACGTCCCCACATGGGAGGAATGGATCCACAGAGTTGAGGACATTAGGGCGGCTGAAGCACTCCAGGTGGAACTGGCGGGTAGAGGAGCAAAATGCGCAGAGACATGGACACCGTGGTTCACCTTCCGTGCAGGTGCATAGGGGGGAGCCGGTGGCTGGTTGGGAACCGGGAGACGGCGCAGCCCACACAGCAGAACCATACCCTACGCTACAACTCAAACACCCTCCTACACTAGCATACACAGGCACCACACCGAACATCCCGAACATATCTCCTGCTTAGGCAGGGGAACACCACAGATGACAACAGACGAAGGGAAAAGCGGCAAAGAAACGTACATAAAAGATCAACCGGAACACGGCTACACGCCAACATACACAACAGGCCACGATCCAACGAACAACCGATGGATGTTGACCTGACTAATCCCACATGACAACCTAACCACTACAACATAAGACAGTAACAGCTAACTAAGATCCCGAGGGAAACCCATAACACAACACTAGAGGAGTGACTCTGGGTTAACTGGCTACTAGCCACGATAATTCCATATACCTGACACACGCACAGCAAAATATCACTCCCCTTAAAAGGAATCTCGGAAAACTCACACTCCCTGTCCCCACCGACATACGCAACATAATAAATAACCTCCATCGCACGTTACTCTCTAAACACTACATCCCAACGTAATGTAGGCCAGCCAGGGAAACAAACCCAAACTTAGATGAATCATACGAGACACGGGGGACAATACCCAAAGGAGGAAGGGAGACTCCTCACCACAGCGGCCCCAAAGATAACCCTCCTTGGCTCTATCACATTACGTGATACGAACGCACCGAGGACCGGAACACACATATGGAAAACCACACAACAGGGGGGGATACTTAACGCAATATAATTTCACTTTCGATAACCCACACTATCGTCTCCCGACTCCACTTGTACCAAATGTTCCACTCGAAACTAACATACTACCCCTACTTAGGCAAATGACCCTTTTATCCTATCACACACCCCAATACATCTCACCACACTTTTGCACTTACCGACAAACTTTAACAAAGATTAACGCCTGTATATGTGCAACTTCAAGGCACTGACAGACACTAATACAACCACACTTGATCTCACTTATGAAGGGCCCAAGCGGATATATATACAGTTTCAAACCGAAACAACATGGCAATTTATGTTAAGAAACTCCGCTACAATCGAATATTGATACTCGCTGTATACCAAACCTGATTGTAAATTCCATTTGGACATATACCGTACTAACAATATGTACATATTTTGTATTATTACTGTCATGGGCCTGCGAGCCTAAAATTTCCCTTCTTCTCACTTCAATAAAAACTGATTAACCAAAAAAAAAAACTTCATCTAAATAGAAATGCATCTATTGTCTGACCTTGACAGGGAGCGGACGCCATTTTACCTCACTCCGTACTATTCTCCTACCAAATCTTGTTTTTTGGGGAGCCTCATCGAGCATTTGAGAGCTGACTGCCTGTCTTTACACTTGCAAACCTTGCCGCAACAACACATGCCATTTTTACACACTCCTAAGTCGAAACAGCAAAAACGCAGATCTGGGACCCACTACCCACCTCTGGGCCTCGATTTTGGCAACCGTACATGGCGACTGGCCATCGGGCACACCAGGCAAATGCCCGGTGGGCCACAATGTCCATGGGCCGAGGTGGCAGGATCTCCCCGGCCGGTCCATGCAGGGCCGGCACTATCCGAGCAAGACCCCGCTTTTTTCCATGATAGGCTGGTGGGAAGATCAAAGATCTCCCTCACCGGCCCACATGCAGTGTGATGCGGCCGCCGGCTGGGGAGGGAGACAGGAAAAGTACCCGGAGGAGCTCTAGAGTTCACAGGCTAGAGTTTACTCACCACTAGCACCACCAGGGATGGCGGCACGGCCCCCCCTCCCAGGCTAAAGGTAAGAAAGGAGGGGGAAGACAATCAATGCTTATTTTTTTAATAAATATTTTTTATTTATTTTTATATATTGATAATACTCTGCCCCCCCTAACACGTAAGCCCTCTAAACATATTCACACACCAGCACCCTCACTCACACACACTGTACCCCTGTCACTTCCAGCACCCTCACTCACACACACACACACACACTGCATCCCTGACACTCAAAGCACCCCCACACACAAACACTGCACCCCTGACACTCATAGCACCCTCACTCACACTCACACACATACTGCACCCCTGACACTCACAACACCCTCACTCACACACACAGCACCCTCACTCTCACACACACACAGTGCACCCCTGACACTCACAGCACCCCCCACACACACACTTCTCCGCTAACCCTCACAGCACCCTCACTTACGCACACACACTGCACCCCTGACACTCACAGCACCCACACTCACACACACACACACACACACTGCACCCCTGACACTCACAGCACTCTTATTCACACACGCATGGCACCCCTGACACTCACATCACCCTCTCACACACACAGCACCCTCACACACACTGCACCCTCATACACACACTGCACAATACTCTTTCCTGGCATTTTTGTCTCCTGGTATCCAATCTATGGAGACGCCAGAGACAAATTTTAAGCAAACACAGTGCAATCATGTTATTAAATTTGCTTGTGCTGTGCATAACAAATACAGGGCCTTTTTCTCATGCTAGAACTCTTCAGCAGAGCTCTGCGCATTTGTGATGGGGCATGCTTGTCATTGGTGATGAGAAAACACACCCTATCTGGCCCCGCCCCTGTTTCAGTGGGCCGCCTTAAATAAAAAAATGCCCAGGCCGAATTTTCTTCCCAGTCTGGCCCTGTGAAGGGTGCACTAGCTGATGGCCTGATAATGTACCTATTGGTATTCAAGCTCGTGTTTAGTACCTGAAATGTCGGGTTTACCCTGCCCGCTTTACCCATTCTGCATGCTACTCATTACTAGCTGTAAAACTTTCCTACATAAAATAGTTAATGTTTGAATACCATGTTTATGTAAATGCTACTGTGATCTTGTCATGTTATGTACCACTCAGAACTTGTGTTTCACTCATGCGACTATACTCTAACCAAACATTGACGTGTAAAAAAATTCTAATAAAAACAGATTGTCAAAAAAACAATAACAAATACAGTTGAAGGTCTTACTGGAATGCATGACAATATGAGTTTTGATGCTGTATAACATTTGTTGATTACCTTGAGCAAATCCATGTTGCAGCTTATGAATCTTGAGTGAGGACCATGTATCATTGGATCATAAGTGGAAAACATGGTGAGACATATGACTTTTAAATATCTCTCCCATGTTTGATTGGCTTTTTTTAAACAGAAAAGTAGAGACGCTAGCTTCTTAAAACAAAAGGTAAAATGAGAGTCAAAAAAGACTGCATAATCAAACTCGGTATATGTTTCTTGTAGACTTGCACGGCAAGTGTTTTCGGTTCTGCAAAAAAAAAAATTCCAAACACAGAAAATATTTAGGAACCGTTGACAATATTGTGGTGATTATTCAACTCAACCAAAAGATCTAGAGTTTAGTCCAGAACTAGATCCCTCTTCACATCTCTCAATAGAGTGAGAGAGTCATGTTTATACAGGGTATTTAGGCTTTGATAACTTAATACGTTGAGTTGAGAGAATACTGTTCTAATTTCATGTAATGAACACATTAACTGGAACATAAACTCTTTGAAAGAGAAGTAGACACAGATGAACATTTCAAATGATATATCAGGCTGAACAGTCCATACTAGATTTGTTTAATACGAGGCTATCAAGCCTAGCTTTAGATGAGAGATCTCTTTTTAGGTATACTCTCTTTGGGTAAGATTCATGAAGCCCTTCAGTTTCTATTTTTCTTTGAATTCATCACAGTTAAAAACATGCAGATGGTGTTTGGAAGGGCTGTAGGTCCACCACAAGATCCCAGGAGGCGAGTTGTGCAAGCTTATCTTTCAGAGTAAGTAACATTGAGGTGGCTGAATTCTGAGTAATGGCCACCATAGGGTGGTACCCATTTTTAGATGGCTGCTTTCCCACAAGGCAAATGTCACTACTACAACTGGGGAAAAATTACCTGGAGTTTCTGTTATTTTTCAGACAAGGTTGAGGCATCCCTCGTTTTGGTCAACAGTTCTTTGGTCAGTTATTAGTAAAGCCTCATTTTGACATCTCAAGGTAGATTTGGGTGCTTTGGTAGATTTTATATACAATAAATCAGGGTTATCATTTCAGTGATAACCGTGATGCTTCTGTGCTTTGACTGATCTCAGTATTGAACCAGATAGACTCTGAGTGGAGGAAAAAACATCTATAAGGTGTTTTATAGTGTGACATTGATTTGGGCTATTAAAAATCTTCAGCCTTATCTATATAGAGTTGACCTTTTACTGCCATAACCAAAACACACTTGCTTGACTGTTTCAGATAACAGGTGACAAATGGAGACTCTTGCAATGACTCCTATAACTTTAGCCTAATTTAGTACTGGCTGGGGAAGAGTAACAGTAGTGCCAACAGGTTTTTCTGACAAACGGAGAACTCAACTAAATTTTGGGACTTTGTCTTCCTGACCATTGACCAGATCTCACTGACATGAGGGAACTAGTGTGAGGGCCACTGCTTGATATAAAGGCCAGGCCATATTGCCAGATGCTATCTGTCCTCAATGCTGGAAGCTCCATTTTTTTTATTATTAATGTAATCCCAACTAGGAAGAAATGTTGTATCTGTTCTGCTCCATGATTATATTATTTTATACGATTTTTACAGTCACATCTACCGCCATATATGATATGCTGTGCCCCTAAATACTATTAGTCTGTAGCTTATAAGATTAAAAGTTGGTTCTGTGTACTTTTTTTATTGTTGTTGAGGAAGAAAAACATGTTTTCTTCTTTTTTTCCCTTTCCTTTCTTCTGTACCTTTTCCCTTAGTTTATTTTCCCCATGATGGTTACTCTGTTATACTTTGAAAATTGTTTAATAAAAAGTATTTAAAAATAATGTCTTAAAAGATTACTAAAGGCCTTAGTCTTGGACATTTGTTTTTGGAACAACACATTTTCGTCTAAATTCCAAAAGACGAATGGATTAATACAAATTACAAGAAATGAAATGAAGAACCAATTTGCTTGTTGGGTGAAATTTCAGCCATGCAAATTGTTCTTTCATTCATTCGCTTCAGTTTATTACAAGTAGAGTGCTCACTACCGCTTCCTAAATCCCCTCATGTTTCCCCTCACTCTTGGCCTATAGTATAAGTGCCCAAACTGGTATAAGGGAGGTTAAATCCTACCTCCTACCCCTACTGTCTACCAGTGGCTGCTTGCGGTTATAAAAAAAAAGACAAGCGACTGGGCAGCTATATTGTCCTCCCTTGCCCCAACCGTGCTCCGCAAGTGGGACTATTAAAATAAATGGGGGCCTTAAGGCTATTTTACTAGATAAAATTAACAGGGGATTGGTGGCAGATGGGGTACTAAATAATAAGAAGGTGGACCTACATAATAAGGGGTGGATATATTGTCCCACCATAAAAATTGTCCCCCCTTTTGTGGACGTCTTCAGAGTCAGACTCAGTTCTTAATCAAATGCAGTTAGAGATTTGCTGTGCACGAGCTCAAGCCTTCCATTGCTCCCCCTGAAGATGTACTGACATCTTGTTGATCTCAGCCATGGAGGTGGAGTGGTCATGGTGAAACCAGTTGGCAAGTTAAGGTAAGTAAAACTCATTAAACCCTCATGGGGGGGAGGCAGACACCAAAATAGGTAGAGTAAAACTATATTGTAAGGAACACGTGTTTGTATTCCTAAAGCTATAGTGTTCTTTTAAGGTAAGCCTGTATGTTTTAGATGTCCAGGAATGTTCAATGCTACTTAGATATTGCTAGACTCAAAAAAGGGACTGCTGAATAAAGTTGAAACATGTTTGGGAGAACAAGAAACATAGCTGACTGTGGAGTCAGGGGTATGATAAGGGAAAAGAAAATGGCTTTGGATAAATCTTGACATGGCCATTATGGTAGTTGGCACATCATGGGATATAATGATTGAAGAGAGTCAGGAAAGAAATAAAAAATTACAAGATTTAAAAAAATAATTTTACAAAACTGCAGCTTCAAACATATAATTTATTCTAGTGCATATGTCAAGACTTAATGACTTCAGGCAGAAGCTTCAGAACTAGAGATGAGAACAACAAGAACAAGGAAGTGAACGTCCAAAAGGGAGATGGGGTATAGAGCAAAGGAAAATTATATTTTGCAGGCATAGTCACCCAAATCAACTTCTACCTTTCTCACAGATGAGGCCATCAAAAACCTCATTTTTAAAAAAAAAAATATACTCACTGCTCAGCTTCGCTGGGTGATGCAGTTTGGCATGGCCCAGGGACTGGATGAGCTTGTTTGGTCAACATAAATCTTCCCATTCTTTTCAACTGCAGTGTTGTTTGGAGTGCTCAGCAGATGTTTATGGAATATGCAGTTCAAACAACAGCAGCTTGATTCCTAATTAAACTATTCTGTAAGGTTATAGAAACTGAATTGCATCTTCTATTAGTCTACCATATCGCTCATTAATGTTCTTTCATGAAGTAAGCTATTTGTGCCATGCAAAACAAGCTGTGAGGAAGCCTACACAATCTAGTTTCAAGAACTTTTACTTCCAGAGAAAAGCACTATACCGATGGGTGAGATTGTAGTTACAGAAATGTCTACAGATTTTTAAAGGTAACAGGGCAAAGACGCTCCTTTCACTCCTTTCAACCTATGCAAAAAAGTATTCATGTCTATCTTTAATGAAAACAAAAACAGCAAAAAATGGTGTTGTGTACTAAAAACTAAGAATGTATGTCAAATGTGTAAAAACATCAATAAAATAATAGTTACATAGTTACATAGCGAAAAAGAGATATATGTCAATCAAATTCAGCCATCCTCACATCTGTCTTGTGCTGTTGATCCAAACTACGGCAAAAAACTGTTTAAAGCACTTCCAATTTTGCAAAACACTAGGAAAAAAATCCATCTTGACCCCAGAATGGCAGTCAAATATATCCTTGGATCAAGAAGCTATTATCCCACAATTTAAAAAATATATAATTGATTATGATGTTTTTGCAAGTATGCATCTGGTTTCTGTTTAAACATATGTACAGACTCTGATAAAACCACTTCTTAAGGCAGTTAATTCCACTTCCTTATTGTTCTTACTGTAAAAAAAACAAAAACATTTCATTTGTCTTAGACTAAATCTCCTTTCTTCCAGTCTAAATATGTGACCTTGTGTCCTGTGTATAGTCCTGTTTGTGAATAGATTTCCAGACAATGGTTTGTATGGGCACCAGATATATATTTGTAATAATAAAAGGATAAATCAGTTTACATTCACTATTATGGATCTTCAAAACCTATATAAACCTAAGATAATATTACACTCACAAAAGCTAAGCCACTATAAGTGGCCAGACCAATATAAGATGTCCACAGCTCCAGCGATGCATCCAGTGTTTGTTTGTTTTTCTCACTAATATTATCTATCTTTATTTGTCAAATGTGGTTTTACACTATGTTGTATTTTTGTCTATTTGTTCAAGTGATTACAGTTTGAGAAGAGTTATTTCACACTTGGATCATGTATACAAGTTTTGAAGAGCCATAATAGTGAATGTAAGCTGATTTAATCTTTTATTATTATTTTATTGATGTTTTCACACACTTGGCATACATTCTAAGTTTGTAGTGCAACAAACATTTTTTTTCCTGCTTGTATTATTATATATCACAGTTTTTGGAGTTTACAGGTGTGTGGGTGCAATTGGGGGGCACACAATCATTTGCTTTGCATTTTTGATGAAAGATGGGGAAAATGTAAATGGGGCAGGAACTAAATTGGTCCCATGGCAGCATTGATCTTAAATAGATCACTTGTGCTGTTGTACTAGAGTCAGTACTGAATTTCGGGCTTCATGAACTTGAAAATGACTATGTTGATGAACCTAATGAAAGAAATGTACCTGTCCATTGTCACGGTAGCAGTTATGGACTCAACTGTGCGACTGCAATATTGCATATCTCCTTTTAAGGCTGCACACAACAAGAAACCTGCCTACCTTGCATAGTACTGCTTGAGTATTAAGTAGTAAATGGCTAAGCAGTAAGCTATTCAATAAAAAAAAATAAAACATTTAAAAAAAAAAGTGTAGTGTCAATAATTGTTTAATTATTAATACATTTAAATATAATAAATAAATAAAATAACATTTATGTTGTGGCTGCTTTGGGTCTAATCGAAAGCAAGGACTTGGAGCCTTAGCTCCATTAGCCAATGGCCTTGACAGTGCAACGTTTCTTTACCCATGCTGTTCCACTGGTGTTGTGAGAATGGCAATAAAAACAAAGAAGCTTGTCAGCGTTCCAACGCCAAATTAATCAGCCAGTAAGAGAGCATGCATGCATTCAAGCAAGTATTGACTCCACTGCTCTTACTGTACACTATAATATCTTATTGTTTAATATATATATTCTTCTTATGAAATGCACCTCTATGCACGGAATGGGCGCCACATTTCTTTATGGGCTAAATGTTTCAGCCCTATATTACAGATGCTCCTAAGTCAGTCTTTAGATTATAAAAAGGGAAGTGAAAAGAACAGTAAACCCACGATCAATACAGTGATCAAGGCATGGAGAAATACTGTTACTTGCATTACAATCAGAAGCTTACAAAAATACATAATCTGCTTACCTGCTGTCAAGCTACGTAAGCCATGGTCAAATGGATTTCTTCTCCATTACTTAAAAAAGTGAATGAAATGCAATCAGCACTAAGCATTCTAGAGAATGCCCCTGTGGCTTTCCTGAGTACAAAAACCAAGACGTTTAACAACTATCAAGAGATACATAGCATATACTTCAATAACTAAAAGGAAAAAAAACAGAATCTAAATTAATTGTGTGGCAGAAAGATATGCCAATATAGAAAATATGGTTTAAGGGGCCATTTGGTCATCAAGGCCTGGAATGTTATCAAAATGTAAAGGCATCACAATTCACAACACTATGCAGCGGAGTATCACAAAACTACTTAGTACTCTATGATTTTCAGTATTAATGTAAGGCTACCAAAGGGTTCTAGATCAGGGCTCTAAATTAAGTCTGTTTTTCATTTTATTTGATTTTATCTGTAGAAGTGATTGTACAAATAGTTGAGAAAGCATTCGTGGGCAGGCTTATTCCTAAATTATTCCTTGTGATCTTACTTAATATTGGCTTATTTTCCATTTTTGTTATGACATAAAGCAAGAGTTGTTCTTTATGCTGTTATTCTACACTAAGGCATAACCAAACTGGCTTCTCTCGAGACCTTCTTTATGGTCATTCCAGGAAGAGGCTGGCATTCTGCTATAGGGGTCCAGTAGTATTCGAAAGCAGCGTACCATAAGAATGACCAAGAAGACCAGTAAGAAGATGACAAAGGCAAAAACTGTCTTCTGCTCAATATCCATCCCAACTGAGCTATGACGAGAATCCAAGATAGAAGGAGAAAGAAGCAGTTCAAAATCCGTAGCTGATTCTTCGTCCATGGTGGCAGCATAACAATGACACCAAATAGAATTTGGAACATCAGGGTAAGGCATTTACTGCACCTGAAAGAAAATGCATACTGTAAGCTGTGTTATATAGTAATATAATGTGAAAAGATCGTTTCTAAGCTGTATGGTCATCTCCACAATCCACTGATTAATATATGCCCTACAATACAGAGGGTGTAGTGTACTTTAGAATATAAAGTATGTAATTAATAATGTCACATAGTTTCATTTAAAGGACCCTATAGTGCCAGGAAAACATACTCGTTTTCCTGGCACTATAGTGCCCTGAGGGTGCCCCCACCCTCAGGGTCCCCCTCCCGCCCGGCTCTGGAAGGGGGAAAGGGGGAAAAACGTACCTTTTTCCAGCGCTGCGCGGGGAGCTTTCCTCCTCAGATCCTCTTCCGTTCCTCCCCGTCGGCTGAATGCGCACGTGCGGCAAGAGCTGCGCGCGCATTCAGCCGGTCGCATAGGAAAGCATTCTCAATGCTTTCCTATGGACCCTTGCGTGCTCTCACTGTGAGACAGTCACTAGAGGATTTGGGGGAAGGCTTAACCCATTCATAAACATAGCAGTTTCTCTGAAACTGCTATGTTTATAAAAAAATGGGTTAATCCTAGCTGGACCTGGCACCCAGACCACTTCATTAAGGTGAAGTGGTCTGGGTGCCTAGAGTGGTCCTTTAATAGTTGTTTTCATTTAAGAGATCTTTAACTTGATAGCATAACAACTCTTTTAATCATCTATTCTAACCTATTTAACCTGAAGGGATTACATCAACATCAAAAAATTAAAGAGATAATGGATCCATGATTGGCTTCATTGTGGATAGAAATATATTACAAATTCAGTAGAAAAGTTACTGGCCTGTATTTATGTCACGTAAAGGAATAGTCAATATATTTAGTGTTTTGTGTATTTGCACATTGTCGCATTGCGTGAGGTTTCTTTTTTTCCTAACAATACTTGTCTCACAAATCTGGCAATCAGTTATATTTAATTTGATGTCAGTCCAATATATTGTTTTTTTTAGCTTTGGTTCCATTGAAAAATATACCAATTTATCTGTCAAAGATGTGTAATCATTCAGACTGAGAATATGGATCAATAAACATGACTGCCAATACTGCCTAGCAGTATGATGTTATTTGCTTTGTTGAATTATGTTAGGCATAATTCATCTGATAAGGCTGTTGTATACTGATCAGCCACAACAATAAGACATAAATATTGTGTAGGTCCAACTCGTGCCAAGACAGCTCTGATGCATCGAAGCACAGACTCCTCAAGATCCTTTAAGTCCTGCAAGTTGCGAGGTGGGACCTCTGTGTTTCATATGCGTTGTTCCAGCACATCCCAGTAATGATCAACTGGATTCAGATCTGGGGAATTTGGAGGCCATGGCAACACCTTAAACTCTTTGTCATGTTCCTCAAACCATTCCTGAACAGTGTGGCAGGGAATCATTCTGAAAGAGGCCACTGTCATCAGGGAACTCTATTGCCGTGAAGGGGTGTACGTGGTCTCCAATAATCTCTAGGTAGGTAGCATGAATGAAAGTAACATCCACGTGAAAGCTAGGACCCAATGTTTCCCAGCAGAACATTGTCCAGAGCATAGCCATGTGTCTGCTGGACTTACTTATTTCCATTGTGCATCCTGCTGCCCTCTCTTCCCTAGGTAATGAACTAAAATGCACCAAGTCACCCACCTGATCTAAAAGTAAACATGATTTCTCAGACCAGGCAACCTTCTTCCATTGCTCCATTGCCCAGTTCTGACTCTCATGTCCCCAGTGAAGGAGAGTGGTCTGGAGACAAATTGTATGTTGATATCTAGCAACTCAAGAAGAGTGTGAAGCCTGCCCACCCCATTGTACAGCACTACAGAATTTGCTGGCACTATATAAATAATAAAATAACAAAAAATAATACTCAACTAGTAAATAAATAAAAAAGGACAACAAAATATTGTGGGTCACTAGTATCCTGAAGGGAGGTGTCTGGGTGTATACGTGATTGCTATGTCAAGCTTTTGTGTTGAATTGCCCTTGAGTCCTATATATACCAGGAGCACAAGGCATTTGTGTAGAATAATAGTTTACATCAACGGTATGCATGTCAGATGTCCCTCTGCACATTATGCAGGCTCACTGGGGATGCATCACCTTAACCATTGGGCTACGAGTGGGGAGTGTTAAACCAGGAAATGGTGGTTTGAGCTCTATGTGGCATGAGGCCACTGGGTCCTGACTTGGACCTTAAACCAACAGTAGAGCATGAGATCAAGTCACTAGAAACGATTAACATGAAATAAAACTGAACATATGATAACGTAACATAATATAACATAATTCCTGAGAAGAGAAAGTCATTGTGGTTCCTAAGAGTCAAATCCCCATATCTGAGTCTTGATCTCCATGTGGTAGTCCCATGTCCGATTAGTAGTTGGTCCTTAGAAATCCAGTGGTTGTGTGGTAAGGCCTAACAAATCAAGAAATGTTAAGAGTCTTCTGCAGAGATAAAATCCAAAGGGTAGTAAACTTGATGCTAACCAACAGTAAAGTATAACGGCTTTCTGAAGTCAACTTGTAATTGTGTGATGGGATCTTCTCCATTAAAGGGTGGCTATGGTGAAATGGCTCTGATGATAACTTGGTAGCTTGTGATCTAAGATTACTCAAATATGTGGGGAATCTTGCTTTGTAAAGTCAGCATAATATGCCTTTTATCTTGGAAGGAGCAGCAGTGGGCTATCACATCATGGGAAGCCAATTCTGGTGGCTGGGGGGGGGGGGGCTTAATGAATTAATAAACCCCATTATAGGTAGTTTTTTTGGCTTGGAGGTAAGATAGAGGATACCAGGCAGCTTAAGTAGTGAGGAAGTTCCTCCGCTGATATGGTGTCTGGGATAACTCAAAATGTAATATTACAAAACCTGCTTTTATCTTCAAGTATTACTACCTGTATATTGAGGTTATTCTGTAAGGTGTGGAGTTTATGAAGGGAGTATTTCAAAGATGACATACCATTACATAGACCTAAGATGTCCTCCTCTGTGGCTCTAGGCAAAAAATAACTTCTTAATGTCTCGGAACAGGTTTTAAATGTCCTTTAGTAGCCATGGCAGAACCCTTTTGAACCCCTGGAGCAGCCTGGGATGAATGTAAAAGGTCCAGTCTGCTGGGGTTGGGGAGTGTGTAACAAGCATCATGGTCATCTTGGTGTGTGCCTGTTTCGGTAACAGAGTGTAAATGTCTCTGGGTCTTGCAGGAGCCCCCACAGTAGGCTTCTAGTATAAGCGTCCCATCTGTGCCGAGTCCGGTGTGTGCCCTGGTAATGCCGCTGTAGAAGTTGAGTGTTCGCTATAATTAGAGTCTGCTGTAAGGCTCCCAAAGCCGGTGAGGTGTGGGAATAAATCAAAAGAAAATAGAAAATGACCTAGATATCCAACACCACTTCTAAATAGGGGTTAACCATGAACTTAGAACGTAAAAACCCTATGAAAGCTGGAATCAGAGATAAGTGGGGATTATTGCCAGAAAATTGAGATGTAGGGGAATATCGCCTAAATGGATATTTCACTTACAAAAAGTGAAATCTCAATTTAGACAATATTCCCCTATATCACCATTTTCTGGCAATAATTTTCACATTGATTTGAAGCTGCAATTGGGTGTTTTTAGTATATGAGCCTATTGATATTTATACATGGGATGCAATTCTATTACTGTTGTATACTACTAATATATCATTATATTCCACAATATCACTATTTTCGATTTTTTTGAAAATTGTGTTTCTTGGGGTTTTTTATCAATGAAATAATAAAAGTTACGTTTTAACAAGCAACTGTTGCATTCCCACTTATCTCTGGTAGACACAAAACTGAATGTTTTTTAGGTGTAGGAATAAGTAGGCCCCTGCCTTGCCGTGCCGCCGCAGAAGCAAAAAAGAAGGGCATATTTCAACAAAAATACATCTGCACATGATGTCCAAGTAATTCAAAAACACTCTTTGCTCAAAAATGTTTGGTAGCAAAGCTTAGTTACTCAGCTATAAATGGATTTAACAATTCAATCATTTTGTGTCAAGATGCTGATGTGTCCATTCCATATAATTCTCATCACTGAGGCCAAAAAAATATACACCTGCATTCACACACTGGCCTATGACTGGAATATTTTCTTCCAGTCTGATGGAGAGAATGTTTTGTTTAGTTCTTTGAACTATTCTGCAACATATTTGGGGAGTCTGTCCCGGTCAGCATCTTGGATGATGGAGTGGATTAGTGTGAGTGGTTTCCGTATGATTTGGGTGTTCAAACACCACTCCTCGAAATCTGTACCCTTAGTAGGTACCGCTAAGCCTTTAGTTGATATGATAAACTGAGATAATTGGTGGTATTCATATGTTTGAAGGGAGGAAGGTTGTGTGGTCATGCTTAGTTCTAAAAGAGGTTTTAATTTCCCTCAAAGTAATATAGGAGTCCAGTTAGCCCTGGGGGGAATACCGGGTTGTGTGAGATAGGTGTCAATGGGGAGATGTTTCCTTCCTGAGTTTAGCTGCATGCTTTATCCACAGACTTAGTAAAAGGCTAATGGTGGGGTGCTGACGGGGACACAATATAGAGATTGGTTCCATTTGCCATGGCAGGGTGGCCAATGGGAGTTGTATCCATTCTTGTTCTAAGGATTTCCAGTGTTGTGTACTGTGTGGGTAGCACCAATCCAGGATTCTAGTGAATTGTGTTACAGATAGTATTTAGATTGGTCAGGTAAGCCATGTCCCCCATTGATTTTGGGTCTAGTCAGTGTATTGAATGACAGTCTTGGCCTATTGCCAAACCATATGTAGTCTGTGAGCAGTTTTCTTAGGGATGTAAAGAAGGATGAGGGAAAACCCACAGGCAGAGTCTGAAACATATATAACAGGCGCGGGAAGATATTCATCTTAATTATGTTTACCCGGCCCCAGGGGCGTACCTAGGGCA